CAATAATTCAGTAAAAACGTCATTGACACTGTCATAGTGTTTGTTTTGGGAAATGTTGTTCAGGTCCTCATTTTTTTTAATTGGTTAATTACAAAACTACGTGTTCGTGGGGGCAAAGAGAAGGGCAAATTAAAAGTCAATAAGAAAGGTATAGATACCTTAAGTAAGCTTTGAGTGGAAAAGAGTGAAAGAAGCTAACCGGACCGCAATTCAATTTCCAGATAGGAAATCAAGTCTTCTGCTAGGATGGACATACCAAAAAGCAAAAGGTCACAGTGACCTGTAAACTTGTCACACTATCTCCAGAACTGGTGTACGGATAAGCATAGTTTGCAGCACTCAACTCAACGTTTTACAGTGATATTATTTACGAGTATAAAATATGATCATAATAAAGCTTACCGTTGTAGTAAAGTGTTAACGATTTAATACCCCCCCCCCTTTTCTCTCTCTCTCTCTCTCTCTCTCTCTCTATCTATCTCTCTCTCTCTCTCTCTCTCTCTCTATCTCTCTACCCCCCCCCTCTCTCTCTCTCTCTAATATAAGGTTAAACATAATAGTTTTAATTTAATCCATCGGTAATATTAGGGTTAAGTCTTTCCATCCAGACCTTTCCCTGTTATACAGGTACACCGTTGCCTATAATTTTTTTTTTTTTTTTTTTTTTTGGGGGGGGGGGGAGGATTCTAACCCCTTTCCATGACATGATTGGGACAATATGTTGTTCTTGATGGATTACCATCTTTTGAAATTTGTATCGATCAAACTTAATTGATCAATCTTTATTTATCAATATAGTTCTAATATAAGAAGATATAACTTCCGAGTCATTTCGAAAAAGATTAAAGACACAGAATTAAGAAAAAAGCTCGGCAAATAGGAAAGAGTTGTGGAGAAAATGTAAAAACAATCATGACAATTGCATATTGGATGACGTATTTCGCTTACATCAGTTTCTTCAAGAGCGCCCAAAGAGAAGAAAATCCGCAACGACATTCAATTAGTGCGTGTCCATTCTTTGTTTTCATTTCCCATTCTCAAAGACGTCATCGCTTTACTACAATAACAACAGAATTCTTACCTTTTTAAGTTAAAAAGGGATCTGTTTTCTTTTTGGATGTGTAATGTGCTACATAGAGAATTGAAGATAAACCGTGAAATTGAAATGAATACGTAAACGTTGATACTTGATAGCAATAGTAAAAGGGATTTTATCGTTATTTATAAAAGTGAAGTTTGTTGTGCCTGTGCCGAAAATAGTTCGTAGCGGAGGCAAATTTTAACGTTACAAAAATAAAAACGAACTATAACTTACAAAGAACGATGGAATTTAGAATCCTATACAACCACTTTCCTCGTGAGGTTTTATTTATTCTATCTATCTCAATACAACCTTTTGATTATGATCTACTTTGAAGAAGAAAATACTGCACAATAAAAATAGTTTTATGTATTTTTCTGGGAGTGTAAAGTGCAGGAAAGTTGTTAATTCTTTGGGAGTGTGATTATGACCTTGGAAAGAGCATGATCTCGGGCTTGTAAATTATGACGAATTGCGGAGTAAAACTTTCTGATATTTACCACGTTTACATGCACGCTTCAAACAACAGAGCCTAACGGGATAATTCTTCACGAAATCGAATGTTTTTCTTGTCAGTGCACAATTAATATTCACAAAAAATTATAGTTACATTGCAAAGAAGTCGTAGAAATGGTTATGATGATCATGACTCTTACGAAAACTGAATAAAAATTTCCCTTTATCAAATTTACAACTGTATGCCGGAAAAAACATTTCTAATAATAAATATCCATCTTCATGATAATAAACATCCTAACATTCCGAACATCTGTTCTATTATTCCCAAGGTTCGTTCATCTGAGGGTTCATAATTGCGAAAATAAAATATGGTTCGTTATTCCGAATATTCATTGGGCTAATTCCGAAAAACGATGTAGGGTTTAATGTTATTTTTGGAATAATGAACCTCCGGAATTATGAACCATATTTCATATTTGGAACTACAGACCCTTTTTCATTTTCAGAATTACTAGCCCTATAGGCCTAATTCATTTTCTAAAATAAGAACCTTCGGAATAACAAACCTTCGAACCCAAAGACATGCCTCTTGTGTCTACAAGTGATGCAATTAGGTTTAATTCAATTCAATTCAATGTATTTACTTGTTATTCAACATGGATATTTGGTTTGCGCACATGTAAAATAAAGGCTCAGACAAGGTTTACAAAGAAGAGAAATATAATACATTAAACATGGATACATTTTGGTGATGATAAAATAATAGTCAAACATAAATAATGATTCTCGTTTGGTTATGCCTTTTTTTAGTTTCCTTAAAGACCATCCAAACTGAAAATGAAATGGATGAATTATATATCAACGGAGAGCTTATTACAATAATATCAGTTATATGCCATTTCAGTGTCTGTCAGAGGAGTGTCAGCTCTCTGAAAACTCAAACTCCAAAGCTTTGAAAATCAGAAGTTATCGACCTAAAAAGTTGCTATCAACTTGATGTGGAGTACGCATATTCACAATGACTTTACATTACTTAAGCACGGCTCTGCATCGCCTCGGTTATATAGGTGAACCGATGGGGTCCACATGTTAATATGTCGTCACTGTAACTTCCTGCAAATTTGGAGTGGTGTGGGAAAAGAGGTTTTAATTTGCTTTTGTACAATAATGAAAAGGTAAATATTGTTATTCTTTTATATTTGTATTCTACATTCATTCAGCTTTCCATTTATATCAAGCTGTATTTTCATCGGATAGAGCCTTTAGGTTACGAAATTTAAATGTCTTCATGCATATTTCTTAATATAGTAAATAGTTTTAATGAGATGGATGCCATAGATGGCCTGTCTCTGGTTTTCATCAAGGTTTGCTGAAAGTTTTATTATTTAAAATCAGGGGCGGCGGGGCGTCGTTCAAAGTGGGGGGGGGGCACCAACCAAAAAGGGTTCCTATCTGGGGGAAAGGGGCACCTACAAAAAGGGAAACCTCAAAGCGAAAATATTCAATTTTATTAAACATTAGTATATACTCCCACATTGTGACTACATTATCAGGGATGATTTGAATGTTTGTTTCTCTCTTAACGTGGTCCAAGCTACTACTTAAGCATCATGTACTTTGTACATGTACTTTGCAGTTTGGTGTGATTGTCTAAATATTTATTTGCAAGCGAGCAAAATTGTAATATTCGTGAGATCGCAGTGCGGAAAATTACATCTTATAAAGAGGAAAAAACAATCCTGATGGGGTTTTAAGCACAATCTAATAATGAAAGACTGAAAAGATCTTTAATAAGGAACATGATTATATCAACTTTAATTGCGAGGGAGCGTAGCGAGCGGAATATAAAGAAAAGTTGCTCTTAGTCGCATTAAATTAGGCGTACGTTTTATGGGAAAAGGAAAAGGGGACACATATCCAAAGGGAAAAGGACACTTTAGGGGTACCTGAAAAAGTGGGAGGCAGTGTGCCCTCCTTCCCGCTGACACTTTAACTTTTCTTTATATTGATATACTGTCTTTATATTGATTTTAAATAATAAAACTTTCAGCAAACCTTGATGAAAACCAGAGACAGGCCATCTATGGCATCTATCTCATTAAAACTATTTACTATATTAAGAAATATGCATGAAGACATTTAAATTTCGTAACCTAAAGGCTCTATCCGATGAAAATACAGCTTGATATAAATGGAAAGCTGAATGAATGTAGAATACAAATATAAAAGAATAACAATATTTACCTTTTCATTATTATACAAAAGCAAATTAAAACCTCTTTTCCCACACCACTCCAAATTTGCAGGAAGATACAGTGACGACATATTAACATGTGGACCCCATTGGTTCACCTATATAACCGAGGCGATGCAGAGCCGTGCTTAAGTAATGTAAAGTCATTGTGAATATGCGTACTCCACATCAAGTTGATAGCAACTTTTTAGGTCGATAACTTCTGATTTTCAAAGCTTTGGAGTTTGAGTTTTCAGAGAGCTGACACTCCTCTGACAGACACTGAAATGGCATATAACTGATATTATTGTAATAAGCTCTCCGTTGATATATAATTCATCCATTTCATTTTCAGTTTGGATGGTCTTTAAGGAAACTAAAAAAAGGCACAACCAAACGAGAATCATTATTTATGTTTGACTATTATTTTATCATCACCAAAATGTATCCATGTTTAATGTATCATATTTCTCTTCTTTGTAAACCTTGTCTGAGCCTTTATTTTACATGTGTGCAAACCAAATATCCATGTTGAATAACCAATCAGAGAGAGAATTACCCCCAAGGACATTACTCCCGGGAAATTAACACCCGAGGACAACCGCCCCCCCCCCCGTTGAAAATTATCCACCCAAAATTACCCTCCCCCTCCGATGGGGTAAGTTACCCCATCAGAGAATCACCCCTTCCCCCAGGACAATTATCCCAACCCCGAAAAAAAAATCTGCTTTTATTAAAACCAACTTTTAACATAGCCTAATCCTTAACTAAACAGCCTGGGTGTTTGTCCTTGGTCGCATTGGAGGGGGGGGGGGGGTAATTGTTCTAGGGGGAATTTACAGGGGTAATTGTCCTCAGGGTGGTTGTCCTTTGGGGTTAATTTTCAGGGGGTTAATTTCCCGGGGGTTAATGTCCGTGGGGGTAGTTTATCGGGGTTGTGTTTTTTTTTTGGGGGGGGGGGGTGATTGTCCAGGGGGTAGTTGACACTGATTTCTGTATTCACATCGATGTAAACATGTATTTCTGGTCTCACATCATATAATATGAAGAATTAGTTATAGATGAGCTTAACTCTGCTAGTAAAATAGTAAAAATGATGTTTCGAATAACTATATTTTTGATAAATTCTAATTCAAATGTGTAAAAATACAAAGACTTTTGCTCTTGATTGGCGCCTCCGACTCCATCCAGTAACTAGTCTTATTTTCAGACACATGAAACGTAACAAGTAATTTAGTCTTGTGCAGAGCAGCGAAATTACTGCCAAAGGCACAAACAAAGGCTGGAAAATGCCCTTCAAAGTTGAAATTCAACCCCTTTGGAATCTTCAAGTTAAAGAAAGCTTCAACACACTCCTTGTCGGGCGTACATTCAGGTATATTGCATTATCACTAGATTTTACACGCTCTAAAACTGAAGATTGATAAGCCTAGATTTTGTTAAGTGTCCCACATACTGAAATGTGTGTAGTCATGAATTACCATTACCTTTACCCGAGATTCTGGAAGAATGCTGTGTTCTCAGCAGTCGGGCTTCCAGTTCAATTTCATTTTCTTCCTTCTCGTAGTTGGGTGTCTTCATCTTGGTAAATTTGTCTGGCTCAGTCATGTCATGTCATGGTGATGAACTGTAGCTGTACGCGGCCGTGGCCGCGCGCTGATTCCAGAACAAGAATCGCGAAGAGGGGAAAAGTAACAACATAACAATTGTTAAAGAAAACATACATAAAAGTGTGATCTATGGAAGAATGGTGAAAGATGATGACCATGTCATGATGAGTTGATGACAATGATGATGATATATTTGATGACAATAATTTGTGAAGAGACTCGTCTGATGAAGATCTGAATTGATTGAATCTTGATGTTGATTGTTAATAATAATAATGAACATTTGTATAGCGCCTTTTCTACAAGTAGATACAAAGCGCTTAATTAACATATACAATGAACAATTAACAAAATAGAAAGATGCTTAACAACAGACATGTATGTAACAATATAGGAATGAACAAAATAAAGGGTAAGACAGGTAATAGAAGAGCAAGACGAATGATGATGATGGCAATCCTCTGTAACAGATATGTGTGATTAAACATGTTATAGTTAGAGCTTCTGAATTACGAACGACCCTAGGACTTGGGCCTGATGAAGAAATGTGTGCATTATACTCGGTCTGTGAAGTGTAGAAATTTACTGCATACTAAATTTGCTTAGTGATGTTCTCGGCTAAAAAATGATAAATTGAAATTGATATTTCACTCCATGAAACGCTTTGATTTTTGATGGCTGATCAGTTTTATCTTGTCATGACTTAGATCTATAGTTCTTATGTTTTGTTCTTCCCCCTTTTCCATCATGCAGACACAGCAATGCCAGTCTACTGCTTGGATCTGAAGATGGTGTAGTCAGGATGTACCAGATTAACTCCTTAACTCCTGCAGAAATCAGCAATGCAAAGGTATATTCTACTTCTATTTAGATTCTTGGTAGACGTACATGTAGGTCTAGTCTGACATCACATTTGGTTGAAGATGAGCAATATCAAATTAGTCGACCTAACTTTCACACAGTCAAAGATGTTGTGAAGAATGCATACTATGAGTTTTCCTAACCTGGGTTGGGGGGGGGGGGGGTGGGGGTGTAAACATAACAAGTTTGCTGTTTAAACGTCAGATTATGCATATCACCATATAAATATTTAGTAATTTTTCTCTTTAAGCTGCTTTTTAAATGCTTCATCAATCCATTCCTGACCTTTTAAATGCTGAGATTTGGTGCAAGTAATCACAAACTATCGTCACTTTTCCTCATCTCCACCTATTTCTTTACAGCCTAACCTGATCCTTGAAACAAAGGGAGGTCCAATACAAGCCATGACCATCCATAACATTGCCAATTTTGGCTCGTTGGAGCTGATAACTGCAGACTCCCGTGGAATGATCACCATCTTCAGCAAGCAACAGATCCTGGACAGGAGGAGTGTATCTGATCATGGTTTGAACAGTCTTCAGGTGGACAAAGATGCTGGTGAGTTCAAGAGTCAGGATTCCAGATTCTAGTTTCAAGTTTTGTCGTCCATATATTTTTATTTTTATTTTCCCGGCATCCATGTGACTCTTTTCCAAATGTACTCTTGTTTTGTATTCAATGATTTTCTTTGTTTTTGCTGAATAAATAATAATAAATAAATAATAACACAGAAATGTGCTTTCCATTGTTGTTACTTACCTATACTTCAACCATGAATAAGATGTGATATCATGTGCTGAAAACCAGAAAGGCATTAAGTCAGTACAGTGTACAATAATGAGTATGGTGAACTCATATTCGCTCCAGCGAGAATGGCTCAGGACTTAATGTTGTCAAAGATGAAGGGTTAGGGTTAGGATTGTAATTGGATTTGAGGGTAAATTTAGTGTTTGGTCTACTGTTTAATTTTAAATGTCAGTCAGTGAAGGATATCAATCATAGGGCACTTATCACCGGAGCATGTATCGTATCCAATTTCATTCATTCTTGAAAAACAGAACACATGACTTTGAGATTTAACTCTGACAAACTGCAATAACAGTTTATTCGTATATCATCAGAAAAACATAAAATCATAAAATGTATATACTGTATGTATAGCCATTCAGATGGGAAGGGATTTACTTGAGATATAAATATAAATAATGTTTTCTTCCTTTTCTTTATGAAGCTGGTAACTTAGAGATCGTTGCAGGAGACTTAGAGGGCCAAGTGCATGCAGTTGTACCATTCTCAAATCTTTGGAAGCTTAGGCTTAAGCCAACAAACAACAGACCTCAAAAAGATAACAAGGTAAAAACAGATTAAACAAATAACTTTTTAGTCTTTAGAGAGCACATGTGTGCAGTTGTAATATCACAGCAATGTTCTCTATAAGTCATTTCATCTTTGCCAACCGGTTGATGGAAATAAACATAATGAATTTAGCCAAAAAGTTTACATAATCAGTATTATTATTGCTTAGGTAAAAACAATTTGTGGACTGTTTAGAGTCATTTTGTATTGCTTGATATGCTTTCAAATCTTCAAATTTACTAGAGTAAATGTGCTTTACTATAGATGCAAAGCACATTTCAAGCGCATGCAAATGTTTGAAAAGATATCTTATGACCGACCAGGCAGTCCAAGAATTAAAAATTAATCTTTTCTTTCTCCTTTCAAGACTCAACCGCAATCTGCTGAAGGGGTAAGTCAGCTTCTAGCAGCGAGACTGTACAGCAGTACTTCTGGGATAGCTACAAACTACATCCTTGCATCTGATAGGGCTAAAAATCTTCACTTCATTCAGCAAGGTGCACTAGTTCTCACGTTACCAGCAGTGACATCCATTAAAGCTGTAAGTTTCTTCCTCTTCTTTCAAAGATCTTTTAATTTGTATTTTCATACTCTCATTTATGTATACAATTTTTACATTATTATTGTATTTTATCATCCCTCAAAACTTTGCCTATTCTCCATAATTTTTTCTTTTGTGGGTATTGAAACTGAAAGTGAATTTATTCACCATATTTATAAGTCACCACTTTAATAATTCTTTTGTTTACTTTATAAAAAAAATTGACTCGTTTTGTGTCAAATAAAATATTGTGTTCTGTTATCACAATCATTTTCATTTTTATAATAAAGTCATTCCTATATTACACTAATGAAAAATTTCAAGCTTGACTGTGCTATTTTACTGTTGTATATTCAGCACTGATCTATCAGCTGAAAATATGATTTTTATATCTCATCAAAGTACATCAAGATAGATACTGTGTTTTTTATATATTTTTCATTTTATTTTATGTTTTAGATGTGCAGTGGCTATTTCATGTCCCTCCCAGAGGAGACCGACATCCCTGAGATCAAGAATGGAATAGACCACCAAGTTGCTCTGGGTGGAGAGGATGGAACAATATCCATCTTGTCAAATTTCAAGGTACAAGAATTAGAGAAGCAGCTGAATAAGACAGAACTGAAATCTGATTTTATACAAAAGTGTTGCTTCAGAATATGATTTTAATTCTCATTTCTGAATCATTATAGTGCTGTTTTATTGTTTTAAAAATGTATGTGCTGGGGTTGTTTTTAATGAATTGAATCTGGTCTCCAAATTATAGAAGAACTTTACAACTCAAGTTGTCACTAAAGTCAACAGTGAAGAGGCTTGATTATTGTGATATGTCAGATATGTAACTTGCAATGCAATACAATACAAATACAAATACAGCACAATACAGCACAATACAATGATAATAATAATGATAATAATAAGATATTTTGATACCGCAAAGCAAAGCGTCTAAGAAGGAAAGTAGTTGATAAGTGAAGGAAACAGAATTGCATTTGCACAATACAATAAAATGCAGATTCATACTATTGCTATTCCAAGCCATTCTAAATTTGATCTTAATCTGTTTATTTGGCAGATATCTGAGTTGCAGTATGCCAATGTTCATTTGCCGATCACCCAGATGCTCCGCCTTCCGTCAGTACAGAATGATGGCAAGGACTCCCTCTTGTGTTCGGGACATTTCAACTCTGTTTTTCTGTATCATTCAGCAATAGTAAGTATCCTGCTATCATGAAAAACATAAAATGTAACAGTTAAAAAGTAAGGTATGAAGTTGGAAATGTTTGTGTAAATTCTCTTCACAATTGTTGAGTGTTACCTGTTATGAATGCTGCTTTGAAAAAATTATACTTATGTTCATTTTCGGAGTATATGGGTGTTTTTTCTCTCAAATTATGATATGCATGACAAAACACAGTATATAGCAGTGGTTATAAAGTCAAATTTGTCCAGCTGAAGGACCAAAGTGGTGTTTTAGAGTCCATTATATAGATAAGGAAGGAATAAATCTTAACCCTCAATTTGTTGAACCTGTCTCTCTCATAGGACTTCAAGCTGGAGGTCATTGAATACTTCTTGGAAGAAAGTATAATAATACACTGTACTTTCTCTTTTGGTTTTTTTGCAAATATAGACAATCAATGAAATGATACTAAATTCCATAAATTAATTCACAACCTTTCACAAATTTATTCCATTTCTTCCCCCAGTGCCTTGCAAAGTACCAGACCTCTGACTGGGTGATAGCCATGTCTCTCTCAGAAGTGGATAAGGAAGGAAAACAAGAGGTCGTGATTGGCTGCAGAGACAAGAATATTACAGCCATCAAGGTCACATGATGCAGGAGCAACATTGTGATTGGGTAGGAGTATCGTAGTCAAGTCGCTGGGCCCAGAGACGCAAACCTGGAGGATGCTTTTGATTACATTCATTCAGGTCTTGGGGCTGAGACCAATACCAAAATATCAACAGCCTGAGACTTGTCTTGCTACATCACTGTTGGCTGGAAAGGACTTCTTGTCAAGTTGGTCATCTTTACATTGCATATGCATTATTCAGTGAAAGTGACAAAGCAATGGCCTTTAGGACAAGAACTAAGAGCAAGGAGACTCAAAGGCCATACCATCAAGACATGTCCCCAGAATTGAAGACCAAGCTGTCAAGCCACAACCAAGAAGTGGAGACCTGGATTTTGCTAGAGAAATAAAGAACAAATTGCCAAGTTGGCGATGTGTACTCTTCATGTTCTATACTCATCAGTGGCAATGACAAGCTAAAGCCTGCAGTCCTAGATTGAGGAACTACCTCTTTGTTATAAGACTAGGACTTCGAAACAAAAGGATGAGACCACGGAATGCATGGATTGACTACGGAATAGAAATTACAATCCTGAACAATCAGATCAAGATTCTAAATGTAAAACAAGACTCCACTCTATTTTGTTCGGGGGGGGGGGGGGGGGGGGGGGGGGTTAATATATAAAATATTAGGTCAATATGCATGTTATAATTCCACAATTTACGTTAGAACATATTGGGGGACCAGAACAAAATTTGGGGGTTCTTATTTACCAGGAGTGTCAAACCCTGCCAAGAACTGAAGACTGATCTTAACCTATGTTAAGTGGTGTCCTGTCATAGCATATTCTGTGTCTGCTGCTTGATGCTGTTAGTCAGCATTCAGATGGTCCAAATATCAAGCCTATGTGCATGAGAGAATTTAGTACCGGGTAGTCAATGTGATATGTGACTTTTGCACTCTGCCTTGCTTCTTTCTTTTGTAAGTTGTCTTTTCCCCCAGACGGCTATGTACAAGTTCAGAATGCATTATCATTCTGAAACTAGCAGAGAATAATATGCAGACCTTTAAATGATATATTACCAAATTTCAATCATAAAGAACATTGATCTAACAACTAAGGATCTCTTATAGTACTTCTCACTATAATCATGACCATAAATGTAACTTATGGCTTAAAAGTCATTAAATCAAGCTCAATGTTCACAGTGCTGACATAGACGTTGAATGAAAATTAAGTTTTTAATAAATGATGTGATTCAGATACAGTATGAGAAAATGAGTTGTGCTGTTGTGCAGACTTTGAATACATCCCAACATTTTCTTTATAACCGTATGGTTAATCTTGTAGCACCTGTTAATTATTGTTCATTTCTAATGGCAGCAAAATATGTATTGTTTTTTAATTGTGCAAATAAAAGTTCAAATTTACTGGTGTGTTGATTGGACAATGCATGTAATAATAATGAGGCTATAAAGGTGCTTATAAAATGCTTTCCACCAGTCTCTAAGCGCTAAAAAGCTAAATAGAGAAAGAGAGAGAGAGAGAGAGAGAGAGAGAGAGAGAGAGAAAGAAAGGGTGGGTGGAGACAAGAATAAGATAACATATGTGCATAGTTAAAATGATACATGTATATTAATATGATCTTTATGAATAAAACAAGCATAAAAAAGAATACGAGACAGATAATTAAATAGAGAGAATATAAGACAGATAATTAAATAGAGAGAATATGAGACAGATAATTAAATAATAAATAGAGAGATAAAGAGAGACTTGGACCATGAAAGAAAAAAAAGGTTGAAAGTGCCAGGGCGAGAAAGAGTTTAAGGGAGAATGAAAGAGAATATAAGAGAGAGAGGGGGGGGGGGGGGGGGGGGGTAAGAGAATGAGGTTGAGAGGAAATGACAGAGAATCAAAAATAATTAAGAGAGAGAATGAGGGATGTTGATTGCCGAAGTAATAAAAATCCATGGGAGCATTTGAAGGTAAAAAGGTAATACAAATTGATTTCACTTTTTTTTTTAAACGCAAAGAATGAATACGTACACCATATATTATAATCTGATTTAGAAATTACAGGCTATTATAGACCTCCGTTGTTTGTAAACATGGTTATTCTTTGTCTAGCCGACAGTGAAGGTGGTGCATTGGAAAGAAGTTCCAGAAATAAATTGCAACTCTTGACTCTAGATTCATTCCATGATTCGCTTTCGTTACGTTTTTCCCGCGTTCCTCTTCTTACTGGAATAACGAACTTCCTCCAATTGTAAACAAAAGTAGGCACGGGGAATCCCCGAGTATCTTGTACATTACGACCACCCAGGCGTCGAAACACACTGTCCTTAATAAAGTCGGCACCATTTAGTTTCGACTTCATTTTTCATTCGTGTATTATGCTTAATGTAGTGGTATTATTAACCATACTATTTCTATGGTTTTGGTAATCTCTATAGAATAACGATATATTTTTTACTAATTTTCTTCTATAACAAATATCGCTATTTTAAAGCACATCATGATCACATACGGAGTAGTAGTCCCACATCGTACAATTTGGGGCCGAGTCGAAAGACGCAGAAAATACTAGTTGCCGAGTTCACAGGAATCCAACTGCTAACCAGAGCCAAAAGAAGGATCAAAACTCAATTTTTGTTGTACACTTTAACGCTATTTTGAGGATGGATAGGAAAAGAAAATACGACGGGGAGTCAGATGGACCACCTCTGTCCAAGAAATCAAATTTCAATGGTGAGAATATGCCTCTCTTCCGTGTCAAATGATATAGATCTTCCCATCACCAACCATCAAATTTTCAAAACAACCTTAGTCCCACATGTACTCATTGTACGTTTGATCCTCTCCCTCTTTCGAGCTTTGCTCAATACATGATAATATGCAGACAGTTAACAACTAAATTATTCATACCCCTTGTAAATTGATGTCTTTTTGTGTTTCTGTAACTCAAGAATGACAGGTGGACTGGTTTAATTAGGGCCTTTGTTGAATACTTCTACATTTAGGTGTAAGCTTAACATGCATGTCACATCCTCTCAATAAACGTAAATTCAGACAAATCAATTTTTGACATAGAGGTCTAGTCTAGTCTAAATCTAGGGCCTACTTTAAAAAGTTACAAAACTTGGTAAGGTTCTGAGTATGAATAATTTATGAGTTAACTGCAGATCTAGGTATTTATATTTCATATGAATATGAATCATACTTGAATGTTAGTCAAGGACTTTGATTAGACTAAAATGTTTATGCGGTCTAAAGTAGTAAAGTTGGATCTCGTTACCCATACCGTTATTCTCTTCAATTTCATTATTTTAGTTTTTATGTTACTGCTGAATTCCTGGAAATTCCAGTGGAATGATTGCAATAATCTAGTCATGTTTTATAGACCTATAATTATTTTTGTAATGTAAATTGTAAAACATTAGATCTTATCTGGAACAAGGTCAACTTTTTTATTCTTTACTTACGATGAAGAAAATATGTTCAGCACAGGCAGCAATTACAAAACTAACACTCGTCAAAACAACAGTGCCATCAAATGTTTGATCTATACACTTGATTAAACTTAAAGTTGAATAAGATTGTGCACTCTAGAACCACAGGAAAAATATACTACTGATATTCTCCACTCCAACGTATTCAGAACATGGCAGCCGGTCTCATTACCAAAACCAGAAAATATGAACACATAACTCCTATTCTTAGATCTCTTCATTGACTACCTATTTTAACTCGCATTCAATTTAAGATTCTTTTGTACCTATTGTTCCATCACGTTCATTACGGTCAACTACACATATGCTAATTTCCAATACGCCCCTGGTCCCCGAACCAATACCCATTACGAAGATCGTACTTTTGCTATTGCATCCCCTAAATTATGGAACAGTTTACCAATTATTATTCATCAATCCCCATCTGTAGAGTCTTTTAAGGCAAGTTTGAAGTATTTTTTGTTTAATAGTAATTTATAGAGCAGTTTATAATTATATATGTTATTATTAGAATTATGTATTATTATTGCTGTATGTTCATTTTACGTTGTACCTTACTTGTATGTTAAGCGCTTAGAAACATTGTATTAAGCGCTTTATAAATGTAATTTATTATTATTAGTAGTATTAGTATGACAGTTTCAGGCTGGCATGCTTGTACGTTTATTTATGACTCGGAGCCTAAAAAAAAAAAAACCCAAACAAAGGATTGATTATTGGATTCTTTTCAAATATTTATTAGATGGGGATGACGGTGGAGGAGGGGGTGTGTCTTTTGCCCCCCAGCAGATGTTCAAATCCCTGAGCGATGCATCCACAGACTCTTCTGATTCTTCATCTTCGATTGGATCTCCACCGCCTCTCTTCAAACCGATGGGCCTGGGGGCATCAGTGGCCCCATCAATGGCCCCTTCCAAGCCAGCAGCGCCATCATCATCTTCAGGATACAGCTCAGCTGCACAGAAAATGATGGTAATACTAAACAATAGGCTATATCCTTTTTTTTCCCCTTCTTGCAACTTCTATTAAAAAACAAAAAGTTGTACTTTGTATGTGCTTTGCATTTCCTCCGCTATTTAAATGGCAGAGAAGATGGAAAGGGAAGCAGTGCCAATATTTGAAGATATTTGAAGGAATGTTGAACTCTTTCATGAAGGATGGCTATATGTAAACTGATACAGTTATTGCCATAAAGGAGGAATACATAGAACATTATGTCTCCGTAGGAACCCTCTTTTGTAATAAATTATTGTAGAATTTCTCTCTTTCAATTTGTTTTTGTTTTTAGTAGTAGTAGTAGTAGTAATAGAAGAAGTAGTAGAAAACTTTATTGGATAACTTGTGTAGTACGAGGCTAATCTACCACAAGGTCTATAAAATTTCTTTTCTTTCGACTCCAGGCTAAAATGGGTTACAAAGAAGGCGCAGGACTTGGTAAAAAGGGCAAAGGTCGTGTGGACATCGTTGAAGCATCCAAACAAAGAGGGCGACGTGGTCTCGGTCTCAAGACGGCTGGATTTGAACCTAGCACTGAAGTGGTGTGGGCCGGAGATGAAAAGGTATGTTCAATATGTGATGATTATGATGGGAACTTTTGAAATATTTTTATAAATAAATGTGTTTTATTGAAACAATCAAATACAATCACGATATTTACATTTTTCATGAAAAGATTATGATGGGAACTCGTTCCATGAAGGGGCAACGTACAACATATAGTACATCCACAAGTGCTCAGCAGTCAATTTCGTCCTTTAATTAAAGGAAACCAAAACCTTCATACTAAGTTACTTTTATTGTAAAGTTTAAGATATTTGAAAAATATCAGTGAAAATTTGAACAAAATTGGGCAAGGAATAAGGAAGTAAGAGCTTTTTTAAATTACTAGTCACTAGAGGGCGGTATTCAATTTGATGACATCATCTGTGGACAACTCTCCATGCCTTTTGTACATCAAATTTCATGTTTTTCCTTCTTTCTTGTGATTAAGATAATGTACTCCCCTGAAAGCAAGATATAGAATGCAAAATGATATTCTACTTCACATGTTATGAAGTCGGATCAAGAACACAAATAAATACGAAGAAAACAACAAAATTGTGAAATTTTATGTACAAAAGGCATGGAGAGTTGTTCACAGATGATGTCATCAAATTGAATACCGCCCTCTAGTGACTCGTCATTTCAAAAAGCTCTAACTTTCTTATTCCTTGACGGATTTTGTTCAAATTTTCACTGATTTTATTCAAATCTTTTAAACTTTACAATAAAAGTAACTTAGTATGAAGGTTTTGGTTTCCTTTAACGTTTAAATTTCAATCCTTGACACAACGCTATACCCAAACAAAACTCTATGTATTTGAAATAATAAAGCTGCAGCGAATGATGCCAGTACAAATGATCAATAATTGGATCACCTATAAATTGTAATATCTTGTCTGGAGTACATAGTCTGGTCAGGTATTGCCAGTTTGCTCAAAATTTACTTCTATTAGGTATCAGTATCACTTATGCATAATTCACAGTATAATCGTGAATATGAAATTTGCAGAGCAAACTTATGCTAGCTGCTCTTTCAAATAATATCAGTTTGAGTGAGACAATGAAAGCATGAGCATAAGGTTGGCATATTTGAATTTGCATAATAAAATAATTCTTTATTTGAAATGATGCATGGCATCTCTCTGTGCTCATGATGTTAATTTCTGAATGTGCTAGCTATTCATAACTATCAGTAGAAGTGTCGTAGTTGAGTGGTTTGAGCACTTGACTTCAAATGCAAAGGTTGTGGGTTCGATCCTCGAAACGGCACTAATGTAATTTGGCAAGGCATTAATCTACATTTGCCACTCCATGCCAAAGCATTTGTGTTAGTAATTGCCATATGCCCTCACGGTGACCATATGGTAGGAATACAACCCAGGGAGTGGAGATGGTGCACATTGTGCATGAATGAATCCGATGACGGGGTAATAATATCTGTAAAGGGCTTAAAGACTGTATTTTCTATTAAGAGGTATATAAATCGAGATCATTATTATTACTTTCATTGATTTTGTTACTCTAGGTGTCTTCTGAAGAAACCGTTGAATGGATGGAGCCATCACAAGGTATCCTGACCAGCGCTGAGATAGAGGAATGGAAAGTCCTGTGGGATGCCCAAAAGGTAAGGGCTGACAAACGGTACATGTGTTCACAAGGTATTTTCCATCCACAGTGTTCTCACCAGTACATATTAAACACTTTATGCTCATGCCAAGTGTGAGGGACACCTTCTGCCTGACAAGTGGACAAACAAGCATGATAGATTTATAAATCAATGCATAATTGCAACATGTGAAATCAATTTAATCCTCTCGAAACACACCCTGGGGTGCTGCAAGACCATCTGCTCACTTAGGACCCCTCCCCCCAAAAAGGATGTCTGTCAGTGTCCATACATCATGACATCCTTAATTAAGCAGTGAAATGAACATGTCACCCTCTTCCTCTCGGTAATAAGGATGTGACAAATTGCTATCTCTTTCTTTCTATCTACAGCAAAAGCTGACAATTGATGATGAGACAGAATTTTGTGATGAAACCCTGCTGAAGATACTCCTTGAACAAAAGGTAAGAAACACACAAGAATTTTTGTAATTTTTTTTGGAGGGTGGGGGGGGGGGGGGGGGGGACTTAAGCCAGTCTCAAAAGAGTATTACATCTAAATCGAATTCACTCTGCATGTAATTACAATGTGAATGCATACTATCCTTGTTTTTTTCTTTCTTCGCTCTCAATTTGGGTGATAGGCAATGTTTGTATGAAGTTTCAAATACTTGGCACATTACAACTAGTCCTATCCAGACCAAACTGAGATGAGCCTTGTTTAAGATTAGTCACATAGTAGTCAGTACTACAGTCATGCTCTCCTTACTGTATGGTTTTATCAAATGTGCCCTATTTGCTTATTTGCAATCGGAGCAACATTATTTAATAGTCCTAAGTAACAGTATGGGCCAAAGATCGAACCTTAGAAAAGCTTCTAGTTTCAGGGTGTGCAAAATGGAATTTTAAAAAATGAGAATACATTACTGCTGATAAGATCTTATGTAGAATAAGCTGAGCATTACTCCTTTTTTTCTCACTAGTCGACCTTTGACCGCCTTGACGCAGAGGAGATGAGGCAAGCCAGAACCCGTTCCAACCCCTATGAGACAATCCGGGGTGGTATCTTCCTGAATCGAGCAGCCATGAAGATGGCTAATATGGACTTTCTCTGTGATTATATGTTCACATCACCAAAACACCCAGATAGGGTGAGTAATGGAGCCGCATTCCAGATAGTTGGTATATTATAAATTGGCAAAGGAGAAATTCTTCTAAAAATCTTTTGATCGCGCAATAGTTATTGACTTTTATATCATAAATAATAAGTGAGGTTAAATTAAATGTTATATAATTTTAAGTTTGATTATGAAGATATCCATAAAAAATATCAATTTTGTTTTCTTTTTCTACTTTACTACTACTCAAGATGACTTACTCAGTCTCTCTGAATAAGATTTGTTTTTTGTTTATTAACACTCAAATCAGTGGAATATGTCTTCATCGCCTCTTTTTCATTTTTAATATCTTTGATAAGCAGACGCCGGTGGTGAAAGACAATGAGCTCCTATATTTTGCTGATGTGGCTGCTGGCCCTGGAGGTTTCTCAGAGTACGTGGTGTGGAGAAGAACACAGTCTCAAACCAGGAGGGACTTCCGGGTCAAAGGTTTTGGGTTCACCTTGAAAGGTAGCTGTGATTTCAAGCTGGAGAACTTCTTCTCAGCATCTCCAGAATTCTTTGAACCTCACTATGGTAGGTAATCTTCCGTGTAAGAATACTTGTTATTTACCTACATTTTTTATTTTGTTGTTGTTGGGGGGGGGGGGGTCTGGTTGGAAATCAAATTTGTAACCAATAATGCTTGATGTTTGGTAGAATTAAAATATCAGGGTTGTGAATTTGTTGTGGGAAATGGAGGAGACGGTTGAGGAGTAAGGCCTTATCAGCACCGTTTTTATTATTATTATTGTTATAGGAGCCTTTTCCTTTTTTGGCTGCTGTCCACTCTCAAGCATGATATCTATTTGCATCTAGTATTTGATGTTATTTTCTTTTTTTTCATGCTGCCAAGTGATTTAAATCAAATGAATTGAAGAATCATATCGAGATGAGTGATGTTATTGTTTTCTTATGCTAGGTGTGAATGGGAGTGATGGTGATGGGGATGCTACAAACAGTGAGAACCAAAGTGAGTTCAGAAGATTTGTAATGGAGCACACGGATGGGAAAGGTGTCCATTTCGTCATGGCCGATGGGGTGAGTATTTTGTTATGTATTTCATATTTAGTACATGGATTACGTCAATGATTTCAACTTTAATAAAAGGCCCTAGAATCCACAGTTTGGCACGTGCGTTTATGAAATGACATAGGGGCAGATAAGCTACGTGTAATCATGGGATCAGGTCTTTGGATCGTCTTTATGAAATTTCTACAGTATTCCACGAATGAAGAGTAATTGATGAAATAATAATTTTCGTTTACCGGTACCCATGGCAGCCTCACCAGCTTCAACGCTGCTCTTCTTGAAGGCCCTGCAATAATTATTATCCCAGCGATTGACAGGTACCCATTTACACCTGGGTGAAGAGTGGCAAATGTGAATTAATGTCTTAATGGCAGACTGAGATTGGAACCCTCAAGACTTGGACTGAGAGTCAAGTGAATGAAGCACTATATTATGACACCTCCACAATAGGATATCTGTATCGTCTTTAAAATGCCCTGTAAATGAAAAGAGGGCCACCGCTGAATAAGATTTCTAGCAATAGGGTGTAATGTAAAAAATCTTAACAAAATGAAAATAGTAAGCCCTCGTGAATGACATTTGAATTTCACCCTTGCTTGGTCTTTTTCTTCACTAGGGTTTCTCTGTGGAAGGTCAGGAGAATATCCAGGAGATTCTCAATAAACAACTGTTGCTATGTCAGTTCTTGGTTGCCATGTCAATAGTCAGAGAAGGTATTGTAATGTACATACCCTTTGGTTCTTAGCCATTAAACTCTTGTAAGAATCATGTCATATATATATTCTGTAAGACTTATTTTAAACCTCACAGTAACGGTAAAAGAAGCTTTTGTCCTGATCATAAGCTAAACATTTGTTTATTCATTGTGTTAATCCTTCATCTAAGCCTGTCTGCACTAGTTTGGCCAGGGGGATTAGACCTCCCTGTGTGGACACTGACAGGTGGTTATCTCATCAAATCAGCTCTCATTTAACATAAGAAAAAGGGGATCATGGGGGACCAAAGGGTACCGCTTAGGCATTGTTTGCTTTATAGAGGGCGTAAGTAGCTACAAGTAGTACAGTCCCGCTTTAAATTCTTTTTCAATCTCTTTCAATCTCTCATGTCAGGTGGTCACTTTGTGTGTAAGACCTTTGACCTCTTCACACCATTCAGCATTGGTCTGATCTACGTCCTTTACCGGTCATTCGAACAAGTCTCCCTCTTCAAACCCGTCACAAGCAGACCAGCAAATTCAGAAAGGTCAGTATCGTTGTTCAATGCCTTGCTTCAGGGTCCTTTGCTTCTATAAAGCACAAATACTGAAAAAGCTGTTAATTCAGAGAGGCAATACCTCATCAAAGCTCTTACTCAGTGTCACTTTAAATAGATAGTCATGACCAATATTGATTTTCCACTGTCTCCAAAAATGTGAGTGACAGAGTCATTGAATCAAGTGCCTGGGGTAATGATAATATGGTAAGCATTTTGGTTGGTTAAGTTAGAGTTGGCAAAGCGTTTTTTAATTAACAGTCACTGCTGTTATTAGTATTATCATTATTAATATTATTGTTGTTGTTGTTATTATCATTATCATGATTTTCCATTGTAGCATTGTTGACAGGGGGCACACCCACAAGTTTAGGAAACATTCAGATTTGATGCTACTCCATGAAAACATGAGCTGAAAACAAATATTGACTGCTTATTTGATACATACTATGATTAAAACTATTGCCCCTCAGTGATCTCAAAGTTGCTGCCTTGGCACTTTTTCTCAGGTAGGACTTTAGTATCAAGATCTCCTTGAGGCAGTGACAAACCCCTATCATACGAATATGTTTACGTTATTAATATGAGTACAATATTTCTTATTTAGATATGTGATCTGCAGGGGTCGTAGGTCGGGAACTGACCCGACGCATGACTTCCTCTACGACCTGAATGTGACCTTGAACATGCTGAAACCAAGTAAACAGGATGTGCTTGAGAGTGTTCCTCTCGGTGTGCTGCAAGCAGACGACGCCTTCATGGACTACGTCATAGCACAGAATGAAAGGTACAGTGATGAGTCACAATGTACAATGTACGGAATGCTCCCTAGGGAGTGGAGAATGTGCATACATTGTGTATGGGTAAGCCTGCATCTGATGACCGGGTAATAATATATACTGCGCCTAGAAACAAAGTATTAGGTGCCTTATAAATGTGATGTATTATTATTATTATTAATGATCTACTATCAGTATTATCATTGTCCCTAGTCATTTTGAAGGACTTAATCCTGTCCGTCGGTCAGGCCATGCAGCGCACTCTCAATAACTTCATACTATATGCTCATCTTTTGAAGACCTCAGTCAAGTTTGAATATTGGGTAATGTTTTCAAGGTCAAAGCCAAAGGTCAAAGTCAAAGGTCAATGAACTGTCAATGAAAAGCACTGTACTGGTCATCTCAATAACTTTGTACAACTTGGAGATAATGCAGATGTATCTCTGTGTAGTGAATAGTCTGTTGAGTGAATAGTCTCAACCCCCAATTTTGTATTCACTGTTTTTATTTCATTCATTCCAAAAAGAGTTGAATTTAAGGAAACTAAAAATTAATAATTGTTGTTTATTCAGGCAAGCTGAAACTCAAACCCAAGGTCTTGCCAAGATCCAGGCCTACGTACAGAACTCCGATCTGATTGAGATGGAACAGAAGAGGATGAGGGATGAATGTCTGGCACTCTGGGGGTACGTTTGGCTTCCTTCTTCTAAAGATCATGACTACTCAATGGACTACCAACAACACAATTGCTATTTAAGATTGTAGAGGTGCTGTGGTGTAGTTTGAAGTCACAAGACTGTGAATCACAAGGTTTAGGGTTCAAATCCTTGCCACAGGACTTATATTCTTTGTTAGAACATTAATCTTCACCTGACCTATGTGTAGTAGGTGGGTACCTGGTAGGATTATTTCTAATACTTAGGGTCATCTTTTTCAAAGCTCTTTAAAAGTGAAGAAGGGTGGTGTATCATATTGTGATGTGAACTATACAAGAACAAACTATTTGATCTTATTGTCTAATTAAGTTGAGGTCTTTCACTGCTGTTACTGCTCAACAGTTTCACCGTATCCCAGGTTTGGGTGGCTAAGGGTTGGTCATACTTGCCAGAGGTGTGACCTTAGGACCTCGTGGAGGACAGGAGTGCAGTTCTGTAGAACTGCCCACTACCTATAAGGTTTACAAGTTATCAAAAGGGAAATGATTTTGCTGGTGACTGTATTTAAGTATCAAAGACATTGATTGTGAAATAAAGATGAAACCCCAGATTCATCACTGCAATGTAACATTTTTTTAAAACTCCTGTTCGTTTATTACGAAAACCTACAGGAATCGAGCAAAGGCAATATAAAAGTGACATTTTGATGTTCTGTTTAATTTGAAGAATTATTTTTGCTTTCCTTTAGATCCCAGGAAGATCAAGAGCAGCTCCCAAAGTCCCAGATACAGCTACTAAGTTCAGTGAACTTTGCCAGGTATGAAGACATGTTAAACATGAGACTTTTTTTTTGTTTTTGAGCATGCATGTGTCAACTTTATCGTGGTGAAGATTTATATGTCAAACTTGCCCTAACATAATGCATGTATTGACTCCAGCCAATGTAATTCTGTGGAGCTACTTCATAGCCCTTGTTAATTTTACTTCATAGTTCTCGTTTAAACCCGCCCGAGCATGCGCAGATCATTTTTTGAAGCAATCTTGGCTACTGTTGAAAAATAGTCCTGAAGAAAATAGAAGCTGACAAGAATTGTATTAAGTTGGCCTTTTATGATAAAGGAAGGAGAGGTTGGCATATACTCTTCCTCTAATTATTCATAAAATAACACACAAACTTTGAACATAAGTTCTTGTTTAATCTTTCTATTTCAATCCAGTAAGGGTCCCTAATCCATTCTCAATCCATGACTATTAAATGGTATAACCTAAATGCGGTTGAGGTAGAGATTGACCCCATCCGCTCCTGTGACTCCGGAGGCAAGGGTCGTCACTCCCTTTCTATGTCCACACACTGCCTAAGACATAGCCGTAGCCTATGGTAGATGCATTTGTAGATGGTGCAACAGATGGCTTGCACTTTTTGTCAAAATTAACTCAAAAGGCTTTTACATTGTCTTTTTTTATGTAGATGCTTATAGGAAACTCACTGTAAGTAAAGGGGTAGGTTATTAAAACCAAAGATTTTGTAGGACCTGTTTTGATGTAGGGCATTTAGACCTGAGAAAGCCTAATTTTCCCTTTCTGTGATCTACATAACACTTATTGCATTGATCGAGGCTATTCATGATGAAAAACAGGTGTGTTGTAAGCCATTGCAGCAAACCCTTGGAAGATTTATAGTGCCAGAAAGTTGTTTTCCTGTAGGGGTCACATTCTACTGATGATGCTTGATATTTAGTTCTGGCATGCTTCCATTACACACAAAAATCATGTACATATCGAGGGTTCAGTGACACAAAGGCGTAACTCCATATTTTGCTAAAATGAGTATTTGATATCATTTAAGTCAATGGCTAGTGAAACATAGACTTAACTCCTTAAGGCCTAAGTGCTCATTGACACATAAACCGCTTTTTCTCAAAATGGCCAAAATGGAGTTACGTCTTTGTGTCACTGACCCCTTGACATGAAGTTGTAACAAGAGAGGGGTAAGAATTAAGAATTTGGGGATGCTTTTCTGATTAACAGGAGGATCGGGGCGACTGCGGTTACTTCTGCAGGATTGCCATGCCGTTGGACAAGGAGAACTTTGCTCAGAAAGTCAAGAGTGTGTATGACTATCGCTGTACAGTGTCTGCAGGAGAGCGCTACTTTGTTCTTGGTGTTGGGGTAGGTCATAATAGAAATTCTATCACTTTCCTTTCAGTGTCAAGTATGATATTCCTCTCTATTGTACCAGCTTTGATGGACATTAATTCCAATTGCACAAAAAAAAACCTTGGGATACTATGAAACAAAGTGCTGTGCTAACTGTACTGGGAATATACGTTGGATCATTCTATACCAGGTTCACAGGTTGTACTTTAATTTATGAAAAACATTCATGAAAACTTTCATTTCTTTCCCCCCCCCCCCCCCCCCCCCCCCGAAAAAAAAAAATATATATATATATATATATATATATGTATATATACATTAAAACTTTCGAAAGTTGGCCTTCTAATTGACTCTGTAATTGTTTTTTCACTCTCAACCTCGGTTACAATTTTAAACAAAGTTTCCGATAGAGAGGAAAAGGTTTTTTATATACCACCTTTTGTTCATGTAGAGATCCTACAAGTTCTTTCTAAGATGAGAAGTGTCTGATCAGCTCCTTGTGTGTACCATAACTTTGTTTTTGTAGAGATCTTATGCTTATGTACTCTTCTGGGATGAGAGGAACTATCCCCAAGGCTAAGAAAGCTAAACAGGTTTAAGCTGCATCATTCTTTTCAACAATTTTACTTTTGTATCTAACCCACTACTTTCTTGTAGATATCTTATGTATTCGTTTGGGATAGCAAAAACCAACTACCACTAGGAGAAAGCGAGCTTGATGTAAGCTACATCAATCCTGTCAAGTATTTTTATTTTATAACCCATTATTTTTTTGTTGATATCTTATGTATATTTTTGGGATTGCCCTAAACCAACTACCACGAAGGAGAAAGCTACATCAATCCTGTCACGTATTTTTATTTTATAACCCATTATTTTTTTGTTGATATCTTATGTATATTTTTGGGATCGCCCTAAACCAACTACCACGAAGGAGAAAGCTACATCAATCCTGTCAAGTATTTTTATTTTATAACCCATTATTTTTTTGTTGATATCTTATGTATATTTTTGGGATTGCCCTAAACCAACTACCACGAAGGAGAAAGCTACATCAATCCTGTCAAGTATTTTTATTTTATAACCCATTATTTTTTTGTTGATATCTTATGTATATTTTTGGGATTGCCCTAAACCAACTACCACGAAGGAGAAAGCTATATCAATTCTGTCAAGTATTTTTATTTTATAACCCATAATTTTTTTGTTGATATTGCCCTAAACCAACTACCACGAAGGAGAAAGCTACATCAATCCTGTCAAGTATTTTTATTTTATAACCCATTATTTTTTTGTTGATATCTTATGTATATTTTTGGGATTGCCCTAAACCAACTACCACGAAGGAGAAAGCTACATCAATCCTGTCAAGTATTTTTATTTTATAATCCATTATTTTTTTGTTGATATCTTATGTATATTTTTGGGATTGCCCTAAACCAACTACCACGAAGGAGAAAGCTACATCAATCCTGTCAAGTATTTTTACCTTTCTATCTACCCCATTATTTTCTTACAGAGATCTAATGTATTCTTCTGGGATGGGAAGCACCAACCCCCTAGGTGGAGGAAGCTAGAGAAGTGTAAGCTACGGCTACCAGGAGACACCCTCTTTGAAGCAGAACTTCTCGAGGAACTCAAAGGAGAGGTGAGGACAACAACAATTTTAAACTGAGAAACAAAAACACTTTTACAATAAGCATTGAAGTTGCTCATATTTGTTGAATTTCTTATTGAATTTTCCTTCCACCAAAGTTGTTGATTCTAGAAACATGCACCAGTTAGATTATATTACAAAGATATGCTGTGGTTGTTATTTTGTAAATTTGAAACCTCTGAAGTACATTGATACATGCCATGCATATAAGTATGTTTCTTGTAATTTGGGAGACATTGGTAACACATCCTTGCAGCACCCCCCCCCCCCCCCCAAAGCAGTGTCCTGTCATTAAAATTGTAGAGGAGTTCAAGACACATTGTATTTAGATAAAATTCAAACATTCATTCTGAGTCGGTATCATTGAAAGTCTAGAGAGCAGAGCACTAAACCAACTCACATCTCTCAAACAAATATCTTAAAATATCATCTCCTGCAAGTTGATTTTGACTGTTCAGAGCCCAGGTCAGACAAATTTTAACAGCTCATGTCATAGATGCTATGTGGTTAGCTCCCCAACATATCTCTCAAAATCCAATCTCCCATAAATGATGTGTTTACATACAATTTGATAACGGTACCTGTCATGTTTTAACTGTGTATAGGGCTCGGGTCAGAGGAGAATGTTAACGGCTCATATCATAGACGCTATGTGGTTAGCAGGTCAGGATGTGCATTCATTACCGTACTCAGAGAGGTAAGTGCATGTATAGCAATCAATGCCGAACTCTGCAAAGGGTCGCTAGAATTAATGATGGAAAAATATTGCTCTATAAAACAACATTATTGAATGAGATTTGCAGAGTGAACAGTTTTTTAATATTTGACCTTCAGAAAAGTGAAAATTGCAAAAGTTTTCCTTTAGAAGATTTGATGTGTACCTTTATAGGCCAAAAAATGACACACCTTTTAGCTTTTCCATTTACATGTGTATGCGTAGTTTCCAAAAATTATAACTTAACACGATTTCTTGAAAACAAGAGTTCAAAAACAAAATGGTGTAGCATATATTTCTATGATGTGTGTAATCAAATGATGTGAATAATCTACTAGGTCCCAGTGACCTTGCCAACAGCGGTTTTAATTGGAATTCTTCATTTATACTTGCAGAGTCCAAAGGATTAGTTTGTTTGTCAAAGCAGTGAATCGACCTACGAGATCTGACCTGACGCCTCTGAGGGTCAAAGAGGTCTTCAGATGTCAGGATGTCTCAGAGATAATGGATAGGTCAGTTATGTGATGGTTGAGATCACCAAGTTGAAATTATTTACCGTTAGCACACTTCTCCCTTCCGTTACGTCACTGTATGCTCTTCTTTTTTTGTATTAAGGAAATTAAATTGATAACAGAATATGCAACAGTATTTGCTTTTTATGATATCTGATGATCTGTCATGACGTGACTGTTCCTTGTTTGTTATGTAATAAAGGTTTCATTGATCTACAAGAGTTGAGAGACTCTTGCATAATCAATTTGCCATTTGCTTGATTAAAATTCACAAAGGTGTATTCATTACTCACATCAGGAAATGTCTACAACTTCAGTTGTTGTTTTCCTTGCTTGTTGTAAAGGCATTTAATGTGTTTAGCCAACTCTTTTACAAGTGCACACATTCAATCTCTATTGTACATGTATATTAGGGGAATAGTTATCCAACATTCACACAAAACTGTGATCAAGAATACAAGGAGTTCAACTCTATTAGAAATGCCTGTTAGATGAAAATGAAACCAATTGTTTGATTTGGTGCCCTTGTGATTGTCCTTCAGACTGGTGATGCTAGTGGTGAAGGGTGGAGGAAGGCAAAGAAGACTGTGTTACAGGATGGATAATGGTAGACATTACATGCCACAGGGAATCTTCTTCATCAAGACGTGCAATGGTAAGACAATCGCATATAGCTATAACTATATTTACTGTGAAACAAATCAACTATATGCTTGGAGATAGCAACCAGGGGGGTATTAATTTTTTGGTTCTTTTAATTATTCAAGGGAATTGGTAATCAACAATTAATGCCTTACCAAAAGGCACTAGCTCATCAAATTGGTTTCAAATCTTCATGGACCTCCCAGTTATGAGACTATGGTTCAAGGCATTTTGCCTCCTCAAAATTTGTATTTTTATCAACTGGAGTACAGTATCAGCAACTATTTGTTTGCATGATATGTAACTAACTTGCAATGCTAAATGTTTTTTTTCCCTTTCTCTGCCTTTTTTTTGGGGGGGGGGGGGGGGGGGCTCCCAGTACATAATCATATTCAACATGATGCAAGGACTTATCAAAAACAAATAATGTACATCAAATTCAGTGGCCTTGTGCATTACCCCATCGATAAGTGCAAACATTACTTAGACATAGTACATAATCTGAACATGATATCCATAGGCAATACAGAAATTGAAATTGCCCTTGGCTTTACAATCATGTTACCTGTACTCTCATTGATGCTGATTGGTTTTGTTACATAATGATAATTACAATGTTTATCTTATGCAGATCCATGGACAGTGCAATGGAGTAGGACTCAGAAGAGGTTGTATTTCTTCAACATGAGCAATCGCAACTCAGTGTTTGAGTATCCCCCAGAGAGCATCGCCTCGTTCAAGTGAGTTCTTATTGCTCTTGTGCTTTATTCTGTGTTTCCATTATTGTCATCACCATATGGCAGTATTGTCATAAGATTCTAATTGTCATATCCTTTGCATGAATTTTTTAACGATTATCTTTTGAATGATGGGATTGTTTTAATGTTCATTTCTGTAAATTTCATGGTTATGGCTAAGATAATATTATTTTCACTGACCACTCGCTCTTCTGCTGAAGTATAAGTGTAAGTAAAGTCTTGTCAAAACCATGAATTGAAAAGCTAAAGAGCTAGTTTATTTTAAAGCCTGTCTACACTAGTTTGGCCAGAGGATTAGACCTCCCTGCCGTGGTCACTCACATGTGATTACCTTATCAAATCAGCTCTCAATTAACATAAGAAAAAGGGGATCATCGGGCACCAGCGGGTCCCAATTAGGCATTGTTTGCTATATAGAGGGCGCAAGTAGCTACAAGTAGTGCAGTCCCGCTTTCATGTTCACACCTGTAAACTTTATGGTTATGGCTAAGATCATCTTATTTTTTTTTTATTGAACACATGTTTAAGTATGAGTAATGTCTTGTCAAAATCATGAATTCAAAAGCTAGGTTAAAGAGTTAGTTTTTTTTTATAGAGTTTATCAAACTCATTGGTTTCTTTGGGCCTGGACAAAAGGAGTCACATTTCAAGCCCAATATATGGTATTTTGAATACCCATTATTATATTATTTTCAGAGCATGTCGGATCCATCGGTTGCTGTGGGCCTGGGAGGAAGGGGTCAAAGTTCACGACCAGCAAGAGATGAGGCAGGACCCCAGCAAGCTCTCCAAGGAGATGGTGTTAGATCACATCAAGAAGCAGAGAGTCGTGTTATAGAAGAGGAGACGGAGGGAGGATTAACAGAAGGAAAGAGGAAGAAAGAAAGACTCGTCATCTTGTCAAGGGACGCGGGGTGATACAAGCATCCTCAAGGGAATGAATAGGAATCGATTATTTCCGTCACAGTGGTTGAGAGCCAATCTAAAGATGAAGAGATTAACGAGAGATAAGGAGAGGAACGATGAGGTTGATCTTTATTGTCAGTACTTTTAGCAATAGAAAACAGATGACAGGCTAATGAGAGGTAATGATTGTAAGACTTCTCATCTTGCCTAGGGGCAAGTAATGATACAAGCATACTCAAAGAAAGTGATTTTAATGCAGCATTTCTGTCAAGATGGAATCAAGCCGTCGTAAAGATGAGATTAAATTGACAGATAAGGAGAAGAATGATAAGGTTCAACTTTAATTTCCATACTTGTAGTGATGGATAAGGATGAAAGGTTGAAGGAAGGGTAATGATTGGACTACTTTTCATCATGTGGAGGGATAACTCATGAGTACATGTATACATGTATTCTTATGGAAAGTAATATATATATATATATAGGAATTGATTATTTCTGTCGAGATGGAATCACTCCATTGTAAAGATGATGAGATTAAATCAACAGATAAGGAGAAGAATGATAAGAGAGATGAGTGGGATGATAGGCTAAAGGAAAGTAATGAGATTTAGAGAGGGAGAGCAAGCTGGGACATTTTGAATGATGAAGTAATAAACAGGGCACTCTGGAAGAACAGCATTGATGCTGATGAGGTTTCCCTTGGTAAACAGTATATCATATTCCCTGGGTAATTAATATGCAAGGAAGAAATGGTAAACTGAATAGAGACTATGTGTGTGTGTGTGTGCAATTAAGCTTGTAGCGCTAAAATACACATGCTGTTAAAAGACTGTAAAAGACATTTTGCAGAAGAATGCATGAAATTCAGTTTATTGAAAATAATTGCAATTCTCGCTACCCTAAATAGGTACGAAAATCTCGAAATTCGCGAGACGAGGTAATTTTCACTCTCTCGGGTCGTCACTACAACTTCCGGTATAGAGTCCCATCCCGCTGGCGCTAGCGCCTGTGTTCGCTGTGCAGAGTTTTCACGCACGCTAAAATCGATGCCAATCAGTGTAATTTGTACAGATTATAATATGCAATGGAAAGCTTCGGGCAGAATTAGTGACTTTAGCACAAAAGGCCGTTAAACTCTACCGTGAAAGAGAGGGTTGTGATCACGAACGTCTGCACAGGAAGCTGTAATGTCGAAAAGCTATCCCATAATGCAATGCGCGTTTTCAGGATTTTCCCCGGATCTCGGCAGAATCGCTATTTGGGGTAGCGAGAATTGAAGGCAGATATTATGGCCAGATGAACAGAAATGAGAGAGAGAGGAAAAAACCCGGCAGAAGTTGAAATATTTTGCAGTCCAAACAGACTCTAAAGTGGAGTGGTATAAAACCAAACCATGGAGGCAATGTGAACATCAATGTTGATACAGCAACAATTTACCAATCTATATACTTTACTAATATTTGGTTGAGCAATAGATTATCAAGCGGTTTTTAAATCGTATTGGAAGCTGTTACCTGTGTGAATCCTACTCTAATGATTATACAAAATTTTTGTCATTGTGCACCTTTCCCAAGAGCAATGGGGAGGGTGAAATAGAGAGAGGGAGAGAAAGAGGGAAGAAGAGAGAAAGAACCTTTTTAGTATCTTTCTGCTCTGGTTATTTCAATAAGCAGCTGAAACAAAAAGCAATCGTCCCAAGCTAAATTATAATACACATTAATTGCAATACTGCAAAAAGATAAAAGCCATAGAAGGTCAAAGAATAAAAGTCAGGCTTCCAAGAAAATAATTTTAAATGTAAGGATAGCAGTAATTTACAAAGAACATGAGCAAAGCTATCATGCATGACGCCAATACAAGCCACACCAACAGAGACGCATGTAAACTCTAATTTGGTGTCCAAGCCTTGTACCCTAAGGAGAACTTAGAAGTCGCTCTGTGAGGATGAAAAAGTTTCACCCGAGACTGCTTTGCTATAAACTGAAATTCCAATGTATTTGTCAACCACAAAGGTATAGCTCTTATTCTAGTACTCAAAGCCCAAGTCAAGATGTTTTATTGTGGCACAGAACTAATGTAGTTCTGTGCCACAGGCATAGGAAAAACATCTTTAAAACCTCATAAATACTGGTTACTTTTTGAGTGCTTTTAGTTGTATCTAAAGTACGAACTAGCAAAGATTTTGGACTAACAAATATCTGATTTACATAATATACATATGTACAAAACAAGAGGTGAAGATAATGACTGATTTCACAACTGAGTTGTATGGGTCATTACGGTATGTGAATCTCTATACAATGATCACAAGTACACAATGTTCATTTACAGGTTTCCTTTTTATTTTGCATTTTTAAACATAACTCCACAAATATCTCATTTACATAGTATACATATGTACAAAATATTAGGTGTGAAGATAAATACCCTGCATCACAAACATGAATGAGTGGGCTTATGGTGATATTATGAAAACTTCATAGTTGTATATGATGCTTAACGTAAATGTTCATCTCCAGTATTTGTAATTAAATGAGGGAGTTCATCACTGAGTTGAATTATTTGCTCATGTATTTCTTTCAAATTAAATATTCCAGAATATTATATGGAATTTCCTTATTTATATTCAAAGTAACAATTGTATTTGTTGATAGAACTCCCATTCGGTAAGATTCTTAATTTCATAGCTAGCGATTAGAGACTTTGGTGGAAAGCGCTCTATGAGCACCGTTTTTTATTATTATGCGCTATCACGTCAACATTACATTATCTTGTAAAGAAAGAAAACGACTGCCATATAGAAATTAAAAATTTAAACATAGCTCTCTGTAATGTGTGTTACATATTAAACATGTTTTAAATCAATTTCACCCCTTAGGAAGCTTGAACATATTACTAAAAATAATGGGAACAAAAGTTTTTCTCATTTTCTTACATTTTGACAACTTTCTGACAACACCAAATAAATATTCTAGACACCATTGAGAACTAGGAGAAGTAAATGCTTCTTTTTATTGTTAAATAATAGCCAAATTGGCAATAGAGTCTTCTTTTTTCTGTATGAATTTAAATCAAATAATCTTTCATACTATAATATCAACTGTCTCGGAAGGGGAGAAAATTAGAAAATGAAATGACATACATTTATGTATTGTCTGGTGAGAGCAAGAGCATTGATGCTGTGTTTAAGTATATAAGATAATGCATTTCTTGCTCTCAGCAGAAAATACATACCGTTGTTACCTGGTAAATATATCTTTGTAAATCTTCAGCCTGAACAGAACTTGTATATTGTGCATTGGAAGATGTTAATGCAAGGATTCATCTCAATTTCAATTGCTCAAAGATAATTAATCTAGTTATTCAATTCAATTCCAGTCTGTAGAGGTGATTAATTTAATGTGTTTTTTGCCAAATTGATTCATATATTGCTCTTCTAAGAAGAACAGTCTTTGTACTACATTCAGTTCAATTTTTTATGTATACAAGAAAATTTAAATGTATATATTTTGTATTCATGTCTATTTCATTGTGGAGAGCCAATTTGCTAAAGGAATAGTGATGAACATTAAAAAAATGAAATTCTTACATTATCAATAGCGTGAGGTATTGTTTGTTTCATTCAAATAGTTTTCATTTCATGATGACAGAAATATAGCCCTAATATTTGGTAAAGCATGTATATCAACATTTTTTTTAATTAGTATGTTATCAAAATATATATACTGTCTTTGGGTTCTTGCCAAATGATGATACTGTGCATAGAAGACAATTAAAATATATAAATTATTCTTACCCATAGGTTAAAAAATTAGTAAAACAATTTCTTTAATAACATTGTATTTATGCAATGTTTAGAACATCAATTAAAAAAAACACATATCAGGAAGGGGTGGACAAATATCCTTTATTGTCAGTGGAATAGGATGATTAATATTACCAGTCTACAGTGTACCAATTGTTAATGTTAATGTGACAAGTACATAGGAGCAAAACCTGTTTTAGTGACCACTGGTCTACAAAGACCATATTTTTTTGGTTTCCCTTGAAAATGGATTCTCATTGAAAAATGTACTAAAGTAACCTGTACATAAAGACCACCTGCCTACAAAGACCATATTTCTTGTCTCCCTTGGGTGGTCTTTATGGACAGGTTTCACTGTACTACTATTACATTGTAACTCGTCTGATATGCAATGGTCATTCACAGCTACATTGGGCCTCTATTTTCAGACTTCTTCAAACCATAAGCAATGGCATTCCCAAATCGGCAACAATCATCATTGCAATCAATGGAGTCTCTCAACCAGAATGGCGATGACATTTAATAAGGACATTTTATTGTAGCACACATGATGCTATTTCAAGATCAATACATATATGATAAAAATTGTCCATCATGAATAATCATTCAATATACGGTAGTTTCTCTAAGAATACATCAAATCACAGACAATGCAAGGTGTTTATGTTGATTTTTATTCCCGACTTGACAAAGTTGATAATTTCTTTCTCATCTAGCATTGGAAATGTGTCAAGATAGCAGAGGTATGTCAAAGAATTTGTAGGTTTTGCTCTGGCTCCTACTCCAAGTCGTCCATTTCATAGTTGTCTTGATAATCATCGTCACCTGCAGGTATTGTATGGGAGAGGAAAAGAAAAGGAAATCAATGTGAAATTAATATGAGGAAGCAATGTTGATATTGGCTGCCTTTTATGCAAATGTTCATTGATACTAAATCAGGGTTTTCATTTTGCGCAATACACAAACCTCTTCACGTTCGCTTTACCAAAATGATTTCCTGATTTTGTCTGAACAAATATTTACAGCTGAAACAATAGCAGCAACTCACCTACACCACATGCAATCTGATTATAGAACAGAAACTCACCAAAAAGTAAGAAGCATATTGACATTATTTAATAGTGAATTGGCCCGATTAAGACTTTTAATTAAGTGTTTCTTCGTAAAAATCAGAGACTGTACCACGGATTCTCTCAACCTACCTCTATGTCCCATCAACTGAGCAGCACTCTGAAGATGATCATCCTCCTCATCATAATACTCATCCTCCCCTTCATCCTCATGGTGGGGTCCATCCTCTGCATCGTACTGTACAGGACCGGACTCTACCACTATGTCATCAGGGGCTTTGGGTTGCGGCATAGTGAAGGGGTTGGGGTTTTTCTCCTCTTTGGGCTCTAATTTTGCTGTCTTCTGGGCAGGTCCCTGAATGAAAGACGCAGATAAAGAGGGTCATTGAACAGTACATGTAAAGAAAAGAAAGAGAAAAGAAAGAAAGAAAAAAAGAAAGAAAGAAAAAAGAAAAAAAAAAAAAAAAAAAAAAGAAAGAAAAAAAAAAAAAAAAAATCAATTTTCAATTTTCAATTCACTCACAGGTAAAATGTTTTGCTTATAACTTTGTAATATGAGCTTTCTTATAGCATCAAAGACAGATTTATACACAAGTTAAACCATTTTGAATTTTTTTCTGAAAATGTTAATCAACATTTTTAATGGAAACTTCTCTATTACAAGAAAGAAAGAGAGATATATGTTTGCTTTAAGACTTCTGAGAATTAACATAGCTGTAGAAACCTCTCTGACAGTCGGTCTGGTGGGAGTTATGCCCTGCCTGAGTCGTTTCACTCCGCCCAGACTCCCTGCCCTCGTCAACTGGGCACCCTGGCTGACACCTCCCGCCCTGAACGGCGTACTGAGGTTGACTGAGGGCGGGGTCTCCGCTAGTTGCGAGGGTTGGCTGGGTTTGTGGGATGGGCTGGGCTGGGTGAGATCTCGTAAAACATCGTAATTGATCTTGCTGGATATCTTCTTCTCTACGAGGAGCTTCTCGATGGCCTCGCCAGCAGTGTTGGCCTGGATTGGGGGCTTCTTGTTGTTTTTCCGCTTCTGTTATGAAATAAAGTATATTAGATTCAAGAGACGTTATTTTCTGAAGAGCAATGCATATACCAGTACTTATGAATCACATATGCCTTAGTTTTACGCCTCAACTTTTTCCACAGAACTTAACTCCATCTTTCATTTTTAATTTTATTAAAAAGGAAATGATAAAATCACCTTCTTTGGTTGGTCAGGTTTCAATCCCAGCAGTTCTCTTTCTTTTCGTAATCTCAGCTCCTTTTCTGAAAATGATTAAATCAAAGAGAAATCGGATATAACAGATGTAATACAAGGAAAGATGAGTTCACAAGCCTCTCTAACAAAATTGTTTGCTCTAACTTTAATTTCTTCATGTTATAGCTCTGATCTGTGAAGGGCAACTTGTGATCCTTCTTAGATAACCTTAGCCCTACTGCCTCTTCCCCTTAACACCAATGAAAGTTAGAAATAAGAATACCCGGTAAGCAATAATTTGCCTACATAACTTCATTCATTCTTCACATGGGCTTGATAAAAGCAATTTTACTTTTGATATATACATTCAGTACATCTCAACATTCAGTAATCTGCATATACATCATACATGTATAAGGAAATATGAAACTTCTAAACCATCCAAAAAACAAAAACCTTCGGAAAGGACAAATCAAGGAAATTCTTAAAATTCTGCATGAAGATTTCCCAGAAATGAAGCGGTAAAAGATTCACTTAGCTCTGTCTTATAAGATACAAAAATGAGAAGCACAATACACACAAAAAAAATGCTGCCATGTACTGTGTCATATCTAATTTGATTGTTTTTCTGTCTTGTGTCCTTAATACCTGTAGTCAAAGACATTTAGTGAATCTCAAACTTACCTTCCATAAGCTTCATGTATTCTCCGTTCTCCTTCATCCATAGAGTGGTTTTTATCATCACTTCTTTTTCACTCAAAATAAACTGTTAGGTACAGAATATAAAGGAAAGACATTACTAAATTAAGAACTTTATATCATTATTACTAAAGAGATGGTATAATAAATGTATCATTTTATTATTGACTTTATGGTAGAGTAAATGGAAATTGCGTAAATGAGGCCGACTGTCCTGAAGGAAGTCCCACATGTAGTCTTTTCTGTTATGATTGTGTCGTAGATGGTCATGAACTATATCATCTCGCTGGACACCTTACTACTTTGAGTTAAGCATAATTAAAAGCTTATTTTATCTAAGACATCATGAAGTATAGATTATATATATTTCAAATTGCTATAATTTATCAGAAAAGAGTTACTAGTTTGAGTGAAGTACATTACAAGTACATCTGCAGCTATTTTGTTTAAGCAATGTCATCAAAAAACCAAAGAGAGATACTTTAAAACTCATTTGGCATTTACCTAAGAGCTTGCATACCTCTTGAAAGCATCACGACTGTGTAATTCATACCAAAATATGCACTTCACCAATTAGAGCAAATTTCACTTTGTCCATTGCTCAAATAATGGGTAGAATGGGAGTATACAAGATTCAAGATATTTTGTTTAACCTTAACCATAAAAACGTACAAATATTATTACTTGATACATATCGACTATATTGATTCAAAGGGAAACATTTGAATAGTAAATGTAAATAAAGAATAATAATCGATTTTGGCAAAATGCTTGTGAGAATGGCCCAGAAAGAAAAAAGAAAAAACACATACCAAGTAAATATGGGGTCAAATTAGTAAATAATAGAACAAAATTACACAATAAACTTACCAATTCCATCTCCTTTTCATCTATGCCTGTTAAATCCAACTCTCCATCATCACTGTCAGGACCTTACAAAATAAAGGACATGAAAAATAGAGACATACTCATAAAGCTCTAATAATTGTACATTGAAAACAAACTTTAAATAATCAAAAGGTAGTGTCATTATTCTGAAGAAAGAACCTATTGAAAGTGAAAAAAAAAGATACTATGAAAGTGTAACACACTATAAGTAAAAGCAAAAGAACTAAATTAAATAGAAGGGAAACAATTTGAAAAGTAAATCTGAATATGAAATAATAATCAAGTTTGGTATCTTTAATTTGTAACCATTACATCCATGGCAATCTGATGTTGTACTTTCAAACTCATATTTTCTTAGAGAGTTGACAAATTGAAGGAATCCAGTTTTCATTTTCAGAATATTTGAATATCCCTTGGAGAGAGCTATTAGCAATACAAATTTTGGAATATAACAAAACTTACTTTTTTCTTCTGGAATAGCAGCCTCTTTGATGATGCTTTCAAATCCCAAGGATAATGGTGACGGCCCCAGTCCCTTGTCTTCATCGCTCCACACTGCAGATCCAAGTAACGTATCAATAACATCTCCCGAGGGCAGTGTTTTCTCTGCTGATGTGGCATCTCCTCCTCCCCCTCCTCCCGCTCCACTTGCCCTGTCCTCCCCTCCTTTCTCTCCTCCTCCTCCTTCCCCATCTCCCCCTCCTTTCTCCTCTCCTTCTCGTCCATCTTCTCCCCCTCCCGTACCTGCATTCACGCTACTCTTTGTTGCCGAGTCCGCATTTTCACCAGTTTCATCAACTTTTTGCGACTGTTTATGCGGATCGTTTTCGTTCTCGATCAGAGTTTTAACACTGTCGCCTTCCAAGCGTTTGAGAAGTTCTATGTTTTCTTTGCTAGGTTCAGCACCGCCAGCATTGCTATCGTCTTCTTCTGGTACGCTCCCTAACGCTGCTGCTGCATCTGGAAACAAGAGAGCAAGTCAGAATAAAACTCAAGTGTCATGGTGCCATTTTGGAATGCTCAGAGAATCGGCAATATTGCTTCCTGTACTACAACATGAGAAAACCATGACATGATAAATCAATCATTCTTCACCACATGTTTAGTATAAGTAATCAGAATTACTGGCACGCTTATCCAAATTTTAAAATCTTCAGTTTCTAATACAATCTCTCACTTATAGAGAACATGAAATTAAAGGTGAAACTGAAACTTGTATGTTTGATATAGCCACAAGCATTATTACAAATTATATTCACTAATCATCATGCATGCAGTATAATATCAAACTACAGCTAATTTACTTGTAATTAGGTGGTTGCAAACATTCCTCTCCAAATTGAAATCAACTGCAAGTGTGACTGTTTACTCTACCGTACTCAAAACTGTAGAAACTGTTCACACTGATCTCTCAGTATTCATCGAGAAATTGGGTCAAAATGATGACCTTACAATATTATTAATACTTCTCTACAATATATGAACAGTATAATGCTCACATGACTCTTTTGAAATAGAAAGAGAACAAGTAATGGGCAAGATAAAGCATGATTGGGTTCAAATTCGTCGTAAAAGAGAATAAATCCTGGGAATTCTGCAGATTTTACTTCCTACAAGCTTTTATTACTTAGCCAGACATTGATCTTACTGCAATACTTGAATGTAACTGCACAAACAATAGCAATACGAAAGGTTAAGCTGTTCCTTCCTGTAATCAAGGCGTTTTTATCACTTTCACTTTCTATTGTCATGTGGAAAGTCCTTCAGAATGAAGTGATGATTTCCAGGTTGATAGACTCTTGTGGCACACAAATGGCCTTAAAAGTGTAAACTTTTCACAGCTGCCATAGTTTAAAGAAAAGCTTAGTATTCCAATGGCTGAAAATCAGCATTTTATTTAGGAAACCCAAATTCCTCAAACTGATACTGTAAAACAACGCAGAGACTGTATATTCAGAAATGTGTATTTTGCATAAAACTTTAAACATTCTTATGAGATTTCAGTTTGAATTCTGAAATTTAGAACAACATTGCAGCCCTGGCATGTTATGACAAACTACTTGTTAATAATTGGTAACAATTAATTAATCAGTTATCTTTATTGTGACAAGCAAAATGTAGTAGTGCAAGCCAAGAACACAATAAGCATTTTTGTTTGTTATCATAGGTTCATTGCATAGAGGCAGAACCATACTTTTAGGATTTCCATCTAGGATGTAATGCACTTAAATTGGTTCAGCAAAATGATACCGAAATTGTCTTTCAGATAATTTGAAGCGAAAAAAGGGAGGTGATGGTACTATGCTTGGATTACTGGGTAGTTAAAGTTGCTCATGCGTGGGTAGGTATATAGAGGGCAGCACATGGACGTACGCACAGGAGCGTAATACCCGATGGCCTAGTGTTATGTAGTGATCGCCAAGTTGCCTACTTCACGAACGACTATATACCCACGCATGAACATCTTTAAAATATATATTCCTGAAAAGAATAACAGGCACTCACCTGGTACTTTTTTATGAAGAGCGCTCTCTATCTCATTCTGTATAGTAGCGATCTCTCCTTCTAACTCACGCACCTGTTTCTTGCTCAGCTCTTCCAACTGAGGACAGCATCAGAAAATCAAAACAAAACACTGTCTTATTCATCAAGATCATACAATGCTCAATTTATTAAATTGTTTCTTAAAGATAGTTTTCATATTTGGCCAGTGATATTGATAATGAAGACAAAGAGGAGATAGACAATGTTGATTGTATCTTAGGTAAAGGACATGTTGCTGGTCAAAGCAAATTACTAATATAAAAGTTTATATTTCTAATACACATGTAGTTGAACTTAACTAGATTAGCAACACAATGAACATGCCTACAAAACAATCATGTATCAATATCATACAAGTATTTCCCCAATTTTTATTCCAATATACAACATTACAGAAGGTTCATATAATGATGGACCCCATTATTTACAATTGTTTGTACAAACACTTCAATATCCAAGGGATTTCCTGGAACCAATAAATGTTATCGATCAGGCAAACAGTGCAAACTATATATATATATGTATATAGCACTTGAAAGAACAGTGTTAAATACATGTAGCTACCAGCACATGTGTACTAACTCATCTAGACTCTATTTACAAACACTCCCTGGGCATATAAGATGATAATATTGACTTACTCTGAAAAACCCCACTAGGGTATGAGATTACAAACAACAAAACATATTTCCGTATATAAATAAAGAATTTCCGTTTCGGTTTAATAAAATTTGGAGTGGACTATTATGTAGGCTATTATTATTATTATTATTATTATTATTATTATATTTACAATTCTTATCAGTTCTTATCAGTTTTAAGGGACTGAAAACATTTCTTGTTTGTAATCCAGATTTTCAGGATTCTGTAAGTTTTCATTTTCATTTGTTGTAGGATTCTTCTTCTTTTAAGCGCTTTGGGCCGCTCTGGGAAAAGCGCAGTATATAAATAATGATAATAATAATAATACATGTGCTCATACCTGCGCAAGTTTTGCGGTTCTCCTTCCCCGAGTAAACGATGGTGGGTCCTGCTCTTCCTCCAGGTCTATCTTGTGAAACTCATCAATAGTTAGCTTGCCAGAGGGTGTCTCCTCAAACTCAGATAACCTGGGGGCAAAAAAAAAAAAATTGAATTTGAAAATATTTGGATTTACAAAGCACTTTCTCGTGATGATACAAAGCACTGAATACTGTCATTATATTGAGCTTTAGTGAGGGTAACAAGTCAATAAATACAAATGATAAATATTCAAATAAAGAATTTGTTTGTTGTTGTCTTATACGGATGAGGGAAAGACTTCAGCAAGTTTGTTATGATTTGGTATTGCAATGAAACCCATGGAAATAAGGTTTAGAAAGGTCTATCTCTATGAAAGACATATTTTTAATGTTATGTTACAGGTATTTAAGTTACTATGATTAAAAAGGTACATTTTTTTATTCCATAATCTTACAATTTAAGAATGATCTTCCAATATCTGATTGGTATATTTGCATCACAACATCAATGCAAAGGTTTCAAAATGCATGAACAAAGGTTGTGTGATCAACATAATAATAAATAGACCAAGTAAATATCCATTAAATTATCTTCAAACTTTGACCTAACAAACAAGAAATCTGCCGAAATCATTGGATCAACACACTCTTAACTATATGATGCCAAGTTTTTTTTGTTAAATCAAGAAAATGTGTCTGGACATATATCTTCCTTGATTATTGTTTACTTTAAAAACAATTGTTTTTTCTTTCCTAAATTTACCTTTTCCTGAGAGTAGCATCACACACTTTGACCACCTTGATGACATCTTTCTGGGTCCTGCTGAAATTGTGCATCCTGGCAGCGACAAGCAAAGCTATAAGCAGCAGAAAAATAAACAACAAATTCCAATTAAAAAGGAGCATGGAAAACAGCCAGCATTTGTACAGTATCAATAATAGAAATGCTAGTAATAAATTCTTCCAAGAATTATTTTTAAAAATTCTTATATTTCTTCAAGAGATCTATTGATGAAATTCTCAAGCATACAAATAGTGTTAAATGTGACATTTTGTGACAATGATATTCTTCATTATATATTTGGATTTCAGTTGCAATTAAGGTTCAGGTTAGGTCTAGAGTTAGGGTTGGATATTTTGTTTGGTCGAGTGATATAGTTTGAAATTTGATTAGTCTTACGAGAATGACTCCAGACCAATAGTCACCAGAGTAAATACAGGGCTCGACAGTAATAGGCACCCGAGCCAGAGAATGACCAAACTGTAGGTCTGCATCCATAGGACTCCTGAATACAGACTGTAAAAAAAAATCTATTCATACCCCTTCCAAAATATTTAGTGTGGGGACCCTGGTAAATATCATTAGAGAAAATGTAACGAAATTCCCAGACAGTATGTAACTACCTGCACCACATAAACCAGATGGTCTTCTGCCTGTATGCATCCAGTCTCGTTTCATCCTAGATACCAGTCTTAATGCCGTCTCGCACACCACGTCTGTCCTCTCATCAAACTCTAGCTTGTGAGCAAACCTCTGGATAAACAAACAAGGATCTGTGGAGATAAAATGAAGTGATAGGCACAGGTTGGTTAGAGCTGAGTGGCCTGTATCATATTGATGAAGCATTCATGAACATATTACTCTCTGCCACAAGATTACATATTAATTGTGAAAACTATATAGCAAGTCAGATATAGAAACAAATCATAACATTGTAAAAGAAAAGAAAAAGCATAAGATAATACAATAATCTGTTTAAAAAGAAAAAATCAAAAACCAAAATGACTCTTGACTAGAAGACTTTTAATGTCAAACCAAGGGATCAATTTTTCCAAGTTTCATGATCAAAATGGATAGAATTATGTAAGAAATAAATGCATTTGATGAGCCCAAGATGATCTCTGACTGTGACATACATATAATCATCAGTGAATGCTAGTAATCTATTGATTTCATTTCTGAATGGTGGGGTAGCAAGTTATTTACATGTAAACAAAAAAAACCATGACCTCATATAAAAATAATTGACCTCAAAATGAACTCAGACATAAATATCAAAGCAATACACCAATTTGCAGATACCTTTAACAAAATCATCAACATTGATAAATGCTACTTAATGCATTCAAATTTTTTTATGTTGAGAAATTGTAAGCCAAGATGCATATTTAAAAAAAAATAATAATAATAATGTCAAAATAATTGACCCTAAGATGACCTCTGACATAATCTCAAAAAAATAATATCGGCAGCATCTTTTCATGAATTCATCAACATTTTAATGAATGTTGAAACACAATTTTATTTCTGTCAGGATGGGGGAAGGAAAGTTGTGTGCACGTTAAAAAACAAGGCCTCCATGCCAACGACCCTAAGATGACCTTTTACCTCACGATCATGACCTGTCAGAGCTCAGACAGACCATCAACAAGGATGTTTACACTGATAGACCTGTTTACTAATATTTACATCAGTGAATGCTAGTAATCTATTGATTTCATTTCTGAATGGTGGGGTAGCAAGTTATTTACATGTAAACAAAAAAAACATGACCTCATATAAAAATAATTGACCTCAAAATGAACTCAGACATAAATATCAAAGCAATACACCAATTTGCAGATACCTTTAACAAAATCATCAACATTGATAAATGCTACTTAATGCATTCAAATTTTTTTATGTTGAGAAATTGTAAGCCAAGATGCATATTTTAAAAAAAATAATAATAATAATGTCAAAATAATTGACCCTAAGATGACCTCTGACATAATCTCAAAAAAATAATATCGGCAGCATCTTTTCATGAATTCATCAACATTTTAATGAATGTTGAAACACAATTTTATTTCTGTCAGGATGGGGGAAGGAAAGTTGTGTGCACGTTAAAAAACAAGGCCTCCATGCCAACGACCCTAAGATGACCTTTTACCTCACGATCATGACCTGTCAGAGCTCAGACAGACCATCAACAAGGATGTTTACACTGATAGACCTGTTTACTAATATTTTTCAAATGATGCATGTAACCCCTGGTTACCACATCTAATATTCTCACATTTTATTGGATAAAATCCACATTCATTGGTTGTTGATATGTCGGGCAATCCTCTGACAAACTTGACTGTTGTCAAAATAAACATTTGTTAAAAACCATGCATGAAAAATAAATCAATAAAATAATTGTACTTAAATGAACCAAAATTTTGCAATAGATTTTTGAATGAATAGTAGACCTCAGCTGACTTTTAACCTTTGACCTATTAATACATGTACGAACAAATATCACTGACAAAATTACACCTTACTGCCCTTCAATATGAAAGGAAATTTTGAAGAAGAACAAAAATAAATGTTATGATCAATCTCGTACACACAAAAAATGCCATAAAAATAAAGGTTTTTAGAGTGAGAGTGAGAATTTCTGCCTTTGCCTAAGAGCGAGAAAATAAAACAATGCTATATTGCCATGGTTATTCTCGTACACCAAACAAATTTTGATATCAAAATCAGGTGATATTTAATAGGGCATGAATTCTATCACGGTTTATGTCTTTTTGCCAACATTGTTCCTCCTACACTTTAACTCCATCATTAAAGTAAAACTAGCTTTAAATAGTCAAGAGCCTCATCGCTGTTCTTTCGCCGTAATCGTAAGTTTTTGTTTTACCACCTATGCTATGTACCTCGTTAGCGGTTTCAATCATCGGCAGAACATGATCCCTTTTCAATCAGTTTCATATGGTCAGCAAAACTAAATATACGCGTTTGACCTTTCAAAGACGCTGTTCCAATAAACATGGATCCATAAAGCGGACATCGAGGCTAAACAGCTTGTCTAATAATAGCCATCCCGCCTTTCTGGCCCATTTCACCTGTTCTAAACTTCTAAAGAAAAAACAGTTAGGGAGACCATGAACCTAATCGCGGAAAACAAACCCTTTTTAATGAACCCTAGAGAAACCACATCCCCCCTAATTCAACCCGACGCTACCCCTCATAATCCTATTCAAACTCTCTGAAGGTGCACTCAACAAGTCAAATACGCTTAAGAACAAATCGATAAACAGTGAGGAGAAATGGACGGGATTAAAATCAAGACATCTCTTTGGCGGCAGTCTATCGGACAGTAGTGACAATTTCCGGAAGTTCTTGATATGAGCTTTAAACAAAATCAATACCTTGATATTCTTTATTTCATCTTCCAGGGCGGTGTTTCACGAAAAAGTACAAGTTCACCGAGTTCCCATCGCAACACGTATGTTACGATTACCACGCAAATGGGATGTCGGTGAACTTGTACTCATGACGGATTCGTCAAACGATTCCTAGGTACGACAGCAGGAAAATGCAAAAGTGCACGAATTACGACGCCATTTTTAAAACCTTACAATCCAACCATCGAACATAAATGTGCTATACGAAAATCTCGATCTTCTGTGTGCTTATCAAAACCGAAAACTATGAACGAAATATTTTAGAACTACTTATTTTTTTAGTAAAGTTGCCGTAAATTACGACGAAAATCAGTTTGAAAAATATTTAGTTTGCGTTCTTTTCCTGCGACGGAATTAGATAGCCATCCGTCAGTTTTGTGTACGAATAAGTCGATTTTGTTTGTTTATAGTGATTAGTGACATGAACGGAAATTCTTTGTGAATGATTTTGTTTGTTTACTTCTTAACTTTTGATTTTTTTCATTCAGATTTCGTTTTTTTTTTTTTTTGCGGGGGGGGGGGGGGGGGGGGGGGGGAGGAGGAGTTGTTTCTCATTGTCTCCACGAAATAAACAAAAACTGTTACCGATCATTCCAAATACGATCTTCGGAACGAAACTTTTTTTTAATAAACCGAGTTTTCAAACACTGTCGCCGAATGCCGCCAGCAAGCAAGTTGCATGCAGTCTTTCGAAATTTGCCTTTGATATAATATTTATAAGGAAAAGTATTATTTTAGTTTTGCGATTTCGTGTTTTTTCTATACGTAATCTAATTTCCGAATAACATTAACAGCACACATCATAAAGCAAAATGAATATATTATTCGACCAATGAAAATATGATAAGAGAAAAGACCGCTTTGGAGGGTGAACTGGGAATATCAAGAATAATTAGCTTCAAACGAGAAAAATCATCAACCCAAAAAGGCAAATTTCATCATGCTCGGTGCAGTTTTTCAGTCATACCTAATATAGGACTTTTGAAAATCACTCAATACGTTAACTTTATGGCAGAGGTGCACTTTCACTTTTCGATGTTATCCCTGGTTTGTTTGAGGATCGGTATGTAACTAATTTCTTTCCGGGAGGGGTTACGTCAAGGGTGAGTGGAGAGGATGACTGAAATCGGAATAAGAAAAACAGAAAGTTCGGACAACACAGTTGTATTAAATCGGGTCATTGTTCCAAACTGATCATCTCTTCGACATCCTTCTAACTTCTATCTTATCGGTGACGAAAACAAAGGACGGGAAGTTTGGTGATTTTGAGAAAGACTAATACCATTTCCGCGCTCAGTATTGATTCGGTTTTATTTTAATTTTGATATCTCCTCTTGGGCATCATGCATCGTCATATTTATTATACAGGGACGTCACGAGACCACTTCCTTGGCATTGCTTATAGGGAGAGTTAATCACATGATTTATCTAGAACGCACGTCATCGTATTTTTACAATGTGTAACCAATACAAATTTCCATGTATTCCTGTGAATTTAGATGAATAAAAAGGATTGAATCTTACGAAAGAAAAAAAGTTGAAACTGATCTGCAGGAAGTAATTTTCACGTAGGCGAATTAAGGGAAATCCCCATTAATTACACCATGGACCTCACATGATTAGCTAAATTAGAGCACTGGTAATAAAAACGTATCGACCAACAAAAAATCTAGTAATTTACATCCGGTCATCTGCAAATACGATTTTAATTAGGGTTCTTCTGCGGACGCAATTTACTTCTTATCCGATTTTCATCTTCTCCCTTTGTCGTCTTTGTAGTTACCGACAGATTTATTTTGTTACTTGAAAAACAGCAATTATTTGGCATGGCTCTCCAAGTTCTTTGACAGTTTTGTCCAGACTATATTATAATGAAACGCAAAGGAAAAATTGTCGGCATAACAGGCATACTCCACATAGCATGTTACGCAGGCACCCGACAACATCATTATGGTGATGTCGCAAATCGCAATCTATACCATTTTCAATCGAGATCTAAAAACAGTTTTATTTGCCCTCGGGCGGCCAGTCTACGGCCTGTCATTGATCATTATCTTATACCACAAATTATCTCATCTAGACTAAATCAAAAGTCAATATTGAAACCAAACTGCCGGACCCGGTGAAGTACAGACTCGCCTGACTCAGCGCACCAGTCTCAAGACTCTACAGCTTACTTTGCTGAATAATATATCAGGAGGAATAATCACAAAGAATGTAGAAAAAGGGAGACTCAATCAAATAATAATTATATATTTTTTGAGGTTGAGAGTGACTATTTTTTTATCGATACAACATGAAATTCAGATATGATTTTATTTTATTTTGAATCACCGTGCAAGGACATAATTATCAACTAATTCTAAGTTACAACTTGATGTAACTGCAGATAGTTTGACCATTTTCCCGCAAAGAGTAGAGAGAATGAGAGAGAAGAGAGAGAAAAAGAAAGTGGGCGCAGGGGCGTGGCTAAAGTATAAAGGAGTTGCATGTTGTTGTTTTCGAGTGGCAGCACCCGTCTTTTGATTTGGACCTTTGAAAAAGCCTTCTCAGAAAATGGAAAATAGAGACAAACTTTTTATTTTCGTGTTTGAATGATTTAGGAATCTGTGTCGTCTAACTTTAGAATCGAATGACTATTATTTTTGTTTACCCTGGTTTATAGCCAATGTGACATCTGTTTATGATTTTTCCCCAATTCTTGCTTATCAAAGTAAAATATATTCGGCTGTCGGCCCGACACCCCACCAGTTCTGTGCACCCCACCCCCACTCAAAATGGCCTACGACGCACCTGGGAGAGGGCGAAGGGCACAGTACATCCTTTGTTATGTCCATCTAATTTTGTATCTCTCACCTATTTATATATTTTCCGTCTAGTTTCGACCAAATGGTCCAAATCCCGCCACATGCGCGAAACCTGTGCCCTCCGCCCTTCCCCTCCTAATCTTCGAGTCCATAATGTTATGCCTTGGTATTATTTAAATCTGTCTTTTGTTCTGATTTCGGTTTCGGTAGTTGGTGGTGACAGTACAAAGCCTATAATTCTCTCCAGGATTATACAATCAAAACTTTTGAGTCGCTTTCGGCTAGCCGCACATCACTGAGTCACCTTTTATAGCGGTCCCCTGGGCATTCTTTGTTATCATATGACACACAGGGCCTTGTTGATTGCACAGCTGTACTGTGAGTTGTTTTGCTGGGCGAGCGAGCTAGCTGTGTACAGTTTTTAATGGACAGCATTTTGTTGTGTGTGTCTTGTTTGTGTGTAGCTGGTCCGTGGGCTCGTGCAGTGAAGAGAGCGCGCGCTGGCACAGTGCCCTGTAAATTGTAAATCGGCCACAGGATCAACACACTGCACTGATCATCTAGTCGTGCTGTACTATATGCAGGTCCGTGCTACATGTACATGTCTTCTACTACTACTCGTTTGGACATCATCTAACAATATATATATATTATTCTGATTCTAACGAATTGTTTTTCATTGGAATGAGCTCCTGATTGCAATGGGATGTGTGAGTACACTTTATCATTTATCATTAAGGAAATAGAATGTGAAAACGATCCTCAAGAATATTTATGTATTTATATATTTTTGGTTGAATATCGCTGAATAAATAATATGTTTATGCCTGCTTATAAGTTGATATATGGGTTGTTCAAGAAAATCTGACATTGGTATTCCATACTCAGAAACAGATTGCCTTTAAAACTGTCAAGGATTTCCTCTTTGAGTCTTTGTTATACACGAAAAAAAAAGATTTCATATATTTAAAAGATAAACTCTATATTAATTATTCATGATTATTAGAGACTACACTCAGTCTACATCATTCATAGCAACTAGCACCAATGTTGGATTTTGTCAATATTGGACAAGTCATATAAACAATCTTTCTCAGAGTTACATAGGCTCCCTGATAAAGTGTATTTGACATTCAGTGTTCGGTATAGCGGTATTAAATGTATAATTATTTAAACCAATATTTTTTTTTTTGCCCATGTCTATTTTGTGGGTTTGAGCTGGTCTTTCTTACCCTTCTCTAAAGCTTTCCTTTATTCAGTTAGGTTTGTTTTTTTATACCAAGTAGTTGATTTTGAGCACTGATTATGTTCTATTTGTTTTAACATTGTCTTTCAGATTACATGAATGACAATTGGACAACAATATCATCGCAACGATGGGATTATCATCAACTGCGCTAAAGAAATTGTAATACGCAATAATCTTAGATGCCCTTTCCAAAACTCAGGCTCACCAAATTCTGGAAAGTAGTGCACACCTTCTGTAGAATCAAGCGAAAATTACGAAGGAAGATGGAAATGAACAATCAGAACCCAGGAGCCGAAAAGGATGACGTGGAGCAGCAAATTCAACAGCGCACTAGCCACAGACGATCCAGTTTCCTTGCCAGTCAGGTGTCCAACTCTGCAGAGCCATACCAGAATCTGGACAGTAACCATTGTTCTGTCAATAGCGAGACACTGGATGTTATACAACCAGATAGTCCTACCGGTACTATAGCATCCTCGGTATCGACGTCGATATCGTCGTCTCCATCCCTGTGGTCCTGCGATAACTGGCATCGTGGGGTGACAGTGCGAGACAGGAACGCGGTGATGTTCAACAATGAACTGATGAGCGATGTTACATTCTTGGTCGGACCAAAGAATGCTGCTCAAAGAATACCTGCTCACAAGTATGTGCTTGCAACCGGAAGCTCAGTTTTCTTTGCAATGTTTTACGGAGACTTGGCAGAGAACACTTCAGAAATTGTCACACCTGACGTAGAGCCAGAGGCCTTTCTTACCCTTCTAAAGTGAGTAATTAGTCACATTGATTTTGTTGAACTAACCAGAAAGAAAGAATTTGTATCACATTGTAAAGAGTAAAGACACAGGATTCAACAATTTTCTCACACTTTGCTTGTCTGTTGTCACAATACATGAAATGGTAGAAAAGTGAGATGGATTTCATTTCATGAGATTTGACATTTTAATAAGGAAAATATATGATCATAGCCAATCATTTAAAATCAATATTAAATTATCCTATCCTTATACTAAATCAAACTTTCATTTTTTTTTTCCTTGCAGATACATGTACTGTGATGAGATAGACTTAACCCCGGAGAACGTTTTGGATACCCTCTATGCTGCAAAGAAGTATCTTGTACCTCATCTGGCCAGGTCATGTGTTGAGTACTTGGAGCGAAGTTTGAGCGCACGTAACGCATGTGTCCTGTTAAGTCAGAGTCACTTGTTTGAGGAACCAGACCTCATGCAGCGATGTTGGGAGGTCATCGACGCCCAGGCTGAAGTAGCATTGGGGTCTGACAGCTTTGTGGATGTTGACCAGGATACCCTTGAGTGCATCCTGAAGCGGGAGACCCTGAATGTCAAGGAACTTGTCCTCTTTCATGCGGCCATGCGATGGGCAGATGCAGAGTGCTCCAGGCAGGACTTGGTGGTGACTCCAAACAGCCTTCGAAAGGTTCTTGGTTCCGCTCTCTATCTCATCCGCATCCCTACCATGCCTCTCAAGGAGTTTGCCAACAATGTTGCTTGCAGCGGTGTCATCACTCTTGAAGAAACCACAAACATATTTCTTCACTACACGGCAGACATCAGGCCCAAGATACGCTTTCCTTGCAAGCAGCGAGCAGGACTGAGAACCTGTACTGTCCATCGCTTCCAGTCGTCTGCCTACAGGAGTAACCAGTGGCGTTACAGGGGCAGGTGCGACAGTATCCAGTTTGCAGTTGACAGGCGGATCTTCATTGCCGGCTTTGGGTTGTACGGTTCCAGCTCCGGTGGTGCAGAGTACAAGGTGAAGATAGAACTCAAGAGAGGAGGGAAGAGCCTTGCAGAGAATCACACCAAGTTCTTTTCCGATGGATCCAGTAGCACGTTTGCGGTCACATTCCCACATCCCGTCCAGGTTGAGCCCCATGTGTACTACACAGCAAGTGCAACGCTTTGTGGAAACGAGTTAAGTTACTTCGGACAAGAAGGCCTGACGGAAAGTACCAGCAACGACGTTACTTTCCAGTTTCAGTGCTCTCCTGAAAGCACAAACGGGACTGGAGTCCAAGGTGGTCAAATACCAGAACTGATATTCTACGCATGATGATTGGATCTTCATGCCAAACTATGCAGCTATCTCTTTGTCCTCTTTGGTGAGGCTTGATTAACATTTGAAGTGCAAATACTGCTGCGAAGTTACTATGACATTTGAATTATTGGGTAAATTAATTCTACATCTTGTTCCTGTCAGATTTCAGACGGTTTACTGAAATAAGAGCAAATTAAGAACAGATACTTACTGGTAATTTTATTTTGAAAAGTATACCTGTGTTTGGTTTTATTGTAATTGATTGTCATACTCTTTATTTATAGATTGTTGATCATTTTGCATTATTTTGGAATAGGAATCCTATGAATATTGGAAACAATATTACAAACAATGCAATAAATAAGATCATAAAATGAGGTTAGCTTGTTGCAACACTTGTTTTAAGTTTTGAAACCCAGTTGGAATAAAGTTCATGCTTTAAATTGTAATTTCCCAGAATGTTGTACTGGTACTTCTAAAACAGTTTATCAATACATATTCTCTAACATCATTTAAAATGAATAGTGATGAAGACTCAAAAGTCTGATTTAATCCTGCTAAAAAAAAGACCATTAATGCCAGTACCATTTACATCTACATGTATACTGATTATAATAAATGATGTTTTCCATAATTGGGGAAAAAAAAACAATTTGTTAAAATAGTACATTCTTTGATTGAGCACCATTACCATTGAAAAATTAATACCAGAAAATCTTGGTATCAAAGTCTACAGGAGAAAATGCTTACAGACAATTTTTTTTTACAATAGATACCCAATGTGTCCTTACCTAAATCCGACATTTAGCTCAAAAATCTTTTGAAAAAATCTATAAACATCCCAATGAACAGAGAAAGATCATAAGATGTGTTTTAAGTGATTTTCAAAGGGATTCTATCATCAAGTTGCTAGTTATGCTTAAAATAGGAGTTGTCAAAACTGAGCTTGGAATAATAAATTTGTTGACTTGCAAAATGCAAATTCAAACTGGATATACTAAGCATCTCTAATCTCTGTGACTTTGAAATATTGCAAGATTTTTAAATACAGATATCCTTGGAGAGGAAAGATATTTGAGATTTACAATGTAGCACAATACAAATGGAAAGGGTAATGTATGCAATGTTATAAACTACATGTAATCCCACCGAGTATCTTAGAATATTTGAATATCCATATTAAGTAAAACTTGTAATAACGAAGTATTTCTTATACATGACTACATGTATTTATACTACCATCCATCGTGCATGTCCATGTAATCATGTAGGCTTTGTTATATTTGCAAATAATTTGAGATATAGGGGCAGCCTCTAAACAGGAAGCTTTTGGTCAAATTAGAGTCTTGAAAGGTCACACTGAAATAATTCAATTTGTAAATTTTGTGACTTGATGCAATAAAGGAGATTAATTCTGTCAAATGTTTAGAAGGCCTCGCCTACATACATGTACATGTACTCAATTACACTGGCCTTTATATATCATAAAATTAAATTATACATGTAATTTCCTGATACAATTATTATTACACCGGATCCTGGTAGGATTTTGCACACATGTGTAAGCAATTACCTCGTTACCAAATATATATTGCTGGTTGGTTTCAGGCAGCAGTGACGTAGGGAGGTGTATGCATTGTTCATTACGAGGTGAAACTGATCACCTGACCAGATTGATGAGGCAATAAAGTCCGTTGAGAGCCAGAAGGGATTTAAGTCTCTGTAAAAGTAAAGGAGCCTGTGCCCCTCCGGCACTCGACAAACAATTTGCGATAGGTACTTGGGGGATGGCACTTTAACGAGGCTATCTAATGGGAATACTCCCACCATCTTCAGCATATAAAAACCAAGCATGCCTGAGTTTGTGTGCCGACATATTACATCCATTATTCAGTACCTGTAGGGATAGGTGTCAATTTTTTTTCGCAATTTTGCTTTCGCTCTTAAATAATTTCAGTATACTGATACTGCCTGTTCTCAAATGCATTGAGGTACATGCACGTTTTCACTTCACTGAAGTCTATAGATAGGACTCCATGGAGGTCATAGTTTTTGCATACCAGTAAATGTATTGTTTAATTCTCTAGTCTTAACCCCCTTTGTCTGTTTGAAATAGTGAATCTCAAATATCATATTAATTTGTTTTATATATTTCATTTTCAATGTGTCGTGTACAATTTTCATATAGATCAGTGATGTCTCAACCCATAAACATGTAATTTGGACTCCTCCATGAGATAAAATATCAGTTATACCCTTCTGGCACTCAGTAAGTACCCATAGTGGGAATAGGGGTTCAATATTTAGTACTGGTAGTCTGGTACATGTATTTGACTTTAGCTACCATCCATTAGTTTTTCAGTACATGTGTTGTATTACAAAAATCTCAAGTCCGTCAACTGTCAATTTGATATCCTTGAACTTAAGTTTTTAGAATCCCCTTTGCAAAATGTTTGCAGTGCAGCAGATCATGTTTAGCCTCTATTTTGTCTTATTTATTACAAGTACAGTAGAACTTGAACTACATGTATAATTGTATACAACATAGAGAAATCAGAGATAAACTAGAGTTTTCCTACATTATACAGTTCACCATTTGATGTAAATGAATTCATTATACTGTACATGTACAGTTTGTGTACGTACCAGCAGATTTTCAAAGTGTTTCTGATGCAATGATGATGATGTTGATTAATGAAACCCTGGTGGTACTTCACATTGATTTACCGGTAATGTATTTCAGTAAACATGTTATTAAAATGTATTGCCTACAGTATTTAATCTAATGACCCAGCTGTACCATGTTTGTTATTACACTGTCATGTGTTTACACCATTCATCATACCCACCGGACATTGTGATGTTGAAGGCTTGGACTACTCCGGGTGCACAGAAGGTTCATGTAAAAGAAGGGCTACATGTACATAAGCTTACATGTACAAGGATAGTACAATGAATTGAAATAGAGTAATATGACGGTGTTTATGCCATGATAGGGCTCACTGGTGAATATTTATATCTCTTAAAATATGAAAAAGAAGCACCCTTTGCATGATTTGCTAGACTGATTTGACCTACAATGTGCATGTTGTATATCAAAGGGAATATTCATTTGTATGTTTAATTTGTTTTACAAATATTTAGGCCAAAAGAAATACATGTAGGCCTACAACTCTTTCGGTGCTAGACAGTCTTCAAACACAAACATCAACTTCATGATTGTGAAAGGGATATTCTGCTCATACAAGGTCCATGGTAGTTCTCTCTCTTACTCATCTCCCAAGTTCCCCCATGTCATCTTTAATATTAAAAGACAAGTACATCAGTTCTGAATCACTGTAAAGAAAGAGTGTTGTGCCCTTTCCAAAACCTTCAAACTAGATCTTCATATCATATCCCAAGGGCTATAGCTACAGGAATTCCATCTAATATACAAATCCAAAATACCTCGCTGATGAGACAAGATTTCAATATGTGAAAAGAAAAATTACATTGGTCCTAATGAGTAAATTCTGAGGTACCACTGTATTTTGTTAAATTTAAAGAAATACAGCAGCATTCAATGTTACTAACATAGAGTCTAGGATTAAATATCCCTTCAAAATTAGGGCTGGAACATTTGCTACAATGATTTGACCTTGTATTAAAATGAGAGTTTTCATGATGAGTATGTCCTTTTCAAAAATTTAGGCCTGCCAGCACAATACAGCAACATTTTCAAAGCTATGTTTTTAAGACAGTAATCAAATGCCCTCATTTACGACGGCCTTCATATATTATCTTATAGAATATGGACTGGGTATTATGATCATACAAGGTCTATGGCAGTTCTCATTCCTACTCATCTCCCAAGTTCTCCCTTTGTCCTCTTTGTTATTAACGCATGGCAAGTGCATCAGTTCTGAATCATAAAGAAAGAGTGTTGTGCCCTTTCCAAAACCTTTAAACTAGATCATCACATCGCATCCCAAGGGCTATCTACAGGCATTCCATCTAATATCTACACACAAAATGCCTGTCAAAATATTGACCCCACAAAAGAGGTGATGTGTTTCACAGTTATACAACTCATTTCCTCTGCTTTTTCCCCACTGAGGGGGCAAAAAATGAGAGAAAAATGTGGAGATTGGTTCAGCGGAGTCACTGTGAGTCATCTGGAGCGGCTGGCCCGAGGGGTGAAACTAGGATTCTGTTTTTCCTAGCTTGTGCGCCGCCGTGCTGCTTTGTTAGACTTCATTATGTGACAAGGCAAGGGCATGTGCTCCACCATTTGCTTCTTCTTCTCTTTGGTTCTTTCCCCCCTCGTGTTCTCCCATTCTTTGATAGGTCCTTGTCTGTTGTGGTCGTCAATGACTTTAGTAGAGTTTATAGGCGTGATACATCAGAATTGCTCATATTTGACATACACACTTAAACACGCACACAAACCCATTTCCCAATGCCTGTTTTTCAAACAGGGGGAATTGATAAGTACTTATACTTGTTGTGTATGACCAGGAGAATAGACTATTAAATACATGTAAACAAACTCAGGGCAAAGGCCATCATTGCAATGGTAAACATAATTTTCAAGGATATAATTCTTGTTTATACTTTAAGTTTTTAGGAATGATGAGGCTGATTCACTTTCCCCATTCCAAACAAAAATATAATCATTCCAGGACATAAAACAGAGAGGTTTTAACGACCCAGACCCATTCACAACCAGGGACTTTAATCCCCATTTCCAATGATGTGGAAAATCAATTTTAAGCTGTCAAACATCATTAAGCTGATTTGAACAATAAAACTATTACAAAATGAAATTCCATTTCATTGCCCTTCAGAAGCATGTAAGCCTTACTGCATGTAAAATAAACTTGAAATGTGTTGATGAAATGTAAAGTAATGTTTGGCATTTATATATTTTGTCAAAGTGGGGTGTGAGGAAGAGATATACCGGTAATGAATAACATCCATGAATTTTATCACCTGATCGTACCGGTAGTTTGCCTTGGGTTTCCTACATAAAGAAAGGTGTACATTGCGTGTGACATCCGTTTACATAAATTCACCCTTTCAGGACATCTCATTCTCATTAACATGCCTCTACAATTTTGATTGAAAACTGCGACACTGAAATTCAAGACCTTGAAGTCCCACCCCCTCAAGAATTTTTTTTAAATTTTTTAATTTATTTTAAAGCTTCCACTTCAATGAAAAATATGTGGTTAGACAAAAGGTGAAAGATAATTAAATCTTTAGTAATGCTCTGAATAACTTTTCTTTGTTTCTGTTTCTCCTTCAATGCCTTTACACAGAGGATAGCAACTAAAATTTAAAAAGCTTGTGGAGTTTATCCCAATAAATATCACAATGTGCCAACGGCTTCTCGGGAATCTTGCCATTACCGTAAACATCTGTTAAAATTCACATCCACCCAATAACAAGCCCTCCGGTGACATAGGAAATGAAAATCACAACCTTTGCCATTTGCATGTGTTTGCTACGATGACAATTAGTGTCACTACAAAATACCTGGGAGGAAGCAATACATGACCATTGTCCTTTCCCATCTGGCTGGCTCAATGTGGAGTGTTGATAGTTACACTTGGAGCCAGTTTCTTGAAATCATCATGAGTCATAAGTTCATGGACATCAGATTCAAATGTGTGCTAATTCTATTATCTATAACACATGTATTTATATTTATTTCATAGGATGTCAAAGGTATATGTATGACTATTTCGAGAGACTGGCCCAAGGAATTATAATAGTGACTATCCCCTATTAACACACTGACAGATATGACATTGGTCGCAAAGCAAGCAATATTCCTAATAGATGAGGTGGGGGGGGGGGGGGGTCATTGTTGCCTATGGTATGAGTGAACAAGAGCCTTCATATGACTTTAAAAGGTAGCCCCTTTCCTTCTGGAGCAAACTTTTAATAACAAAATGTCATTTCACAGGTCCCCCACAGGAAAGAAATATTTTCAGATTTGGATTTTGAATATTCTAGAATGAGATATAACTTACGGGATGAAAAATATGTATACAATTTAATCTTACAGTACATGTACAACTTCACATCTGCTCTCAAATCTAGACAAAGGCCATTTTAAAAGTGTAGAACAGCAAAGTATTGACTGGAAGTAAATAAGTACATCCATATTGCTAGAGGGGATTTCAAACCTTTTTTTATACCAAACTAGTCAGGTGCAAAGTATCTATGCATGATTAGACAACAAAGGAAAAATCCCATTATTCTCGCCCTCGTTGATGATTATCCCTCTTATAAAGTGAAGGTGACACATATTATACTGCAATAACACCAACCCACAATAAAGTAAGAAAATATGACTTAGAGTGCAAATATTTCGTTCAAAAGGACTTCTGGTCTTCTTCTTTCATCAATGAATGCACTTTTTATAAGAATAAAAGAAAGAAACTTTTGGTTAAAATGCCAGTGAAACCATCTGCTGGTTATGAAAATTAGAAATATCAAGCACAAAAGATATCTTTTTTAAGGTTTCATACAAATATGTTTCACAATAGCCACAGGGGAAGGAATGGAACCCTTACAAGATATATATCTCATATTAGAAGCATTGTACTAACAGAATGCTTCAAAATTCTTTTGTAATGATTTTCTTGGCCACTAAGCTTTCCTATTTAATGAGTCAGGACTCAATTTCTATGTCTGCTGAAATTGAGAGTTCTGAAAATCATTTAAATAAGTGCTTTTCCAGACAAAGAAGGGAATTTTGTTATTTGTAAGCACTGTCATTTGTCAACTGTCAAATGTGTCAAATGTGATGAATCTGAATATTTGATAAGGATTTGATGATTTGTCTCTCCTTCTTTAGGCAACATACTACTCATGTGTGTTCAAAAATATGATTTTAATCTACATTGAATAAGGACCTTTCGTATTGGAAAATAAGATAACAATCTAGAGTTTCTGCAATTATAATCATTTCTGCAGGTGGAAGTCAGACCAGAATAACAGATTTTCTTTGGTAAACATCCCCAATCACACACTATTTGGGAATCAAAAGATGTTCACTTGTTTTTGTCGCTTGGTACAGTTCACAAACCTACTACAATGGGACTTTTTTCTGCTTAACTGGACCACACCAAGTGACAAGAAAATGAACAATGGCACAACATCAAAACAGAGTCAACAGACAGTACACAATACTGGGTCATTCCACTTCATAGCACTGCACCTTATTCATTCATGGCAAACACTTTTAACAACCGAAACGCTCAACATCTGTTATTTTTCGTCTCGCTTTTCTCGACTTTTCAAGCAGACATAAAGAAATACAGAATAACAAGGCAATCATAAATGTCAATCAGTTTTGGTAGGGATGTCTGTCTTCATAAATCATAATTACAAAAAGGTGAGCTCAAGGTAAAAAAAAACAAGGTTCAAGAACTTCAAGTGGCTTTCCATTACATGTAAATCTTTGTCATTTACCTACATGTACATGTACATGTAAGCAAGATAGGTATTCCTTTTCACTTTGCTGATTTTTGTTCTCATGTATCATATAGTATATTATAAGTATGAAAAATTCCTGTATTACAAAGGTATTTATTCTCATTAGCATGACGACAATTTGTGGAATTGCAGTTTCATTGTAATTGTAAGTATGCTACATGCCTACATTACAGGACAAAACTGCGCAATACAACTTTCATAGCAAAAATCTGTCATAAAAGCAGAAATTCAAAAATATGGATAAATAATCCAGAGAAAAACAAAAATACCAATAAACATTTTTTTTTTAACAACATCAATAAATATAAAATGGGAATATAAAAATGACCATCACCTGTTAGTCTTTGAAGTGAAAAGAAATTTAGGATTTCCTCTCCATTAAGTAAACATTTAGTACACAAAATTAGAAAAATTAACATACAGTTTATAGAAGACAACAAGATATTACAATCCTGTAACTTTTGGGTACACCTGGGGGTGTTTCAAAAAATCCTAAGTTGGACTTAAAAATTATGAAAAGCTGTTGGCATCTATGAAAATATTTTGTAAAAGTTATTTTAAAAGGTATAAAATGATGATTTAGATCATTCATATTTTCTATTATCAAGGACATTTTATGTTCTTGATGTGGAATTTATAAAAAGTCTAAAATACTTGAATTTTCGCTTTTAAATATATTCTTTTTTAAAGCTACAAATGACTCCCAATAATATTTAAGTCCAACTTATAGTTAAGTTCGAGTTGGGATCTTTGTGAAACACCTCTGGATAATCATTGGTTTCACTTGGAGGTGTATTGCTGAAGTATTCAGATTGCATCAACACTGATAAATACATTAACATGTCTACAAAATACGAGTTTTTTGTTACTTAGATTTGCTTATAATGTGTAGCTTTTGACTCCCAACTGGTGAAAATTTGTGAATACTATTTACAGCTTAATTGATATTCATATTCAGAAAGTAAGTATTGAAGAAGAGTGAGCCACACGGGGTATAAGTATTAAACAGTGACAGGTTTAAAAATTAGCTTAAGGTGTGAAAATCAGCAATGTTCATTTTCAACCAAAATTACTTCTGACATATTAGTCGGAAAATGTATTTGAAAAGGCCTCAAAATATGGATCAGATTGCACCTGAGTGCATCTAGTAAGAACCTTAGAGCCTGCAAGCAAGCCCTGGAGCCCAGCCATAAGGAACTCTGTGCTTCGCATTATGATATCTATTCATAATCCTTTGATTGTTCCAATTTTACATGTTTGATTTTTTTTTTTTTTGGATGGACCACCCTGATTGAACATACCCCAGAGTCATATGTCATGCAATTTTGATATACCCGCACTCAGCAAACAACATGTGAAAACACCAAATAATCAAGAGTGTTGCTTTTGATCATGAAATACCTCTCGAGCAGTATGCCTGACAATTTCCATGCATCTTCTCTCATTTATTTTCAATGGAATGTAACAGTATTTCCTTGATGAATTTTATAATATTGAAATTGAAAGCATTGATATCATTGCAGCAAGGTCAAATGTATGCTTCGATAGAAACTGCCTGAACAGTGGAAATATTTTACTTTCCCTTCAATATTTTCTTTTCTAGGTTCACTGGATTGCTATTGTAATTATTTCTGTACTTTCACAGAACTATTCCCACAAAATTGGAGTGCCTCTCCCCCCCCCCCCCCCATCCCCTTCCAACCCATTCGTAGCTATTAGTATTTAAGTGTTATTTGTTTTGTTTCATATTTTGGATACTGTCCACCATCCCCTCTCCCGACCAGCCAATATGTGTTCTATTGTTTGTTGTTGTCAATTTCTATTTAGATTGCAGATCTTCTGCAGATATAATAATCAATTATAACAAAAACCAACAAAAGTAGAGAGTTGATTTCTTGGCTACAAGTTGTAGACAAGGAGGAATGTAATTAACAAAAGATCAGCGATGTAGTTTAAAAGATGATTATAAATCTTGGCCCTGTTTCATGAAAATTGTTACCAAGAATAATTGCCGCAGATCTGTGATGAATTTGCTAACACTAACAGCCAATCAAATGCAATGATTTCAGTAGCTTATAATACATCATTCATCACGAGTAAATATTGGTAACAATTTTAGAAAACTGTATTGTTTTTATCTCTTTGCTATTAAACACTAGGAAAACACATTATTGATATCAAGTTATCATGAATAATATTTGAAATTAAGACTTACCGATTGCAGGTACATTGATGTGAAGCTCCTGACACAACTTGAGGTAGGTCTTCCCAAGAACATACACATTCACCTAGGGAAAACAAAGTAAATTTCATAAAACATTTTGGATATAGACAATATTATTTTAAATCTCACACCCTACATGGATGAATGAATCGATGACATAAGAGTGAGAAACAGAAATTGGCTTAAAGTTCATCATTTTCATACATCAGTTTCCATTGCTTTGATTCATACCTATCTCTTAGTTTGACAAAGTACATGATCAAATCAGATAAAAGATTACTGCCCTCTACTGTCTCAAGTCAGTGCATGAATTGCAGTCAAACACAATATATCAGTAGATGTGCAATGACGGCATATAACATTTAGATCTTTTTGTGTTATAAAATTAAAAATAATAATAGTAATATCAATTTTCATAACAGTTAACATGCTTTCTAATGACATGGAGTCCTTTTATTTTTGGAATAAAGATTGCTGTGATAGAGAATAATGAAGGTAGATGTCAAAAAGTGCATTCACTACTATACACCCACCTTTTGTTTTAAACAACACTCCCATGCCAGTGATAATAGATCATCAAAGGCTAACCTTGAACATTACATTCCTAAGGAACATTCAACATCCCAGAAATTATGAGGGGTGTAGGGTTTTCAAATTACCGGTATAATATAGGATGTCTTAGCTCTAAATCCCAAAGTGGACCAAAGAAAAAAAAGTACCACTTTAATATTATTTTTGTTTCCTTCTAAGCTTATCCCTTATAGATACATGTATGTGAATTACCTTTAACCCATTCACTAATAAATGTTATGTATTATTATTATTATTATTATTATTCACTACTGAATTTTGATATTTCCAACATGTTTTACACAGGAACCTTCCGGTTCCAGTAGGCAATGGTTTAATACTCCTCTGAACTGATTTAGCATCATAATAAAATATCAATCCATCTACTGTGGATGAAGCCTACTCTAACAGTGATCTATTTTTAAGATTGAACATGATAAATAAAGTGTAATAGCTTACCTGTAGCAAGTCACTGAGATCTAGCAACATATCTGGAGAGGTTATAGGTTAAGGAAAAAGAATTCATGCTAAATCATATCAAGTCATTATTTATCTTTGCAATTATTGCACTAACAAAAGTACATGACAGAGCAAGGACAATACATACTTTTAACCATCATGGACCTACATACATATTTCACCATGCATGACTGAGAAAGAGCTGCATGCTATCTAATAATTTTTTTTTTCAATGCAGGAAAAGGGCCATAGATTCTGACTTGTGGTTGTGCCTCTGTCCTACATGGAGTGGCCAAATATTTTGGTTTCGACAGATATTTCATAAAGTGGAGATCTTTCTAAAGTGGGAATCAAGCTCAATATAAGGTCTCCAGATGAACTAGAATGCTGTGTATGCATTTCCTTTAGTCTCTTGTGCTAAAATTAAATAGAGTGCATATTTTTTAGGACGAGACAAGCTAGTCGAGGGAGAACCAAAGTATGTGGTGCATCGAAACAGCAGTATGTTCCCCAATAGACCTCAAACGTGAATATTTTTTGCTCAAACAAGGAGAAAAATCTTTGGTAAATATTGGGACAGTTCTACAAGTTCTCTTCATCCAACAAAAAAGATTGCATTATATCAAGGATACGAGGAGTGGACTCCAGACGACAGACCAGATAGAGGCAGGCCGCTACAATGTGCATGGTCTTTCTTCCTCTCGTCAACTTCTTCTGGACAGCCATCTTGAAGAAGTTATAGGCCATGTCATTACGATGCTGGTTCAACTTCAACTGCCCACCCAAGTTCTGGATGTGTCTCTTACCTGAAAAAGAGTAGTTGATCATCATAAGATATGTTACAATATGTTACAAAAATAAGATATGTTATCATATTATAAGATTTGATACTACGATAAGATGTTCCCATAATCTCTTTTATTGTTTCAATGTGTTTTAATATACCGGTAGATGCAAGTTCAAATACATGTACATATTTATTATTTAGAATAATTTCAATTCATATTGACTACAAAAAGAAATTAACACTTATTATTGCATACAACAAGAAAATATCATTCTTATTTTAGGAGATCATTTTATCAAACCAATAAAGAATTTGCAGTAAAAAAATAAAAAATATGTAGGCTATAATTATATTCCAGAAAGAATCCCACTCAGTGCATGATTTTATAATGATTTGATGGTTCTAAACCTCATATTCCACAACTACTCCTACTTACTGCATGGTTAGTGTATCAGAGATTTTTTTCTGCACTGACACTATATAGCCTACAAAAGCCAATACAAAAAAATACATAACCTAGACAAGAAATCTCCACTGATATGACCAAGGCCAAACTGTTGCCGACTTCTAATGAAAATTAAACCATCAGCTGTGAAGCATTCTGGGGGTAAAATGACTGTGCAAATACATGTGATGACTTGCATGAAGCTAGAGTTTTACCTTGTTGAAGTGTAACTGTTCTGGATTCTTTGCCATAGCCATGACGAAAGTTGTTTCCTAAAGTATGACTCTTATCACCTGTGGCAAAAATTGAAAGAGATAACAATAACTTAATCACTGTGAACAAATTGTTTATAACATAGAATAATGACAGAAAAGGATTTGTTCCATATTAAAGGTTATCCAAGAGACATCGATTGATCTGTATGGTGTCTAGCATATCACTACATTTGGGACATATATGTGTCATAGTTTCATAGAAGACCTCCAAAATTATGAAAAAACCAAGCAATCACAATGAATAGTGACCATTACTTTTTCAAAAACTGTAAAAAATATTTTTATAAAATGTTAGCACAACAACTGATTCATAGAAGAACAATTTCAATAGAACCTGTAACTCTACTATCCAAATCTTGTATGTACATCATATGAGACAGTTAACTAGACTTTTATTTGATTGCCTGCAAATTGAACTTGGTTGTCATACAAGGTGAGCATATTTGAACATTAACCACTATACCTAAGTAAGATTTTTATTTACACTTAGGTGATATGACTTTTAACAGAATTGTGACATTTACCTTCGGATGAAACAAACTGGCCGATCACAGAAGTTCCTCCAAGAGTGTTCTCTGCAAAGCCCACCTCAGAGACGATGAAGTTGTCTTCAATGACCGCTCCACAGGACACGCAGACAGCATTACCTCGAGCCTGGTCTGTGTCTATGTCACTACCGCCACAATTACTGCACACGGTTGCCTTAGACATAGCTGGTATGTCTGTAGGGCCTAAGGGCTGGTGAAACTGTTTACAATAGATAATAAATCATTTTCTATTAAGAAGTGTGATTTGGTAAATTTGATGACTGGTAAATCAAGCCAATTTAATGAAACAAAACAATAAAATCCATCATTTCTAGTCATTTTTTCATTTTTTTTCCCTTCATTTTTCAACCATGTAATAACTTTCACTTTCACTCTCGCCAAAATATGATATATACACGTATGTTACGTTTAGGCCCCATTTCAAGTGCACTCTGGGATAGTTTGATGACCAAGTCACTTCCAATTTCTGCCATGCGGCTGCACTGTGCATGTCTGGGTTTGTGTGTGTAATACTTTTCTGAGAGTTATTACAGTGATAAATCGTGATTTTCAAGCAATTTCAAGAGTGCATCGATCATTACAAAAATGTATGAAAATATTGTTAATCATACTAAAAAGATATTTAGATGAGTGATGGGCCTGGGCGAGAGTAATTGGTATTAGCATAGTAATACTAACAAATAGCTTCTTTGGTTGTGTTCATTGACTAGTGCGAAAACGTGTCTAGACGGGACCACAATAAAGGGTTTGTTGGCTTGTTGGACGATCAATGGACATACTGTTTTGGTGGGGTATTCTAATGTTAAACCCATCAATTTTCTCAAAGCTTCGAGGAGGGCCTTCCATTGTTTCGTTCTGGTTGTCAATATGCATGCAGATTTGGAGTATTCTTCTCTTGTTTTTCATTGCTGCCATCACAAAAAATTGAGAAACCTAGAAATGGCTTTCGCCTTTTGCACACATACCTACGTACAATGCACACATAGTAATACGTCATTATACACGTGTACCATGCGTGCTGGAAGTAATTAAGTCCTGGAATTGGCTCGAAATTACTTGCAAGAGGCTACATCTATGAATTTTGTATGCATTGGCAATAGAGAGAATTGTAGTACAAAACACACACCTGGGAAGGAAGCATCTAAAAATTTGAATAGTTCTAGATAGATTTCTACATTGACTTGATAAACAACTTTGCACAGTATATTAGTAGACCATACGTCACGTTATCGTCTTATTGTGCTGAGAAACTGTATATCATGCTAAGAATGTCATCCTTAGTAGTTGCTTTATACCTGTCTCATACACTTTTTGGTTAGAAAATCTTGTAGATAAAAGGGCAAGACTTCATAGATCTAATTTTTAATTTTACTTTAGTTTAGCCACATCACCAGACGACAGCATGCAGCCAATGGATTTAGGAATTAGGATAAATTAAAGTTGGTTCTAATGCAAAATACAAACTTTGGATAACCTCAGATACCCCACATTTATCTATATATATTTCTTCACGTACGAGTAGGCTAAAACAATTTGATTGAACTTACATAAATTAAAAGTTCATATCCAAAAACCTCGGTTCAACATTATTACTGTCCCATATGTACTTATTTGTGTAGTGTTACATGTAATTGCAAGAGTATTTTTCAAATTATTATAAAATACTGTAGGCCTAATACCGAATAAAATTTGCTCAAAAGAAAGTGACGCATATTTCTTCAATTATATATATCGTTCATCAATGAAATGAATATGTGTGCTTACATTTCGGTGCTATTCCTGGTAACAGAATTTGGTCGAAATTCTCGAGACTAGCTTCGCGAATTACATGTAAGGTATCCTCAGAAAAGTCTACAAAAGAAAAGAAAATTTTGAAACGGCACTTTCAATACTTGAGAACCTCAAAATGTATAGCCCCACGAAATTCAAATTCGTAGATAATTTATGAAATTAAAAATCTTTGTAACTAAACTTGAATATTTAGAATGTGTGTTTTATGACATAGAATCAGATTTAGGCCCTTTGTGATAAAGATGCGACGCAACTTTTTTGAGGAAAAAAAGGCCTAGCTGGGATTTTTCACATTTCCTCTCTTTTTAAAGAAAGTGACATAATATACAGCACCACCTGTCATAATCAATTCAATTCAAGTATCAATTCAAATATTAATCATCTTGAATTAGTATAAATGTATGGAGGGGGCACTCTCGCTTGTTGTATTATGATTCCATTTCCACATAAAATAACTTGTTTCTCAGGGCTATAGCTTTGTAATAACTCAAAATAATTTCAATATTTACATCTAAGAAAATGCACCTTTTAAATGTCAAAGTTTGTTATGGTTTTATGGTAATCTCTCGACCGACAAGAGAATTAAGGTGACACCTTGATAAAGAACCCAATATCTTATGCTGCTCCTATCATTCTAAGTCACTTTGTTTTCTTTGACAAAGTAATGATAAATGAAACTCCAAAATAAGCCCTTTTTTAATTGGAAGAAAAAGATGATTAACTATGCTGGTGACATGATCAAATCAATACAAAAACTTACCTGGTGATGGGCCTATGACGTATTTTTTTTTTTTACTTCACCTGTCTTTTATGGGAATTAAGGGGTCAGTGGTCCCTTCTCGTTTTATGATGGGAGGCAGCTGCCCTAATAATTAATACCCAGTTAATCAACCACATCTACCAGGTGGGGGGGGGGGGGGGGGTTATAGGTAGGGAAATGATTTCTATTTATTTATATACACGAGCCCTGTTACGTTTGAAAAAGAAGAATATTACAGTATAACCAGGGAGATGAGAGTTAAACTCTCATCTCCCTGGTATAACAAATTATTTGTTCCTGCATTTTTATGATATAAGGGTTGCATCACAGGGGTGGAGCGCCATGATTCATCAACACCCCTGTCTAAATGTGCAACTCTTGTTTGTGTTTGTCAAATGTTTTGGTCATGTGAAAAAGACATCATGCAGAGTCTCTTGAAAAAATTATCAGAAGGTAAAGTTAAGGTACTAATTCGAGAGGAAAGCAGGGAAACAACTTGGTGGAGAAAAAAAAGACCTGGGGGGGGGGGGGGGGTGTTTCACAAAGATTCTAAGTCAAACTTAACTCTAAGTTGGACTTAAATATTATGGAGAGCCATTTGTAGCCCTATAATTAAGTAATTCAAAAGCAAACATTCAAGTATTTTAGACTTTTCATAAATTCCACATCAAGAATATGAAATCTCCCATGATAATAGAAAATATGAATGATTTGAATCAACATTTTATGCCTTTTAAAATAACTTTTACAAAATATTTTCAAGGATGCTAACGGCTCTCCATAATTTTTAAGTCCAACTTAGAGATAAGTTCAACTTAGGATCTTTGTGAAACACCCCCCTGGACGACACTGCAAGAGTGCATGTACTTGAATGGCATATAACAGAGATGTGTGGGAAATGTCGCAATTAACCTCTGAGCTTGCAGAATATACCAGGATAGATATATAAATATTCTGTGCCTGTATTATCTACTTTGGGAATGATCCGATCTTCCTTTCTTGGTAGTGTATCAACTCTCTTCAAATTGGCACAATTTGGTTAGAATGTGAATTTGAAACCCTACCTCAAGTTTGAACATGTGACATATTGGATTGCTTCAAATTTTGTTACACATCTTTTGTTAAGATTAAAAAAAGGAGAAAATTAATGTTACTTTTTTTTATTTTCACCTACTTACGTGTTCAATGAATTCTTCTTGGGGTAATGAGGTACAGGGGATCCCGAGGGCAAAAGGCATTACACCATACCAAGGTTTATACTGATTTTAGAGGAACTTTAGTTTTGATGATGAATGAAAAATATTTATGAACGGTACATTACTATTAACTTCTTTGAAAGACCTTGAATAAATTATTTATGAGACAAGCTTATATTCGGATATGTCAATTTATCATATTTTCACATAACTATTGGCCAAATGGATTGTTCATTTCATTTTCATTTACATTGTGATCTTCTTGAATTGAAACTCAACATGCTTAAGATTGTGATGTAAGAGTGTCATGTTATTAGCAATTTAGAAATGAACATGGAAGAGAGAGAAAGAGAGGGGGGCAGACAGATGGAGAGAGAGAGAGATGAAGATAAATATATACAAAACTGGTAGAGAGAGAGAGAGAGAGAGAGAGAGAGGGGGACAGAAAGGACACTTAGAAGGATAAGCAAGAACAAATGACAAAAAATTAAACCAAACTGACACAAAATTATAAAACATTAAAGAAACACTCTTTTCACTCAAGTTTTTTTTTCTTCAAAATCTAGAAGGCAAGATTTTATTGGATTGTGAGCATAAAAGTGTATCACATCCACATCGACAGAGAGTTCAGAAAAGGAAAGTACAGAAAGTAGCAATTACTAAACTAGTATGCGAAAAATGTACTTCATGATGAGTAAGCCGTTCTACTAAAACCCACACATTTTAATCTACATATCTACAAATGAATGCTTCTCAGGTATGGAGAGAGAACACTTCTGCTTAAAAAGAAAAAAAAAGATAAAGAAAAAAAAAAGTTAAAGTTCTTGGTTCAGATTGCATTCAACCTCTTCCTCAGTGATTCTTCTTAACATGGCTGGCTCAACCTCCTCCCCAGGATAAATTGGAGCAAGAGTCTCTGCTGGTTGATTGAAGAAAAAGAATTGTATGTTGATCGTCCCACCCATGTCAATAACGGGAGAAATCACCTCCTCTTGGGGACATGAATTGAAAAGTATATGAAGTAATTTACCATCAATTAATTAGAATCCATGAAAGTCTAAACCACCAGAAGGGAATTCCTCACCCTTCCTAAAAAATTGGATGACAATAAACACTGTCATTTTGTTCACACTCTGCTTTTTCAAAAACTGTCAGCCAGTGCCCTGAAAATATTTTCAGAACACATTTTTAAAAGGAAAAACCAGTATACTAGCTTTATTGTACCACATTGGAATGACTTAAATTACATATATAATTTTATATAATTTAATTCAAATTTGACTCTTTTTATCTCTCTGAAATTTTGTTTTATCTGGTACAAAATATATGTCTCCCATGAAAAAGAAAATTCACCTATTTCTTTCTTTAAGTTTGGCTGGTTGTTTCAATATTCAATACTAATGAATACTAGCCGAAGGAATAAATTTCTTCTCTTTACACAACATGGAATATATTATGTTCACATACACAATAAACGTACATTACTTCCATTTACAATAATGCATAATATTCTATTTGTACAGCTATACAATGCATTCAAATTCAATCTATACACAAACCAACGAAACATGTAAGAATATTTGTTATTGCCAGCTACCTGCCAACACCTACAAGTATTTCAAGTATTATTGAACATTTACATGCAGAAAAAAGCACAATTGTGAGGGAAATTTACACACATATAAGTTAATTTAAAGTTCACAGGTCAACTTTTCGTAACAATACTAAATGTGTCATTACTGTCATATTTAGTAAAACCCAGTTTTCTAATGCACTGTATACAGGTTCCGGGGGACATGTTTCTGTATTCTAAATGTAACATAAAGAAAATAAAACAAAGCTCTTATGCACACGATCTTCACAGATACATTCTTGCACTTAAATTCATATTATTTGATCAAGCGACAATTCCAGAAATTCATAAATCAAAATCAAAGACATCTTGAACATGATAAGCTAATATATAGTCACACCATTACCGTTATACAACGCATGCTTTTACACATGGTACTTATACAAATGTACGACACACATGATATAAAATGCATCAATATTTCCTTCAGTTGACAAACAATAAATACTTTTTGGCAGGTTGAAGCTCTCTTCTCAACGAGATAGGACATACGTCACAAATTGATCAAGAATTCAAGATTCTGCAAAAATGGAATCCTTTTCCACTATTGATATTAGTCATCACCCTCAAAGTCAAATTTGGCAAAGTCAGGCGAAAAGCAAACACACACGAAAGAAACATTGTGTGAAGGTCCATCTTAATGAATGCTATAAAGTAGTCGATGAAGCTAACATCATATGCTTGATGCTTTAAAAAAAATTTGAACTGTGCTTTAATCCACCAACTCATCCCTTTGAACTCCACTGAAATGTTTCGTTATCGGTATTTTAATATACGTTACGGTATCCCTCCAGAGTTTGCAGTATAACCAGTAAAGCCTACTGTCTACATGACAAAGAAATACCAAATATAGTGTGGGAAAATCATCTATCAAAAGAATACAGTCGCTTATTAATGAATGGATTTGGCCATTAGAGGCTGAAAGTACAAAGTAATGAAAATAAAAACAACTGAAGCTAACAGTGCTCCTCAACTAGCAATAATGCACAAGGGGGGGGGGGGGTAAATGGAATTGTGTTAATTCAATATAAAAATCAGAAGGTAAAATAAACAAAAATCAATCAGTATCATTTGTCTCTTAACTCGATGCTTCAAAATTGGTATTGCATTGCTAGTTTGAGTCACAAGATAAAGTTTGCACCACAACTTATAAATCAATTAATTAAACCTTTTGAAATCAAACCATCCATTATCATCAACACTTTGCCCCCTTTCCTACTGCAGCTTGTCCATAACAAAACTTTGGTTTTAACCCCAGATATTCAAGATAGCTTGGTGTATTTGGTGGTTTGTTAGTCAATAATAATGACAATAATACAAAAAAGTAATCACATCATATTCAAATCCATTCTGCTTATTCACCTCCACGCTCAATAAACAATTATCACATTGATATCTTTGCATAACTTAAATCAGCATATCCGAGCATATTACATTCAAATGAACAACTCCCACTCGCTTTATTATTTCACTTCAAAAAACTTTACGCACTAGAAAACTGACCTGCAGCACATTATCACTGACAAAAATACAACAAACTGTCTTCCCTATGGGTTCTACACAGCGAAAGGAGACAGAGTAAATTCCATTGAAGCATTTCATTTCATAAAAGCATCAATTTTGTCTTCTTCTGTCATACCATTACATTTAGCCTGGAAGAATAGACAATCCTCTGCGGATCTATTTGCAGTATTTTAGTCATTTTTTGGCACAATAAGGAGGCACTTTGCTCTGATACATACCTACCAGTGCACATGTTTGTGTAGCAGAACTCCTATGCATGGTGCAGTGTTGGTTTAACACACATCGATACAAACGAAACAGTAGTAGACGAATGGTGGATTATCTAAGCCACTTAGTACTCTTGGAAGCACATTATGTCATACCTCATCAATTCACTTTGTGTTCAGGCAAACATAACATCTATTCATGTCTCAGGGGTAATGACTACTTTTCTTTGTTGTTGGCCTCCAAAAATAGTCTCTTACAATAGTATAGGTTGCATTCGTATGCGAGAAGATTTGCTAAGTGATTAATTACTATTATATGTCACCTTTCTGGTATTCGTTATGAAAACAAAAATATGATGTCAATTCACAAAACAAAAGCAGTATGAAATGGTAATAACAAAAAGGTCCATTTGGCTCCCATGGTTTGTCCTCTATCTCATGAAAACAGAATTACTTTCAGTACTTGGTTTAACACACATAATTACAATGTTATATTGGTGAAGCACAGTATAGCATCAGTTTGGAGCCAGAAGGGTGTTAACTCTTATAGTTTAACACTGACCTAACACCCTTCTGTTTCCGAACAGATGAATTGGAAAGTGCTTCTTTTCATGCACATATGTTTATTTTTTATATTATTCATTCTTGCAATGAAAAAACATGGAATCCTTATTGACAGGTATGTATAAATGTCATTTTCCTTCCAAATCTTGTTAAGATTCAGTCCACTGTTGTTATTTGTTTTATTTTCTTTTTCAGGTCACACAAAATGAAGTATATTACGAGAAATAGTATAATGCAAAAAGAATTCATGAATCTGAAATCTGCCATATCTTGAGTATAAGATTGGTCAAGGAGAAAAAGTTGCATTGTCCTAATTTCAATTCCCAAGAAATTTCAATGACTACATATCGCAGAACTCACACTATCACCACTTTGCATTGCAAATACTTTATAGACAGGTAGTCTTTCAATACATACAGTTGTTAAAGCGGATTTGACTGTACAAACTGATATCACCATGCCTAGATGTCAATACAGCTAGCAGTACTCCCAAAGTACCAGTGAAATCCAATGTTTAGGTTGGCATAGACAGTACAAGGAACAATAAACACATGTAAGCTGGCTTGATTTGGGGCATAACAAGGCAAAAGCTATCAGTTGGTCCTCTTGGAGGTTTTTTAAACATCAGAAGTTTGAAACAAACTCCACTTGAAAATATGCTATGCTATCATATGACCTGCAGATTTTAAAGGAATTAAAAGACCCATCAAGCAGTTGTTTTTTTTTGAGGGGGAGGGGGGGGGGACATGAAATTCCACAGAGAAAATGCATGAAACCTAATTGACGAGATTGAATGTCTCAAAAATTGTGAAAGAGCAAGATAGAAACTTTTCCACCAAAAAGTGTGCAGTAAATACTGATAAAAAAACGGCAGGATGCCTGAATGGACTTGTTCAGGATCATGTCTCGTAAAATGGACACAATTTAACAAACCCAACTTCTCCTACAGTACTTTACGCTCAAGCAAAATCTTTGCATTCCTGTTACAAATGATGAGGCAATAGTGGAATGTTTGAAATATTTTTTTTCCTTAACAGTATTACATCTGATGATGTGACCTATTTGTTTACATTGTGCCTAGCTCCCAAACACCTAATGCCTATCTTGTATCTTACACTTAATCTGCAAGTGTCGTAGGGGGAGGGGTTCTTAACGACTAACATGCATCCATGGACAAACAATAAATTGCATGTTTATATAAAAATATGATTTGGTGAGGAGGTCTAAATAAAAGAAAATTTTGTCTTTCCTTCTTTCTCATGAAGTCTATAGCACAGGTGCAGCATGAACTGATTTTAGTGTTCCTGGGAACATTATAACACGAATACCATCTCTGTATATTTCAAGCGTAGTGTGTTTAGAAGAAGTACAATCACTGAATCTATATCCACTTTCCTGTTTGACATGGCTCGATGGATTAATACTGAGGTTCCTTTTATTTGCTGACCCTGCATACTGTACCACCGTCACCTGTGACGGCCTGGTGGGTGGGGGACGTAACTAGGGGTGGGGCTTGTTGCTATGATCCACCACCTGACTCCATCCTCTCCTGACCCTGGGATAGGCAGTGACCTAGCGCAACGCCAGCCATCACGTGAGCAGCTGCGAACGCAGAAACAGAAACAGAAGGATGAGAAAATGGTTGGTAAAAATAGGTATGGACATCAGGGCCCTGTCTTACAAAGAGTTTGCGATTGAACCAAATAAATCGCAAGTCCTCTTAATCAATTGCAAGTTTGCAGTCTCCTATCTCTTATGTACAATTGCGATTGATATCAATTCTTTGAAAGACAGGGCCCAGAGCTGTAGAAGAAGACAATGACACACACTTCTTTCTCTTTTCAGAATCTCATTCATGGAGTTGCAGTATTCAACACGTGGGGGACATATCTGGACATTAAGATGACCACCAAATATTTTGACTTGGGGTGTGAATCAATTATATGCCTTGGGAAAATTCAAGACCATTAGAACTACATTTTAAACCAATGGCTCCCAACCTTCTAGGCCCCACAAACAAAACTGACAATCGTTGTAAGTGCATTTAACCCTAAAATACATATTTTAGTCAATGTCATTACCCGCTTTAATGTGCATGGATTTTAGTGGTGTTTGACCTAATGAGTGACCCCCTAAAAAATACAAAGTGAACCCCAAAATGAACCAAAGCTGGTTCACTCATAAGGATGTCATATTTGTGTGGATAGACTCTATTTAGCCAGAGTGCTACTTTTCCTTCTTGTCAAACCTTCCTTCATGTACTTGGAGGAGAGGGGGATGATGACACCATTGAAAGATTAGATTACCTTCTCTCTCCTTCTTGCGGAATTTTTTTCTCCTCCTGTCGATAGTTGCCACTTCTTGTTTGAGCTGTAGATAGACCGAGCGTAATTCTGTCAGTTGATGCTGGATTATGGCTATCCTTTCATCAGGTTCCTTTACGTTGCTCAGATCTGGAGGATAAAGGAATTATAACATAAGATAAGCAGGCAGGCAGGCAGGAACATGTTCACTGTTCTTGCATCTTGAATGATATACAATTTCTTTACTTTTTAAGAACACTTTTCAGGACCTTTGTATGTGCTCAATGCATGATTTTTGGCACATATCACCTCATTATGTCAGTTGATGCAATACCTTTAGAATAATTACTATTTATTATTCTATCTCTATTTATGAGACTGTTCAAGTACGTTTTCCTTGTAAAGATTATTTCCATCTCCTAAGCAAAAATTATGGACAATTGCATAGGGGCTCTTGTACCTTATAAACAGATTTAAAATATCAATGTAAACATACTTTTGACAAACAGCAGCCCTTAAATTTCAATATTTTTTGGGCAAGGCCACTTTTCTGTAGGGCACATTCCTATATTACAGCACAAATGAGAAGAATTGGAAAGGGCACAAAAAATCTCCAAGGCCAATGAGAGGGGCATTGAGGCCAATCAAAAGGGCATCCACGGCCATGGCCTTGGTGGCCTTGGATTAATTTAAGCCCTGAAACAGACATGATGTCATGATATGAAGAGTACTGTGATGTCCAATTTTGGTTTTTATACAGTTTCATGCATGTCAAACAGAAGTGCATGAATAAAATGTTTTAATGCATATTGAGAGAAGTTTACACAAATTTTGGAAAGTGGTTTTAGTGACGATGCACACTCATATGTTTTGTGAAAATTAAGTGAATAAAAAGTGAACACACTCACCAACAAGGAAGTTCCATCTGCGCTGTTTTTCAGCCCCATCTTGCCCACTGCTGTCAGCCACTCTTGATGGAGGCAAAGAACCAGCATATTTCTTGAGCGTCACCTGACGCTTGGCTGAGCTCGAGGTCAATCTGCTCTCTGACCTGCTCTCATCGGTATCGCTGCTGTTGTTATTGCCTCGTTCCTTGGCAGACTGCTGCCTCTCAGAGATGGACGACTGTCGCCTCCTGCTGTGCTTCCTGCGTCTCTTGGTGGGTTCCGACTCTGACAAACCCCTCCGCCTCTTCTTAGGGGAAGCCTGCTGGGATGACTGTGTGCCTTTCTTTGGTGGTGCAGAGCTAGCAAGAGGAGTGTCATTCTCTCTGGTCTGCGATGTTTCTCTGTCATCAAGATTTGCTACTTCAATCAGGGCATCACTGTCGCTCTTGTTGCTGCTCTGTTCTTCCGTCTGTATCTGAAGTTCTTCTTCGCGTGCTGGAGATTGCATCTTAGGAGAACTCTCTGGTGTGGTAGGTGGAGTTGTCATGAAAGATTTGCTGGTTCCTGGAATGGACTTGTCATCGACAGAGCTGGTCCCAAAGTCACTGTCTGTGTTATCAGCAGGTGTTTTGGCCTCATGTACCTTGGACTTCTTCCCTCCCTTGTCGGATTTCCTCCTGTCGACCTTGGCTTGTTTCTTCTTTGGTTCTGATGCTTCCGAGGCTTCTGATTTCTCTGAGACTTCTGCAGCATCCGCTTCTGCTTTGCTCCTCTTTCTACTCTCAATGCTCTTCCTTCCTTTCCTCCTACCCTTCTTCTTCTCTGTTGATTTATCAGCATCTGATGCAGAACCCTTGGTCTCTTGCTTCAGATCCTCCAACTTCACCTTCAGTTCAGCTTCCATGGGTATCTGTCGTTCCAGAACAGGAGTATCGTCTATCTTCTCCTTAGAATCATCAAGATCGTTGTTGCCTTTGGAACCATCCTTCCCAGCAACCTTCTCTCCTTTCATGGATTCGTTTGCTGAATCCTTACCATCTCTCTCCTTGTCTATCGACTTCCTCAGCCTGATCTTGGATTCTTTCTTTGTCTTTAACCTTCCCTCCTTCTCTCCTGATACCTTATCCTCTTCTTCCACCTTGGGTGCTTCTGAATCTACTTCCTGCAGCCTGGCTTCTACAGTCTCTGGTGCCACTTCAGCCGTGAGTGTCGGGGGTCCTTCGTCTAAGTCGTCATCAAAGTTTAGCTTCTCTTCGCTGATTTTGATCAGAGTTGCAGCATAGTCTTCAGTCTTTGTTGACGCACTGTCGTCATGGTCCTCGGGCTCCTGGACACTAGTGTCTTTCTGTTGGGAGTCTTCACTATCTTGAGTAGACTGCTGGCTTTCAGACAGGTCATCCAACTCATCGTAGTCACTGTCTGAATCTGTGGTACAAGGGACAATTTACATCACAAATTAATGATCCATTATTGTAGATACACTGTCAATAACAAACACACTGAAAGAAAGGGGTTTTTTTTTGGGGGGGGGGGGGAGAATTTAATTTTTGCTTTAAAATAACATTAATTATATATCATTGTCGAATGGTAATAATCTCTAATGTATGTGATAAAGATACAAAGATACATAATTGTTCCTGCACAATGACTAGTTCTACCAATCAACATCAAAAATGCTGAAGTAGGTTTTAAATTAATGGAATAAACACACACCATACTCGTTACATCGGCAATTTGAATCACAATTTTTTCCTCAATGTGATATTCATAAACTTTGTCAAGGCATAACTGTGACTCAAAGTGACTGCACTCACCATCAACACCTCTTCTGTATTCCCCAGTTGACGACCTTTTGCCTCGAGACCGTACTGTGAATAAAATATACAGAAAAGCGTTTAGAAAAACATCTATTCTTACAGAATAAACATTGTAACTGATTAAAATATGTGATATCTAAAGTTCTGATGCTACTATAAAACCACACAATTTTATTACTTTAGTGGGCGGCCCAGGTTGTGAATGTTTAATTCTCCAAAATTAATGGATTAGGACACTTAACCTTGCAAATTGCTTGAAGCAGGAACAGCAACTGTCAATATCATTTTACACAAGATCATGCTGTCATATTATTTGTTTCTTAAAAATTATGCAGCAGTGCAAAAAAAAAATTGAATTTCTTGACTCTGGAATTTCCTAATCCCTAGCTTTCATTTGTACCTACTAAGGCTTCTATATTTTGCTAGTAGAATCAAGGCAGAACATTTATCTCACCATTGAGTCCCATTGCAAATGGTGATTCTGTGAGACTCTTCCTATCAGATCTCATGGACCTCTGTGAGAAGACTGACCCGGGAGAGGGGGATTTCCCCCTTGCAGATGATGGAGTGGTCCTTGGAGGAGTCTGAGGCGCTGGAGATGTCTTGCTAAGAGATGGACGACCTCGCTTTCCGGTTGGTGTCTTCTTGCCTTCCTTTCCTGCCTTCTCCTTTCGTTCTCTTTCAGCTTCCTTGGCCTTGTCAGCTAGTTCTTTCTCCTGCTTCTCCTGTTCCAACTTCTCCTTTTCCTTCTTCTCTCGCTCCAGCTTTTCTCTTTTGTCCTTCTCCTGCTTCTCTTTCCTCTCCTTTTCTTGCTTTTCTTTCCTGTCTCGTTCCTGTCGCTCTTTCTCTAATCTCTCCTGCTGTTCCTTTTCTCGCTGTTCTCTCTCTAGTCTTTCTTTCTTTTCTCTTTCCTGCTTTTCCTTTCGCTCCTTTTCAAGTCTCTCCCTTTCCAACTTCTCCTTCCTCTCCCTTTCTAGCTTCTCTTGCCTTTCCTTTTCCTGCCTTTCTTTTTCTGCTCTTGCCTTTTCAAGTCTCTCTGCTTCTTCCTTTTCTTTCTGTTCTTGTTCCTGTCTCGCCCTCCTCTCTTTTTCTTCTTGTTCCCTCCTGTCTGCCTCTTCTTTTTCCTTTCTTTGCTGTTCTTCTTTATCTCTTCTCTCCACATCCTTTTTGGTCTTCTCCTTCTCAGGTTGTTTCCCTTTAGGAGTTGACTTTTTCTTTTTCTTTTCAGCAGAGCCTACAATGCGACTCATCTTGACAGCCTCGTCATACCTATTATTCCAGCCTGTGTAATGGACTGTGAAGACGTGATCCTTGCCCTTCAGTTCGATGTCTACAACCTGAAAGAAGAAATATATTGAAATACTGGTAAGAGAAAACCAACAGAAATGGTTACAGAGGTTTGGGAAACTCCAGTGAAAACATAAAATCCTGATGTTCATAAAAGACACTTGTATTGCAAGAAAGATTGCACATTGCCAGATGTGGTACAAAAGATATTTCAGACAACTCATATTGGGCTCCTTTTGTTTTGAACTTTCTAGTCCAGAACGAATACAACGTTGAAACATAGGATGTTATTCTCTAATCATGGTATAATTTCTCTCAAGTTAAGTTTTTAAACCAATCATTAAGGAATAGAAATTGAGCAAAATGTTGCCATGTTTACACTGAATAAAAACATGAAACATAGAAGTTAAACATAAAACACTAAGCAATTAAATTCCTTGCATACATCTTCCTGCAACTCACCTTAGCTTCGTATATTTTCTCTGTTCTTCCCCTTCCATAATGGACATGAACCTTCTCTCCAACCTCATAGCCAGCACCAGTGCTACAGGAAAATAAATGAAAATGCATTCAGGACAATACTGCCATTACGAGAGGAAAACGCATACATGGAAAAGGTATCGTCAAAGACTTGGAAAAGGTATTTTCAGACTTGGAAAAGGTATTCTCACAGACTTAGAATAGGTATTGTCACAGACATGGAACATTTTCTAACTGCCTAACAAATAGGCAACCTTTTTAATTTTTTTTAAAAACAAACTGGAAATGTGCACACTAAATCTCTATGATCATTCATTTGATAATAATGTAAATAATTGAGGGTTATTCTATAAAATTTTCAAGTAGTACATGAACATCAAATCAAGCAACACCTTTATACTCGTGGGCGAGACTCTCTTCATTTTTGACCAGTTAAGACAAATATATATTTGAAATCTGTAAGAAACTTACATGTGTTGGACTTGAGGAGTGGGGCTACCGCTTTCTTCCTCCCTTTCACTGCTCTTGCCCCTCTTTTCCTTTCCTTTCGCTTCCAGCTCTTTTTCCTCTGTCTTTTCCTCCTTCTTTCTATCCCCTTTCTCTTCCTTTGTCTTTTCTTCTTTTCCTTTTGTGTCTTTCACCTTCCCCTTTCCTTCATTTGCTTTCTCGCCTATCTTCTCATCGCTCTCCTTTGAAGCTGTGTCCTTTGATCTATCCTTGGCTTTGTCCTCCTTGGAGGATTTGACCTTGTCAGATTTGTCCTTAACTTTGTCCTTGACATTGTCCTCCTTGATAGGTTTGTCCTTGACCTTGTCCTTGACGTCCTTGTGCAGTCTTTCCTTGACCTTGTCGTCTTTCAAAGACTTCTTCCCTGATCTCTTCTCGTCCCGGTCACTGGTGTCTTTCTCTTCCTTATCTGTTTCCTTGGACCTTGTCTTGGCTTCCCTTGTCTCTCGTTTACTTTCTTCCTGTTCCTGTGATTTGCCTGCATCCTCTCCTTTCTTTCTTGTGACCTGGGTGTAATAACAGCAAAATTTCATGATCAATTATCTCCTGCAAAATCTAACAATGATACAGTTATACCTTTATATGAAAGGAGCTCCATGTTGAGTATCCAAGAGACTTTTAATGAAAAAGCCAAAAGAAACAAACCTGATTTTTGAAAAAAATTAGCTAGAAGCAGTGCATGTAAGTGATACTTCGTACTAGACCATTATGATACCATTAAAAGGCAAGGATACATTTAAGACCCTTTTCATTTGACTAATTAAATAGAAACGTCAAAGGATAACCTCCATTTGTGTCTATCAGAACTTTGTCCAATTTGGCATTAATGACAACTTTGACAGCAGAAGCATACACTTGATAACCACGAATGTCTAATGGAATGTGTGCGAAATTCTGATCTACAAGACTTCAATCACATACCCTTTTCTTGGATGGTGATTCTTCTTCTTCCTCCCTATCACTCGGCTCGTCTTTGACCCCTTGCTTGGCCACTGACCGTTGCCTGCTGATGACTGGAGGTGGGGATATCCAGCCCCTGTCAAAAGACCGCCGCCTGGTACGGGTGAAGACGCGAGGTCCCGGTCCCATTTTCCGATTGAACTCCTCAAATGCAAAGAGGTACCTGAGAAAAAGAGAGGAAGAATTGGATATTGATAATCATCATCTAATTTTATCAGATTCATGTTCATTTCAACTGAGGATGCCAAGAAAATATGTCATAAAAAGCAGCTGTACACAAATGCATGAATATACATTTTTCAAGAGAAATTTTCCATTCTGCATTTGTTTCTTGGTGATGTTGATGTTCATACCAATTTTGATTATTTTGTCCCACCGTCCCACAAGACTGACTAGTAAGATCAACAAAATAATGCTTATAGTTATGTAATTGTTATGTAATATCTTCAGGTCTTTAATTTCTAAACTTATTTGCATGGTAATAGGATGCTAGACTTGTGTGGTCAAACCTGCTTTAGCCACTATCCTTTACACAAGGTACCACATGTCTAGTAAGGACTTCATTTTTGTTTTCCTTTTAAAGATTTTTCATCCTTAAAACACGTTTAAGGGGAAACTTGGATATGAAGGCCACCTGCCTTGTAAGAACTTCCTCGTTTTCCCATGGACAATTTTATATACATGATGACTTTGAATCACAATATCTCCAAAATTTGATCATGTACTGACTTGTTGTAGGAGGTGTGAATGTTGTATGGCTGTTGGGTAGCGGGGACCGGAATGCCCATCTTGGTCATGATGTGTCTCCACATCTGCCTGTCGGTCACCTTACGACAGCCTTCCTGTTCCTGGACCAGCTTGTAGAGCTTGTACAGGTTGAGATCCCGGTATCCTAGCACCGGTGGCTTGTTGATAGGGGTACCTGAAAGAGACACGGTTGCCATATGAAATGCCATTCTACAAATAATGGTGAAGATACAGTCAAACCTGCTTTAGTGACCACCTGTCTACAAATACCATGTTTGTGTGTTTCCCTTGGGTGGTCGCTATAGACAGGTTTGACTGTAATAGTAAAGTATGTTCTTTACTATAACCAGTTCTTTTCTTATTGCATCTCCTCCACAAACTCTGATTTAGTTTATCGTCAGGTTTGGTTCATTTCTGCATATACTTCTCCTCCCCCCCCCCCCCTCCCCTCTTGTCATGCCATTTCTCCCGCTATCTTCTCTTTTTCCTAATCAGGTATGCTGCTGAGGCAGTAGCTTCACTACCTGGTCACAAAAATGGACTGCGTCTATCAGGATTTGTGCCTCCAAAATGAGCACTCACAAATTCATTCAATCTTGAACGCCTAAACATCTTGCTTTCAAACGCATTGCTCCATTCATTGAAACACACTGCATTTGACTATATGAAACATTTCGCTCTTCGTACCAGCAAGTTTTCCCCAAACTATATATTATAAACCAATAGTAAGATGAGTGTTAGCTCATATCCTTTAACAGAGTCAATGCCCACTCCCCCCCCCCCTTCCCCCACCCCCTGTCTCTCAAGATGGATTCTTACCTCTTTCTTCCATGAACTTGTGCAGTGAGGCAAGCCAGGCATCTTTCTCCATGTCATACTCATCATCGGATGAATCTTCGCTGGTCTCATCCTCTGATTGCACCTGTACCTGCTTACCGCTCTTGTTCTTCTTCTTTAGCAACTCCATATCCCAATTGGGAGGTAGCTGGCCAGTGTCGATGAACGTCACTGCCTTCTCGTTGGCTGTACGACCAAAGGGATAGTGGGGATGAATAACATTTAATTACCCTCAATCACAATAAAATATCCACATTCATTCACTAATGATGACTTTTCTATTTCTTTACAATAATTTTCTTTCATTGTTATTAAACAGGGGAATCATGCAATACCTCTCAGTAGAATTTAAGGGTTATATGGATACGATGTGTAGTAATACAAAGTACAATGTAGTTTATACATCAGCTGAAGAGAAACATTTTTTTATCAAATCATTTGAAATGCATCTGATTAAAAGAAAAATGTAAGATACACTCTAGATCAAATGTGCCTTAAAGTTAGTTCATATCCTATATAAATGTATGCATGTTCAGTTATATTCTAATGAGCTCTAAGAATTACTTAGGACAAATACTACATCTTGCATACAAAAGAAAAGCAAGTTACCATTAAAGAAAACCTCTTTCGTTTTTTCCCCTCAGATATGTCATAGCTAATTAAATATTTTGTTGTCTTTGCGCTTACCTGCTTTGAGAGAAGCTACATCCCCTTTGTACGTATGATCCTTGGATAGAAATGGTTTCCTACTTGATCTGGAAACAGTGTAGCTGAAATAAAGATATTTGATTTTAAATCGTTGAATAAAGTGAACTGAAGTGAACTGAATAAATAAAAGATTTTACTTCTTACAACTCTACTTGTTATCGCAAAATAAATCAAAATCGATGTGTCACTTTCTTTGAGCTACTCTGTCTACTAAAGTTGTTATATATATCTGCACTTTCTACAACCACAGTATATGTCATCATAGTTGTCTCCAAAGACAATCTGATCCATGACTATTCATACATTTTGAAATTTTTCAACAGGGATGGGATCATCACTAAAGATTACAAGTTATTCATTAAAATTATACTACATAGTTAAAATATATAATGTTTTACTTAAGATTTGTGTAAAGTTTGAATTGGAGATTCCTTTCCAAGCATTTGAAATTTATTTCTCTATGAGCAATTTAAATCAAAATCTTAAACATACATGTAGTTTACATACTAGGAGATTGAAACTAGATGATCGGTAACAAGTGAATTCATGAATATTAAATACTGATTTAATACTTGCAAAGAAACAACATAATTTCCTTAATTAAAAAGTGCATTTCAATACAATACATACAAACTGAAAGTGTTATCTACCGGTAAGTCACTTACAATTTGTTATCCTTGAATGATCGCGCCACTATATAGTCTTTCCGATTGGTCTGGACATCTTTTGTACAGCTTGGATCAACAACCTTTTCAAAAGGAAAAGAATAAAGAGATCAGAACTCATTACTGGTACATTATATCAGTTTCAATAGAGTGATTCATGCATTATTTCTTATTATTATCTCTTCACAAATAAAAAGATTGTAACAAGCAACATGGAGAATACATATAGAACATCTTTTAAAATTGCACTTATCACAGAACATGCTGAAGAAGGTACAAATGATATACGACTTAAAAAACATACTCGTTCAATTCTTGCATGATTTTCCGACAATATCAATTACATAATGAAAGATTCACAAACTATTAAGGATAAAAGAACAAGCGATCAATCAATATGAGGATTTAACCTTGTATATAAACAACATATTTTATCATCAACTTGAAAATAACTGACATTTCTATGACCATCAGATATTGTGATCGACTTCTCCAGTGTTCAATACAAGAATGAGCATCAGGATTGAATATCACATGTTTTGCTCCTCAGAAGAGTGGAATGATATAATCTTCAAATTCAATCTATACTGAATATCTCTGTCTTGTATGTATCACAGAGGACTGTTCAAGACCAATGCTTCTTAAATGCAAAGCACTTCCATGCCTGCTATAGACCCATTGAATCAAGTAGGTGTTTACTCACCAGTGCAGGAAAGAAGGAATTCTTCCTCTTCTCGTTCATCTCTACAATGACTATCTTGCCCACGGCATCCTCAGGCTCCTCCTTACGATGTCTCTTGGTAGAATCACTGTCGCTGTCCTCCTCCTCCTCTTCCTCTTCTTCACTTTCACTCTTCCTGTATTTATACAAAAAAAGGAATTTCATCACTTGGAAACAGGATTCTTACACTTATCCCGTTTTGCACTTGTCCTTTTGTACAAGATTACTGGACTTTCCACATGAAAAAATGATGTGATTTCTATATCTTTTCAAAGTGCAATGAACTAAGAATTTAAGCCCCAAACTAAGTATTTGATTACGAGCAGAAAATTTATAAACAAATCAATTTTTAGAGAGAAAGAAAGTAAACGGATATAGAGGGGGTTGAGGACAATCAGACCAAGAATATGGAAGCTATGATTATTGTAATGATATAACAATTACAGAATGCCCTGAAGACAGATTGGCAGCTTTTGCAATCAAAATTCTTCAGTACGGGAGGTAAAGTCAATGTTCTTTAATTGATTTACAACAATTTAATGTGGCCCAAGTTGAAGGAAATTTGTATATTTCAATTTAAAAAAAACACATAAAAAAATGATATAATTTTGTTTAAATGTTCATGATATATAAGACTTACTGTGAGCGATTACTCATTCTTCTTTTTCTCCTCATCTTACTGCTGTCTTTCATGACAGGAGTACCAAAGTTCTCTGGATCTGTCAATGGCAGGTGATCTAAGGTCTGCACATGAAAAGAAAAGAAAGATTATCAAAACATGTTAGATTGATCAATCAATCAAGCTTATCAGGTGTAACTCAAGTGAAACAGACATTGCTGAGGATCCTTCAACGGCAAGTGATCTACGGTTTGCAAGTATGGAAAGAAAATACCAAACTGTATAAGGTTGGGTAATTAATTTCATCGGACGTAACTCAAATTAATGTTACATGCTTCTTGTTTTCATCTAGCAGTACAAATTGTACTCACACAAGACTACATAAATATGTTGATCATTATAAAAATTTATCATATTGCATGGTTAAATAAAACAACTCCTCATTGATATCAAAAAGGCAGAAAAAATTGCATGTGATTATTCATTTCTTGGAAAGTTAAGACAAGTAAATAAAAGCACTTACCTCACTCTCATGAAAGTGTCTCTCTCCTTGCAAGCATAGCAAGGTTCTTCGCAGAGTCTTTTCATCACCATCATCAAATACTATAAGCGAGAGCATAAAAGGAAAAAAGAGAGGTTCAAAAAGCTGGATAAAAGTGCCACTCCCTCACAACAGAATATGCCCCAAAAGACTCCAGGTAACATCAAGTTAACACACCAACAATATTACATTGAATGAACGCACAACGTTAAACATTACGATGCCATGCATGTTCTTTAAAATATACATGTACATGTACGTTGCTGACCAGCACATCTATTTATGTACCGCACCAAACAAATATGTGAGTATGATATGTATTTTGCACTTTTTAAAAAAAATATAAGAACCTTCAGGGCAGATTTGCCGAGCCATCCAAGTAGGATACTCAATCCCTCGTAAATATAGCTGGTATAAAGCAAAGTTCTTTTCAGTAACATTTAATGAATCTTGTACCTGTTATCGCATTCAGTTTTATTAATTTCTTCATGAGTCAAGGTGTGGTGAAACAAATCATTCAGTTTACAAAAAGGTGATCTCACTTACCAACTGTGTAGAGACTTGCATCATTCAGCTTCATAATTGTTCCATCTTCATATGGACTACTTTCAGTTATTTTAGCCTCTACCTTGGCACCAATCTTTATAGAATACAAAAATGATATTTCATACAGGAGATGTGTAAAAACATGTGTTCAATGAATTATTGTATTTAGGGTACAGGACTACTTTACAGGTATCATCAAATATTGTCTTTGGAGAACAATGAATATCTCAAAAAGTTCTATCATATAACAAATTTAAAGGGGGACTTTCCCTTTAAATTGATGACATTTGCAGAGTGACATGGAACAATACATACATGTCAGGTAAGAACCACAGGCTGATCTTCAGGTAAACATGTTCCAGCATGTCCCTTTTGTATACATAAAAGCCTTTTCCTTTGACCCCGCAAAAAATATTTTGTCGTGTCTATATCCTTTCCTTTATACCGGTAGATGTAAAAGTACACATTGTATCTATGGTAAATGACAGGAACAGATGTTGGTTAGACAAGTCTGCATGTCTGTGACATTAAAGGTCATTCTGCTTGTCCTTCAGTTAACCTTGGCAGTTAAGTGACCCACGATCAAATTGCATTGTTGACTATGCAATGGGAATGTAATTCAATTTATTCAATATCTTGCATATGTACAGGTACTATGTTTAATCGTCTGGAACACAATCTCTTACCTGGCAAGGCATTTTCATGTACTCAACAATACTGAAAAATCGTTACGACCATATTTCTATGCATCAAAAATTAACAATAGAAACTTGACTGAAGAAGGGGTGTAATTCTCTTTATAAAATCAACCCATTTGTTAAAATGAAATGGCTGGCATACTTATCACAGTAGCCAAGGTTCTTAAATCTTTACTGACATGTAACTGCAACACAAGATTGATATAATTCTTCTTATGACAAATAAGAGGAAATATTAAATGTCATGTATTGTTGTTACACCAATACACGCTATAGAACACTCACAGTACAAGTAAATGTCATCTGCTAAATTTTCATAACTAATAGAATACTGTTGCCATATCAGCAGAGCAGTAAATATCAGTCTTGTGTTTGTTGTGGGTCTGTTCTTTGACGTACATATGAATATGCTTGATATCAATCGGCAATGCAACAATTATTCTTTCACAATGAGATGGACATGATTAATGTCAAATCATATTTGAAGAGCCATCCTTTTTAGGGGACATTTTTTTCTCTGATGTTCTTTCACACTTGCATAATAACAATGATAATGCTCACAAATTCTTTTACACCTCTCCAAGAACTCAACCTTCTCTTAACTATTAAACACTACGCACAAGCTTCATGTAAGTACATGGTGTAACTAGAGTATTACACATTGGACAAATCTTGAAGAGAATGAACTCATAATCATTCCCAGTGTGCTGATGCATATTTCTAGAAACAGCAATAAAAAGTTTGTTCACATAATTCCACCACATCAATTATAGAAAGTACGGGAATCCAATCCACGTAATCAATAAAAGCTATGCCCAAGTTAAGTAATTCAAATCTATACACATGGGAAAATAAGTTGCATGAAATCGTTCTAGGTGGACTGATGGATATTTCTAGAAACAGTATAAAGGGAAATGGATTCAGTTCATAAGTTTATGAGTTGTAGGAGACATGCTCACTGCCACATGTCAGTCTATTCAAAATAGACATTTTACTTATCTGCTTATACAACTATTTGTGGACATAATTAGCAGACAATGTTTAGTGCAAATATAAAAGCTCCAGTGAAAGTATTATCTCTCTTTAAAAAAAAAAATCTGTCAACACAACATATATGGTAAAATCCATGACACTGATTGGTCAAAGTTACAGTAATTCGTGAAAGTAAGGAAATGTAGAAGAAGAAATGTAGAAAAATGTAGAAAAAATGTAGAAAAAAAAAATCTTGACCTCTTGTCAAACTTACCTTCAAATTCCCTATGATAAATTCATCGCTGACTATGCAGCTTGTCCCCCTTTTGAAGTTGATCTGAATATAATGATAAATATAAAAGTATTATGAATTTCCCTTCATTGCTCAGCCAATGTTATATACAAGATAGTTGAGGATACACACTTACAGTATTGATTAACATCTGCAAAATACAAGAATGTAAATGAACTAATTGTGATTACAGTTGTTGCTTTCATCTCATGTTCAAACTCAAGTTACATGCAACAGGCATGAAAGTTCCTAATTATCATAACGTATTAATCGCTGGATAAAGATCATAAAGATATGACAGTGTTCTATTCTTAAACTTGTTATAACACCAATAAAAACATTGATCAATTTTTATTTTGTGCTTTTTCACATTCAAAATATATGAATATTTCTATCTTGATCAAAACACATTTCAGGCACCTGAGTAAACTACGAATACATGTCATCTAAGCAATCAAATGTTCAAAGTTATTAATAATGATTAATAAACAAGTTTACTATGGTTCAATTTGCTTGACAATTTGTCTATTGGGAGCTAGAGGGGCGGTCACTCCTATACTTATATAGAGTTACAAATCTAGCCACTTTTACTTGTCACCAAAAGCTGTTTATATACTGGTATATCCAACTACATAATTCCTTGTCTCAAGCAATCGGCACAATCAGTGCCCTTTTGGCTACGAAAGATGAATTCACCTATTGGCATGAAGCATGAATGTGTGATAAGATATAACCTTACCTTGCATTTCACCAACTTCTTGACCACTTTGACCTTTGCTTCACAGAAAGCTCCCCTGTATTTGGCACTGACGTCAGTACCCACTGTCAGGAATGGAGGCCCCTCTCCAGCCTGGAAATGAAAAGAAACAACATTGAATTTATCAAATAAAATGTCACTATCAATTATTCAACATGTGCAATAAATGAATTTTAGAGATTGTATGTAGACATTTTCAGAGACACAATGTTGGATGTTGATGAGCTCAAAGTATTAAGAATTAAAACAGAAATGACTTGCAAATTGATAATTGTTTTATCATCCGTCCATGCTGCGTTAATCATAAACATACAGACCACTGTACATGTGCAACATCACAGATCAATGGTAAATTGTCAGTAAAATGTTTTATGTATTCCTAATCAAAGTTTGATTTGATACCTTTGAATATTGAAAGCTACATAGCCTATACAAGTAAAAATATCTAAGGGAGGACATGTCAACTGGAGAGAATGTTTCAAAAACACTGGAGATGAAAAGAAACAATGACTTTACCAAATAAAATGTCATCCTCATTTACAAGTACGACTATACTCTACAAAGAGGACTGTACTCTAACGAAGAGGACTGTACTCAATGGAAGAAGAAGAACACAATCTGATCTAGTATCAGACTTGAACAAAAAATGATCATATTTTATTTTGCTTCTTCCATGCTTGTATACTAGGTTTAAATTATCAGCTTTTTAAAATTGATTCTGTTAAGAAATACATGAACTTTAAATAACTGACATTCAACTTTTAATTAAGGTAAAAGCAACATGTTAACAATAGTGTCACACAAAAGTTTCACACAACTGCACAAGCCAACTCTGACTGAAATAACTTCCATCTGTCCATATGCATTCATGCCCAGATATATAAATAAATTCAATCTTTATTTGTTAACCACATGAGCCATGAATGTCTCCCACACCTTTGATGGGAAGTACCCTTTTCCAAATGATATCTAGATCTGAACCTACAACTGGAGTAAAACAAAACTAGATTAATTTTTGTTAGGGCTTTGTGTAATTTATCAAATCTAAAATCTAAAGCAAGCTCCTCCTTCTTCTTCTTCTTCTTCCTTTGGGAGTCAGAGATCTACCTGCAAAGTCCAGTGATGATAATGAGGTTATCATACACACACCACAAGTATGGCCATTGGCCAGAGTACCCCTGTCTGTGCATTGCCCTTGTGTGCGATTCTGTGAAAACAAATCATGCAACAAACACAAGAATTTTGTCTCTATCAAGCAACAAAAGTAAAAAATTAAAAGTATGGAGAAAAGTTTATTGAATGACTACACAGACATGGGAACAAGTGTGATTTTTGAACAGTCAAAATAACACAGCCTTTTTTTTCTTGTGAAAATGTCTTGTTCTTGCTTGAATTTTGATGAGATTCTTGTCAGATGAAGTACTTTAGACCTTTACGTCTACAGCCTTTATTACAGGAATATAAAAGAAAATATTTGTTAATTTGAAATCAAATGCTACATGTAGGTTCACTGACATTTAAGGTCTAGGGTTCCCAATCATGATTACATTTTTCAAAATCATTCAACTATTTATAGAATAAGTTTTGTTCCTCTTTTCAATAAAAAAAGTGTAATGATGCACGGAGTGGCGAGTGCAGTCAAGTCGATCATCATGGTCGTATACCATATACTCCTACTTGACCTTTGCACTCAGAGAGCTCATCAATAACTCATTGATGTCTCGACTTGGTGTCAGCTTGGGTTTGTCCATATTAGATTGCCCACCAATGGGTGGGTTGGTTTTTTGCACATATGATACATATTTTCAGACAAATTTTCACACACGGTGAGCTTGTTAGCTCACCCGGTGTGATGGGGATGTGCGCATCTTTGGGTATACTTGCTGTAGTCATCCATGCTGTGGTCGATGCATCGTTGGGTAGTTGTTCTCTGAAAGTATTTTGTAAATAGTTTTATATATTCCATATTTGTTGTTGTATTCATGAATAAGTTATCTTTGTCACATCATATGAGGGGGCCTTAACTTAACAAGCTGTGCTTCAACCAAGGTCTCCTCGTCTTCCTTTATTCTACATTGTACTGTTATGATTATACTCTATTATATTTTGTCACATGTGTTTTCTGGAAGACCAATAAACTTGATACTTGATACTTGATACTTGATACTTGATACTTGAGGTCAGCTATCACCATTAGAGCCCAGATCTCCTGCAAAGTCTACCTGACCCAAGTCAGGCTTGTCAGGATCGGGAAGGCAACTGATGACTGCTGCCGTCTGTGTCGGGTAGAGCGAGAGGATGTTGAGCACCTTGTTGCAACTTGCCCAGCCCTATCATCTGTGCATCAAGACCTTATTAATCGTATTAAGGATAACCTCAACACAAAGCAGTTTGCTCAATATTTCGAGTCTGCGCCTGCGCTGTTCTTGGAGTCAGTGCTATTTCTCCCTGCTGGGCACATCAGCAGTAGTGCCAAAACACAGCTGCATACCCTTATCCTTTATTTTATACGCAACCTTCACACAACCCGTCAAAATCTACTTAACGACCTATAGAAAGCCATTTATGTAACTTCGGCAGACTCACAGTGCCGACGATCTCCGACCTGAGCGGAGGAAGGATACAAGAGAGAGATACTTGATACTTGTAACTTTTTTCTGGCAAGTTAAAGACTTCTTCTTCTTCTACTTCAAGATAATCTGCCTCCTTCAATACTGAAGATTCTTACAGATGCCTTATATACTCGGCCTGATTGGGGTGTGCAGGTGGACCAATACACCAGAGTTTCCCATAGTACTCATAGCAGTGGGTTCTTCACGTGCAAGGGTGGTGACTCTCCATTTAACGTCCTATCAAAGTGTTTTCCACTTAACATAGCCTGCGTCTATGAAACAAGGGGAGGGGTACGTTAACACACAATGCAGGCTTCAGTCATCCGCCTGGGTGGGATTCGAACCCAAGATCTTTGGTCTGACAGGCAGATGCTTTACCGACGGAGCCTTAGACTACTCCTTACTTTAGTCTCAGAAAAAGATGCCGAGATACACAACCGTTTCAATTTCAAGGCAACACTATTAAAGAGCATTTAGTCAATCATTTTAGACAACATATTTTAGCACTGCACTGATCCTGATTCACGACAAAAATGACCAATGAATCATGATCAATCACCATAAATAATCATTACACTCGCACTGCAGTTCGCAAATTAATCATAAAATTAACACACCATTTTATCACTTAACCACAGATATCTGTCCCGAAGATTAAAATCATAATGTTATCCTGTGTAAAGAAATCATGTAAATTGTATAATGATCACATAAATCAGAATGGATAAGACAATTATTGATGTTTTATTGACACCTTTACCTGTCATCCATTTGTTGCACATCATTAAAATCTTATGCGTTACGACTGTATGTGGATTGCAGCACGACTCGCCTATTGCCAGAAGGCAGAACACACGCAAAACAATTCGTGAAATATGTGATATATTTCTTCGAAGTTAAATACTTTACCATGATTCTTTTTCTCCAGACGACAGACAGATGATTTCCTCGGTGTTTATCTTGACTGGTACAAATTTTTGTGGTAAGTCTTTCATGAAACCATGAAAAATCGGCAAATTACATGTTTTACATTGGGTTTGCCAGCTGAGATCAACAGTAGAATCCGCATCTGAAAATCTAGCGGTAATCGTTGAATTACGTTACATGCATAGCGCTGTATACGTTTACATTACACACGTCGTACGTACAGTACATACACAATGCATGTAGACTTGAACAACATCTCTTTTCACAGGGGGTCCTCGTATATCATTGGCTGGACGTCACGTGGTACAAGACTAGTCGATTTAGAAAGGGTTGAGCTTAAAAAGTAATTCAAAAAATATCACAAAAATATCGACAACAATTTTCTGTAATATATGAAAAGCTTAATTCATTATTATTATTAAATAATTCTTGATAATTCAGAGGCTTTCTTTTTGCGTAAATCATAATCAATTGAAATAAATGATTTTGTTATATACATTTTTTTTTTAGCGTTTTGGTTTATATAGCATGAATCTCCCCTGTCTATTAAGTGTTAAATTCAGTTCATAGTTCATTGTAGCCCATATCTGTCACAAACATGTGTGCGAACTTCGACGACTTGCCCTTGTTTGTACGGATGTTTCACCAAAGAAAGATTATTTACAGGTATAGTTTACATGAGAGAATATGCATTGTGTAATTTTCAAGTATTAGAGAAGGTATGTTTTGCATATGTTCCTCCTCTGTCTCTTTTTTGGTGTGAAATTAAATGTATACTGTGCTAAGAGCAGACGAGCCGATATGCAAATTTGTGAACCTAGATTATTAATCCAAGACCCAGTCTTGCGTCTAGGTTGTGTCAGACTCAGACGAAGAATATGTGTATTATTATCATTTTATCAATTAGAGGGCTCTTTGTCTATCATGATCATGTATTCATAGCTTATACTTGTTTAAGATTATTATGATATACGTCTAGATCACTTTTTTTGGGATGAGTTGTAGATTTAAGAGACGGTTTGAATGTCAATGAATTAAATGTCTGAATTTAGAATAGTTGGTCCATGTTGATGCACTACTCCAATCAGCTGACAGCCCACCCAACTTTGGCTCAGTGCATGTTATGTAACAATACAGTAGGTCTACTGTGACCTATATAATTATAAGTACAGAATTAAGGTGGTATTATTGTAGAAAATGTTAAGGTAGAAGAAGAAAACAAATGTTACATGATAATGCAATTTGTTTATGGGAAAAACAAGTATTTTGGGCTTGTAGATCTAAGTATTGTTTCCATTAATGCAGACACAATTTTAGTCTTTGCTTTAGTTTCTTGTTTTGGGGTGTTTTTTTTTTCTTTTTTTTTCTAGAGTTAAAAAAATATATACCGGTATGTAGATCTGTAGTAAATTGAGCCATATTCCTAAAGCAAGAAAAAAAGAAAAATCAAAAATCAAAAATATTGATGCCATGTACAGAAGTGGGATGTCATATGACCCCAAGTTGTCAAGGTAATTGGTTTCAAACAATTTTGTGCTAAACAATGGCGTGGTGACCACATCAGCGCCAAACATATTTGCCCTTCTCCAGTCCGTTACTTGCATGATGTCGCGGTGAACCTCATGGGCAGACTGATGTTTGGAACCAGTAACTGAGACGATGAGCGAATAGCCGAATATGACGTTAGCACTTTGTTATCAAGACTAAAGTACTCCGTCTTTAAAAAAAAGAAATCAAATCTGTAAAATAGCAATTAAAATGAGACATTGACTGGCATTCGCTTTGAAGATCGTGTTACAGTTTCTTCCCAATTTACAGACTGCCATCAATTTTCTTTGGCTGCCCCTTTTTTTAGCATTTCAGCGATGCATCACATAGACAGTCTACCTATAATACATGGACCTGAGCCATAGTCAACACATGAATCTAAAATATTAAACTTGTAGCAATTGTTGGAACTTTGTCTCTGAAATGTATATTACTTGGAAATTGTATTTGTTGCTGTGATTGTCTGTGTATTTGTTTTTATTTATTTGTCTACAGTTCCATACTTTCAGATGAAATATTTTTCTATTTAAATCATTTTTATATCACACAGAGTTGGAGCTGTCTGGTCACCATTGAGCTGAATAGTGATGGCCATGTCTCAAGTTTGTATTGAAGTAAGATTTTAGATGTTAAATTTGCCACCTCTAAAAGGAATACTCACATAATAAAGAAACAAGGTCTTTGTGTAGAAGATGTTGTTATGTTTACTTTCAGGACGATCTAAGCCATAAATACCAAAAAGACCATATATTCAGCGATGTGCTGGTATCCATGAAAGTGGCCCATTGGTCTCGGATTCTGGCATTTAAAAAAATCTCAGTTCTCTATTTCTGACATTTTATGTTTCAATCTCGATACGGACACCAAGCTCATTGTATCATCACTGCAGACTTTTGCAGAGCATTTTGTTGTCTTTCCCCTGATAGAGATAGCCTGCCCAAGCCAAGACAGGCACGGGATTACTCAGATAGCAACTATTTAGCATGTAATATCTATAATCTAATGCAATTGTCAACATCGCCTTGCTGTTCTCTATATAAAGGAAAGAGAAAGAAAGGTATATTTATATGAGCCTAAATGAATTATTAATTTTTAAACAATTTTATATTAGATCAAGTAGGTGGATATCTTCTCAGTATACTTTGACTTGACTCTCTCTCTCTCCCTCTCTCTCTGATTCCCGCATCGGTGTATCAACCTCATATGAAACACTCTTTGTGTTATGATTATTTTGTTAATATTTTAGGAATAAGACAAGTAAATTGAGAGATAGAGAGAACTTTTTCTGCTCTTTAAAACTGTTCCGGTTTTAATTTGAAAAAATATGTCCTCTCTTTTATACTTATCAGAAAAGATGCATTAGACTTCTTTTGTTTACTGTAGACATAACACTGCAAAATGAGCATTATCTTCAAATCAAGAAAATGATAATATCTCTAGAAAAGATCATTGCATTGGCACCAAACCTTTTTATTTACAATTTAGGTATGCCTAAGAGTATTTTCTATGTTATTTTTTGTGACTTTTTTGTTATTTAGTATTTTTAAAAGTTAAAATTAGGATGGAAGACTTTTTTTGTCAAAGAGAGAGTATTTTGATAATTGCATCCGTGCCTCATTTTTCACTTTTTGAAAACCGTTTTTCAGCCTTCAATTTTTGTGCATTGACTGGAAATATATTGAAAACTCTTAAAATTGACATGATATAACTCTATCTTTTAGAGAATATGAAAAATTAACTCTCTGAATTATAAAAAACATCATACCAAATTTTAGCATTTCTATTATCTCTATGTACTGAGCCTATGCAAACCTTATTTTGTATTGCTCAGTTTGAATGCTGTTATTCGTGAAAATATCCCATGGCTTAACACAGTTTTTATGAAAAGCTATAATTCAAGACTTAATATTTCATATTACCTTTTGTTCATTTCGATAATTTTATATTTTCATCACCAAAAATTAGTTTGAAATTCGAATAATTTAAAAGAATTTTAATACTCTCAGAGAGCGCCATCTATTGACCAGGCCGTGTACATTTTACATTCAACATACACACTTAACATGGGTTATGTATTATGCGAATTTCATGCTCTTGACTTAGGTTTAGTATCTACGATGATCGTTTCCCGGATTCAATAGTCAAAGGAATTAGTTTGTGCTATGACATGTCGACTACTATTAGAGAGAAATCACCAAAATGTGTTCATTACATGTGCATTGCAAGAAAGTCCGCGAAACTCGAGAAATTACTACACAAGAGAAGGGGCTACAGACAGCAATTTATCGGCTTTGCTACACTGAATATCCCCGAGCGTAGGCCGGGGGCTAACCCTAGGTGCCGCTGGCTTCTCCTCCGCCAGACTGACTGTGTATCGGACTCAAGTACTCAGCTCAGCTCAGCTCGGCGTTTGTGTTATTTATCGTACCGGTAAGTATAATTGAAAAGGCCCTAAATGTCTTAAGCACAAGTAGCTCAAATGAGCTGCTTAACTTTAGAATACCTCACTAGTCTAGGCTATGTAAATGATGAAGATAAACGTTGAAGCCCTCTAGCCTAGGCTAGGGTTAGGGTTGGGATTAGGGTTAGGGTTGGGATTAGGGTTAGGGTTACTATTAATAGTTAGGATTAGGGTTAGGTTTAGTGTTACGTAAGAAACTTCGCGATAGATCAGAAGTATATCCAAACTTTGACCCATGACTCTAGCGTGGAGAGAACATAAAATTAAACGTCGAAGCCCTAGGCCTAGGATTTAGGGTTGTTAGAGTTACTAGTCTAGACTAGTTTAGTTAGGATTAGGTTTAGTGGTTATCCTATACTTTAGGGTATTTTATTATTTTCGGTTCCTAACTTCAGTCAACAGCTCTACATGCATATATCTATTATGTCGTGTCATACGGCCCTGCTCCTGGGCGCCCACGCACAGGTTTAAAGTGACACACTGGTTTTTGAATCTACAGACCTACTTGATAATTGATTGTTTAATGGCCTGCTTTCAAGAGTGAATGTAGGGTCTATGCGTATAATCGTATATTACCTTTTTTCGTTTTTCGTTTTTTTTTATTAAATAGGAACAGTGGGTGGGATTGTTTGAGGGTGATGAGAAGAGAGACAGCATATTCATATAGCCTGGATTATTAGGGTCTAGTGGTGGGGGCGGTGGGTAGGGAGGGAGGAGGGGCAGGAAGGGGCGTTAACGGGATAAAAAGGAGTACATATTACCTACTTCGTTTTAAGGGGTTTTAGTAATTATGAACAGTGGGCAGGATTGTGTGAGGGTGATGAGTACAGTGACAGCATATTCATGTAGCCCGGATTATAAGGGGGTAGTAGTGGGGAAGCTGGGGGGGGGGGGGAAGGGACTTAATTGGATATAAAGAGGTGCATATTACCTACTTCGTTTTAAGGGGTTTTATTAAATATGAACAGTTGGCAGGCTTGTTTGAGGGTGATGAGAAGGGGGACGGCAAATTCATATAGCATGGATTATTAGGGGCTAGTGGTGGGGGCGGTGTGTGGGGAGGGGGCGGGGGCGGGAAGGGTCATTAACGGGATAAAAAGGAGTACATATTACCTCCTTCGTTTTAAGGGGTTTTATTAAATATGAACAGTAAACAGGATTGTCTGAGGGTGATAAGTATAGGGACGGCATATTCATGTAGCCTGGATTATTAGGGGCTAGTGGTGGAGGCGCTGGGGGGGGGGTGGGGTGGGGGAGGGGTCGGGGAAGGGTTGTTAATGGGATTTAAAGGAGTGCATATTACCTACTTCGTTTTTAAGGGGTTTGGTAATTATGAACAGTGGGCAGGATTGTCGAAGGGTGATGAGTAAAGGGACAGCATATTCATGTAGCCTGGATTATTAGAGGCTAGTGGTGGGGGCGCTGGGGGGGGGGGGGGGGACGGGCGTTAATTGTATATAAAGAAGTGCATATAACCTACTTCGTTTTAAGGGGTTTTATTAAATATGAACAGTGGGAAGGATTGTTTGAGGGTGATGAAAAGAGGGATGGCATATTAATATAGCCTGGATTATTAGGGGCTAGGGGGGGGGGGCGGAGGGTGGGGGAGGGAGCGAGGCCGGGAAGGGTCGTTAATGGGATATAAAGGAGTGCATATCACCTACTTCGTTTTAAGGGGTTTTATTAAATATTAACAGTGAACAGGATTGTCTGAGGGTGATGAGTATAGGGACGGCATATTCATGTAGCCTGGATAATTAGAGGCTAGTGGTGGGGGCGCTGGGGGGGGGGGACGGGCGTTAATTGGATATAAAGAAGTGCATATTACCTACTTCGTTTTAAGGGGTTTTATGTATTATGAACATAGGGCAGTATTGTTTGAGGTTGATGAGAAGAGGAAAGGCACAGTTATGTAGCCTGGATAGGAAGGGACTAGTGGTGGGGGGGGGGGGAGGGGTCGGGGTGTCGGGTAGGGGCCTTAATTGGACAAAAAGGGGTGTATATTTACCTACTTCGTTTTAAGGGTTTTTATTTATTATGAACAGAGGGCAGTATTGTTTGAGGTTGATGAGAAGAGGAAGGGCACAGTTATGTAGCCTGGATAGGAAGGGACTAGTGGTGGGGGGGGGGGGGAGGGGTCGGGGTGTCGGGTAGGGGCCTTAATTGGACAAAAAGGGGTGTATATTTACCTACTTCGTTTTAAGGGTTTTTATTTATTATGAACAGAGGGCAGTATTGTGTGAGGTTGATGAGAAGAGGAAGGGCATAGTCATGTAGCCTGGATAGGAAGGGACTTGTGGTGGGGGGGGGGGGGTCAAGGGTCGGGGGTCGGGTAGGGGCCTTAATTGGACAAAACGAGGTCTATATTACCTACTTCGTTTTAAGGGTTTTTATTAAATATGAACAGTGGGCAGGATTGTGTGAGGGTGATGAGTACAGTGACAGCATATTCATGTAGCCCGGATTATAAGGGGGTAGTAGTGGGGAAGCTGGGGGGGGGGGGGGAAGGGACTTAATTGGATATAAAGAGGTGCATATTACCTACTTCGTTTTAAGGGGTTTTATTAAATATGAACAGTAAACAGGATTGTCTGAGGGTGATAAGTATAGGGACGGCATATTCATGTAGCCTGGATTATTAGGGGCTAGTGGTGGAGGCGCTGGGGGGGGGGGGGGGTGGGGTGGGGGAGGGGTCGGGGAAGGGTTGTTAATGGGATTTAAAGGAGTGCATATTACCTACTTCGTTTTTAAGGGGGTTTGGTAATTATGAACAGTGGGCAGGATTGTCGAAGGGTGATGAGTAAAGGGACAGCATATTCATGTAGCCTGGATTATTAGAGGCTAGTGGTGGGGGCGCTGGGGGGGGGGGGACGGGCGTTAATTGTATATAAAGAAGTGCATATAACCTACTTCGTTTTAAGGGGTCTTATTAAATATGAACAGTGGGAAGGATTGTTTGAGGGTGATGAAAAGAGGGATGGCATATTAATATAGCCTGGATTATTAGGGGCTAGGGGGGGGGGGGCGGAGGGTGGGGGAGGGAGCGAGGCCGGGAAGGGTCGTTAATGGGATATAAAGGAGTGCATATCACCTACTTCGTTTTAAGGGGTTTTATTAATATTAACAGTGAACAGGATTGTCTGAGGGTGATGAGTATAGGGACGGCATATTCATGTAGCCTGGATAATTAGAGGCTAGTGGTGGGGGCGCTGGGGGGGGGGGGGGGACGGGCGTTAATTGGATATAAAGAAGTGCATATTACCTACTTCGTTTTAAGGGGTTTTATTAAATATGAACAGTGGGCAGGATTGTGTGAGGGTGATGAGAAGAGGAAGGGCACAGTTATGTAGCCTGGATAGGAAGGGACTAGTGGTGGGGGGGGGGGGGGAGGGGTCGGGGGGTGTCGGGTAGGGGCCTTAATTGGACAAAAAGGGGTGTATATTTACCTACTTCGTTTTAAGGGTTTTTATTTATTATGAACAGAGGGCAGTATTGTTTGAGGTTGATGAGAAGAGGAAGGGCACAGTTATGTAGCCTGGATAGGAAGGGACTAGTGGGGGGGGGGGGGGGAGGGGGAGGGGGCGGGGGCGGGGAAGGGTCATTAACGGAGATAAAAAGGAGTACATATTACCTCCTCGTTTTAAGGGGTTTTATTAAATATGAACAGTAAACAGGATTGTCTGAGGGTGATAAGTATAGGGACGGCATATTCATGTAGCCTGGATTATTAGGGGCTAGTGGTGGAGGCGCTGGGGGGGGGGGGGGGGGGGTGGGGTGGGGGAGGGGTCGGGGAAGGGTTGTTAATGGGATTTAAAGGAGTGCATATTACCTACTTCGTTTTAAGGGGGTTTGGTAATTATGAACAGTGGGCAGGATTGTCGAAGGGTGATGAGTAAAGGGAAGCAGCATATTCATGTAGCCTGGATTATTAGAGGCTAGTGGTGGGGGCGGGGGGGGGGGGGGGGGACGGGCGTTAATTGTATATAAAGAAGTGCATATAACCTACTTCGTTTTAAGGGGTTTTATTAAATATGAACAGTGGGAAGGATTGTTTGAGGGTGATGAAAAGAGGGATGGCATATTAATATAGCCTGGATTATTAGGGGCTAGGGGGGGGGGGGCGGAGGGTGGGGGAGGGAGCGAGGCGGGGGAAGGGTCGTTAATGGGATATAAAGGAGTGCATATCACCTACTTGGTTTTAAGGGGTTTTATTAAATATTAACAGTGAACAGGATTGTTGAGGGTGATGAGTATAGGGACGGCATATTCATGTAGCCTGGATAATTAGAGGCTAGTGGTGGGGGCGCTGGGGGGGGGGGTACGGGCGTTAATTGGATATAAAGAAGTGCATATTACCTACTTCGTTTTAAGGGGTTTTATGTATTATGAAATAGGGCAGTATTGTTTGAGGTTGATGAGAAGAGGAAGGGCACAGTTATGTAGCCTGGATAGGAAGGGACTAGTGGTGGGGGGGGGGGGGGGGAGGGTTCGGGGTGTCGGGTAGGGGGGCTTAATTGGACAAAAAGGGGTGTATATTTACCTACTTCGTTTTAAGGGTTTTATTATTATGAAACAGGGCAGTATTGTTTGAGGTTGATGAGAAGAGGAAGGGCACAGTTATGTAGCCTGGATAGGAAGGGACTAGTGGTGGGGGGGGGGGGGGGGAGGGGTCGGGTGTCGGGTAGGGGCCTTAATTGGACAAAAAGGGGTGTATATTTACCTACTTCGTTTTAAGGGTTTTTATTTATTATGAACAGAGGGCAGTATTGTGTGAGGTTGATGAGAAGAGGAAGGGCACAGTCATGTAGCCTGGATAGGAAGGGACTTGTGGTGGGGGGGGGGGGGGGGGGGTCAAGGGCGGGGGTCGGGTAGGGGCCTTAATTGGACAAAACGAGGTCTATATTACCTACTTCGTTTTAAGGGTTTTTATTAAATATGAACAGTGGGCAGGATTGTTGAGGGTGATGAG